GAGCGCATCCTTGTTCAACATGTTGTAGACCGCCTTGGGGTTGCGATCGCTGTCGAGCCACAGCCAGAGTCGTGAACAAGCTTGGTTTTGGGTGTAGAGGTAGCTTTTGATGAAGACCTCGACGCGCCAGGTTGCGGGGCCAGTCCAGTACACGTGATAGGGAATGATGGGCCCAGGGCAGGTGCCAATATGGGAGCGGTTGGCGGGAACGGCGTCCTCGACGGAGATGTACTTTTCTAACGTCTTGCCGTGCCCGTCTGCGTTGATGTAATCTGCTTTGCGGGGATCCCTTGTGCTTGCTCGCTTGGCAGGTTCTGGCAAGTGGTAGTAACGATGCTCTTGTTGGGCAAAAAACTGCAGACAGTCAAACGGCTTCCTCATATTCTCGAGGCCAGCGTAGGTGCCTCTGCACTCTTCGATTAGCATGTCCAAGTCGGCTTCGGTGTCGACATGTGGCCGCGGACCCAGGTAGTCATCCCTAATCTTGACCGCGGTGGGTGGACGGTTGAAGACATTGGCGTACGGGTTGATATTGACCGTCTTGGAGGTGCCTGCAAACTTGACCTTCTTGCCCGACTTTGTCGACTCGATCAACTCGGTAGGGCCAGCCTTGTCCAGGAAGGCGGGAATGCCAATCTTGCCTCTGGCTGCGCCGCTGGGGTCGCTCACGAGGCTGATGAGTCCAAATATGGTCGCATAGAGCAGCGCTGCGAGCACGAGGTTTTTCAGCGGCAGAAAGGCTGCGCGAATCTTGGATCCATCGGCCATGCTGGGCCGGTGGGAGGCCTACGGAACTAGTGTCCCGTAGCCGAGTGGTTGTGGGTGAGTGCGACCGAGAAGTCTGTCTGCACTCGTAGTCTTTGTATAAGGTATCGGTGTGGGTTGGCCAGGTGGGGAATAGGCAAGGGGCCGGAATGTATGCGTGATATATCTGTGTGAGAGCAGGTGGCCAAAGAAGGGTTGTGAAGAAGAGGAGAGCAGTAGTGGTAGCGAAGAGGAGTCGCGGGGCCGCAGCGCGAGACGGGGAGGGGGGGCGGAGGGTGGCGCGGGTGAAGAGCAACAGGAGGAGAGGGCAAATAATGGGCGGACAGAAACTGGGAAGTCCTTGTCAGTTGTCGTGCGACGGTCAAGGAGAGACAATGAAGAGAAGAGAGCAGCGAGAGAAGCGAGAGAGCAAGTAGACAAGAAGACAAGAACCTTGGACAAGAAACGAGACAGGGCAAACTTGGAAACCAACAAGCACGAGAAGAAGGAGCGGCACGGCTATGGGGAAGGCAAGTGCGAATCAGCCAGTACGAGTAGGAAGCTGCAAGGCTGCGAGCCTGATTAGGTTAGACGTGCCAAGGACTTCCTGCAAGGCTACACAGTAGCTCGTCGGTTAAAAAGGGAGGGGGGAGGGGGAAAGGGAAAGGGAAAGAGAGGAGCAGCCAGAAATAGATGGAGTATAGAGTAAGTACATACTTCGTAGTATAACAAGTAAGCTTTTTTTAACTCTACCATGGTCTATCCTAGTCTATGCCTGTTTGTGAAATAGTGGGGTAATGTACAGTAACTTTGGTCAAGAGCAAGATTTTCTTTGTATGCAAAAATCACATCTTACCGGTAGTAGCCTATCCACCGTACTGTTCTCTCTACATTTTGTCGCTCTGTCGCTCTTGCCTGCCTCCTTGGCTGGAGAAGCCAGTCCAGCAGCGTGGAAGGTGCAGCCGACCGATCCCACAATAGCCTTTTGCCCTTGCCCCCATCCCGATATCGTCCCATTACCAGGCCGTTTTCTTTTTTGGCTGCTCTGCTTTTCAACCATCCTTTACTTCTCCATCTCGCTCGCTTCTCCACCGCGTTCTTTCACCGCTCACTTCCACATCGCAATCCCTTTTCTCTTCTGTCCTCACGTTGCCTGATGCCACCACCAACCCTGCTCCAGACGCACATCTCACGTGCCCTTCGATTACTTGACCGCCGCCTCTGCCGCCCCTGCCGCCGCTGCTGCTGCTGCTGCTGCTGTTGCTACTTGCGCCCTCGGACCACGCGACCCTATTCTGCCGTGACCGCTGCTCCACCGCGAACAGAGCACTTCGAGGTCCCATGTCGTTCCAACGGCTCCATCACCATCGAGTAAGTGAGTGTGGAGTCTGCCTGGAGTTTGCCTGGAGTCTGCCTTGGGCCCCCCCCCCCCCGGCCCGCCGCCGTCTGCGCCATCGTCTCACCGCCACCCCTGGCTCGCCATGCATTGCTTTCACTCTGCCCACGGCTCACCTCGCCTCAAATGAACACTAAACCCTGTCTCCAATCACCCGCAGCCATCACTAAGCCCTTCACACAGTGTCTACCATGCAACCAGGAAAGCATCGCCCATTCTCATCTATCTGCCACCAGGTCCCGTGCTCCCGGGCCATGCTGAGGAAGAGGAGCACATCATGTCCTCCTTGGCTGCCTCGAGTGCTGCAACCATAGCACGCATCAACTACCGCGCATCCGTAGCCCATCCATATCCCACGCCCTTCCACGATGTTGTAACTGGCTACGACTGGATAGTAGACAACTTGCTCCGTGATGAATTTCATCGTCCCCATCTCGGACGTCTGGGTGTCTGTGGGCAACTGGTGGGAGGCTCACTAGCGACCATGCTGGCCTTGACCGAATGTCGAGTGGGAGAAAATCGCCTCGCTGCTGCTGCAGTAAACAATCCTATCGTCGACTGGGTCTTCCCAGACGAGCTGCCATCTGTGGGTGCCTCAGAGCTGCCTGAGCCCTCAGGTGCAGACGATACGGCTTTCCCAGCTGATGTTGAATCTGCCATCCCACAGCCTTTGACAGCATCAATTCGCAAACAGAACAAGCCAGCCACCAAGAAACCCTCGCTTACGGCCTGGCAAGCTCATGGTGACAACGCTACAATACCTACATTGACTCTATCTGCCGAGCGTGACATGTTGTTTCGCAGGCCTGGTGACTACTTTGATCGCTTCGCATCGCCAATTCACTTTTTTCGCTCCCCGCATGCGCACATGATCTTCCCAGAGCAAGACGACATGTCCGCTTCGCAACAGCCCGAGGACCTCCTCGATAGAGAAGCTCAGTTTGCTCTCAATCATCATGCGTCCGCTGCTGGTAAGACCAAAGCATCGCCTGTAGTGGCTACGCTATCAAGGTGTCGCGCTTATGCTCGTAATTACCCACCAGCTGGTAGTTTTTTGAAGCTACCGGTTTGGCATATTACTACGGGCCTGCAAAGCCCCCTTTCAGATCAGGCACTGGACTTGGCCAAAGGCGTTCAACGAAGTCTTGCACGTCAGAGGCTCAAGTCACAGTCAGGACGCACGCGATGGCTCGATGCGGCGGAAAAGAAAGTGTACGAGCAGTGGGCCCAGGAACAGGTGCAACTACAATCACAACAGGGCATCGGTCTATGGTCGCCGTCGGACAAGGACGAGGACGAGAACTGGACAGCACCGGTTACAAGAGTGGGCATCTGGATGAAGCAACGTCTAGAAACAGATTTTGTGCGAAAAGGCACAATGTGCCCAAGACCTAAGTGACAGTCTCCAAAGAGATTGGCCTACGGAGACTAGGTAATGAACTGTATTTCCCACAAAATGGCGACCTCAAAACTCGTGAACAGGAATGTCCCGGGCCTTGAGCGCGCCGTACATGGCCCTATTGATACGATGCCACCTGTAGTCTCTATCCAGTGTCGCGGCCCTCGCATAGTTGAACACAAATCGCTCTAACTGCATAGGCGTCCAGAGCTTCGATTCGACACGCACCTGCGCCACATGTGCATGATACAAACACGGCAACCTCTTCTTCAGCGCACTTTTGTTCTCAATATGCTCCCAATAATACCAATCCTTCAAGAAGTATTTCAACTGCATGACTTCTGCGTACCGTTTGATCACCGTATCTGGCATAAATGGCAAAAAAGCTTCCACCGCCGACTCTGCTCCCATCATCAATGGCTGCCATTCCTTGCAGATCTGGGGGTTGGCCGTTGCCTTGAACACCGTGGGCCTATCCTTCTGTCTTGGGCGGTTTATCATCAGGGAGACTTGCAAATCCCTGTCATTGTTCTCGATCAAGTGGATGAATTCTCGCTGCTTTTTTTCATCACAATTTGGCACCGCGAACTCGATGTACGCCCGGGACATGGCCTGTCGATAGACCGGTAATTGTACCCACGGGAATCTTTCCAACCATGACCATGTCCGGGCCTGTGTCGTCTCCAAACCGCCGTCATGGATGACTAGCGGGATAATGCCTCTTTCCAGCAATCCGCGGATTGCATCGCCCCTACTCTCATCATTCCAGCGCTTCTGCACTGTATTCAAGTACCATGGATTGAAAGGATGATGTTTACTCTCTACCTGGAACGTTTGGAGTAGGAGGCCGTAGAAAACTTTCCAGTCGTTTGTGCGCCACAATGCCTTGCAGTCATCGGACAGCTGTTGCTCATAGTCGCGATCGTATGCGTGGTCATTGAGAATGCTTCTGGTGATCCAGTACATCAATGGGAGGAGGGGCATCAGGATGAAATAGACGACAATGATGGAGGTTGTGGAGTGCTCAAATGAGCCATAGTGTGTGTCTCCATCCGTGAGAAAAGACGAGGTTGCGTTCGGGTCCATGCTGATGTAGGGCGGTTTATAAGCTGTCTTCTTTCACGATATGGAAATTTTGAGGGTCCTGTGGTTCTCGCTGAGGGGGTTTCGTGTCCGCGATGGTGTGAGAGGTACAATTTTGGGGTTGGGGTGTGGGTTTTCGACATACAATCAAATACTTCTTTGACAATGGATGGACATTTTGGAAAACGATCCACTAAAAAGTGCTACGGCTCAGCTTATATATCTGTGAGATTTGCCATGGCCCCGTAGATGATTGTGCAAGTCGCCTAATCCGGCGTGGGGGCATCCATGGCCTTTGTTCGCTTTGTCAACAGGCACCCAACCCCGGCGGACAACTACCTAGATTGCACACGAGCATACCGTAGTAGACAAAGAGCTGTGTGTGGGAGAGCTGAGACGGAAAACGCATGGATTGGGCAGATATGTTGGTTAGGGTAGGTGCAATAGTGCTGTGTTGCCTTGGCAAGATCTTGATAGAAAGAATCTACTAGGTTGTAGATTGTGAATGACAAGGTACCGGTACGTGATCAGTCCGATCAACGCGCAGACTAGTATAATGGCGTGCATACAGTTAGTTCATCGCGACATCGTACCAACATGAACACGAGGGGTCCGAAAAAGGCGCATATATTCAGTAGTATGTGATGAGAGGAACTAAGTATGTTTTCGGTTTGAAATGTTAATCATATCATGTTGTAAACATGAGTGATTTCAAGTCTGACAAGCCATGTACATGTGCACCTGCAAGGTGCGTAGGAGCAATCGCACAATGTATCCATGTAATTTGTTCCTTGGTTTACAGAGCGACTGCTACGTTGCAAACCGACGAGAGCATAGGCCGTGACAAACGACAAGAACCTCCTAGCCTCCACAATCGTATCGGCTTCCGTACCATACAGAACCCAGATCATGATTACTGTGATGCTCATGAAGTGAGCATTTGCCAGTACCCCAGCACGAGTGACGCTACGAAAGCTCATCTGCTCCTCGACAATCAAACGAGTGAGCGACATGAAGACCAAATATGTTACTTCAAAGCTCAGAACCCCTCAACTGGAGGTGTGATCATGAAGGAATCAGATCCCTCATGACCGAACTCATCCGTAGCACCGTCAGCGCTGCCTGACGAGACACATTGATACTTGACGTCTAGCATACTGAGACACTCCAAACCCTTGCTCAAGGCTTCCTTTCGAATAAGAAGTTGCTGCCGACGTTTCTCGTGCTCAGGAGATTTGACTAGGAGACGTTGTGCAATTACAGGTCCTGGTGTTGTTAGTCAGTCTTGTAAAGATCTACTTGATTACGCTTGTAGATGCTCACCGTGGTCCTCGTCTCGAATGCCCAGACCCGTTTCGAGCTCCTCGCGCAGCTGAGTACGGAGTTGTTTGAAGAACTTTGACTCGATGCGCATACATATTGAATCGTGGAAGCGCCGAGCTGCGATGTTGTAATACGATGTGATCTCGGCGATCAGGTCGATAACTTTCTCGTACGGTTCTGGTTCTTTCGCAATCAATGCCATCTTCATGTTGTCCTTGCGGACCTTGTCTTGCTCATTTTGCGTCAATTTCCGGCCTAGAGAACCGTTGGCCTCAGATAAGAAGACGCCGAAGCGCATGTGCTGTCGATGCTGACGGTAGATCTCGCGGACTGTAGCCTTCTCCTGGTTAAAGACGTCTTGGTGGAAAATATATGGACCCTCCAGTTCATCTTCGAGCGCTTCTTGTGCCATAGTTGTCTGCTGCTGGTTGATGTTGTTGGAAAGTATTTCGTGAATAATCTTCCAACTCTGCTGGAACAGCTCAGTGCCTTGGCGTTTCACGAAGTGCTTGTTGAAAAGAAACTGCATGCGCGATGAAATCTCATTTTCAAGATTTGAAAATAATAGGTTCATGGGGCGTCGCCAATCTTTCAGTGGCTCGACAATCATAGCGTCCCGAACCTTCGGGTGTATCTGATTTGGTATTTTGCTCTTGGAAGATTGGCTGATCTCATGAACGACCGCATCCAGATTATAACTCTTCTTGAATTTTGCGAAACCAGATGGCACAGGTTTTTTCTCTGATCGCTTTGATGGGGATCCTTTCGGGTGTTGCTTTGCGCCCATAACCGCACTCTTTGACGATGACTGAGTTTGGGACGAATCTTCTAGCTTACGCTTCTTGGGGCTCACTTGCACATCGTGCATCGGGATATCGTCATCATCATCAGAGTCGATCGGAAAGGCGTTATCCGCTGAGGTGCCGGGCAAGGTACATGCGTAAATGCCTTCATCGAGAAGTCCTTTGGTCATTAGGGCAGGTTTCATTGCCATAAGCGCATTTCTGAAATCGTTCTGGATACGTTCCCAAGTATTCCACCACTCCGTATAACCGTGCTCGCCTTCCATCTCGTAACGAACATCGAGGGAAAATTCCATTATATGATCAGTGATCGCCCTCACAGCACTGTGTGCTGGAGTAACTGGAATTCTCTCAAGCTCGTTCTCGATATCGTTAAGCTGGGCCCGAATCTGACTGCGGATCTCGGGAAGCCTGTTGAAAGTGCGCTTAGCGAGTTGTTTCGAAAGGTAAAGCTGCAAGTTCTTTGTCCCAAAGCGATCCTGGAAGCGACGGAGATTGCTTGCCCAGCGACCTTTGCTAAAGAACTCCATCTCGTTGGCGCGAGCTTCACGATGGCCTAGTCCATCACGAATCTCTTGCTTATTGAGATTCTTGACAACAAAGTAGCCATGGCCAAGCTTGAAACGCTTGCCATCTAAAACATTGAGCAAAGATTGGTCCGTGGTCCCGGGCGCGAGCAGATCAGGTTTGGTCAATACACCTAAGCTTCTGATTAGTGTGGTTATTCAGGAAGTTCAACAGAAATATTTGCCCACCAATACATCGGTCAGTAGCGTGGTATTGGCGTGCTAGCCCCGCCGCAGTGGAATTGGCAATGTCTGTGCCCAAATCACACGTTACAAGTATCAGTGAGCCTTCTTCCTCAACGTACTGTCCAACCAAATTCTGTACCAATGGCACAGTGTACGCTTCCTCATCGGTTTCAGCTTGACTGATGAGACCGGGCAGGTCAAAAAAACTCAAAGACGGTAAACCAGGCTCCGTGATGTCGATGCATACCACGTTAGGACTGAACTTGTTCTGATTCATATCAATACGCGGTCCCGGGGTAGCCAAAAATGCTTTCGGGTCAATGAGTGGATTTAAGTTAGCGCTCTGCGCAGATCGGATGATGCCTTCAAGGTCAAGGCGAGATCTTGTCTCCGCGAAAAAGATTCTCCTTGATTCTGTGGGTATCCACCCAGGAAAAAGCTCTTTGGCCGCCTCTTTTGGCCGTGTGTCTAGTACGTAGTCTCGCTGGAGGGAAACTCGTGCTGTCCATGTGTCGTTGGAAGTGTTCGAAGGCTTCATGTTAATGTACAAGGGACAGCAGGTACAGGTGTCGGTATCGCGGGGTGTCTTGATGCCTGAGATAGCCTCAATAACCGAAGATTTTCCAGTGCTCTGTTGCCCTGCATTGAAGTCTTGTTAGTAGGTTCTCCGTTATTAAACAAAAAGAAAACATACCAAGTACGATGCATCGCGGAAGCGAAATGTCAAACTTCTGTAGTCCAAGTCCTTCAAGCTGGCTAAGAGCTGTAGCTGCCTCTTTGACATCTCGCCCAAGTGGGTCGATCTCGTCATGAGGTGCAACGTTTGAAGAAGACTGATCTGTAGGGCATGTCAACACAGTGTTGCTTCGATTGTACCTAAGAGGGGAAAGAGGCGATCTCACCAGAAACATCGTCGATGCTCATGGGTTCAAGTTCCTCGCTCAGCCGGGATGTTTCATCGCGCGTCGAGCGACTGGTAGACTGGCGGCTCTCTAGCGTTGTATCTGAATTCTCGCCTTCATCGCTCGTGATGGCCGCAGAAGCGTTCGGCTTGAGACCCTTGCTACTGCGTTTGGACATTGTCGCCTATATTTGCTGAAGAGAGAGGTGGGAACACAAGTAGTAGGGGTTTGAACTAAGTGAGAGAACTGAGATAAGTAAGGAAGGTGAGGGAGGTGAGAGGTAAATAAAGCCACTGCGACTCGTGCCAAGACCTGGTGGGGCTGGGAAAATGAGGTGAAGGTGAAAGCTCATGGGCAAGGTAAGAAGTGATTGGAATTTTGACCCATTGATTTCTGCGTACGACTAAGACGGCAGAGCAGAAAGTATAAAGGACTATGGCAGATGAAAAGAGTCCGCATTCGCGCTGTGTTCACTGCAATGCTCTTTATATTCACATCGAAATCTATCTCGGACCTTTTGGCAACCATCACGGAAGGAGAGAAATATGTTGAACTGGACTGAGAAAATTGGCACAAAACGTGTCTGAAGCAGAAGACGTCTGTCAGTGTCGACCCTTTCAAAATCCAAGTTGGAACTGACACCCAGTAGACTGGGAGGAGCCAGTGTCGGTGGTGGTGGTGATGAGGGCAGACGGTGTTTGCATTTGTTTTGGGCAATCTATGTCGTCTGTCGGAGCCCGCGCACTAGTGCAGGTTACAGTTAGCGCGGTGGCCGGCTGGGAAAAGTCTCGCAACCGCATCATCATAGGTGCAAGTGCCAGCCAGCATCTGACGACAAACCCGAAGCCTATAGCGAGCCCACGCGATAATCCTGTCTCAATCCTCTCCCCCCTTTGAGGCTCTCTTCTCTTCTACCGCTGCAGAATGGATCATTCGCGCGATCCTTGTCCCTGGGTCATTCTCAATGATTTTGGCGGCGCCTTTGCCATGGGTGTATGTCCCCATGCTCCCACCACCAACCACCTCCACCACTATCGATGCATCACACTAACATAAATCTATCTAGGCTGTCGGTGGTGCAGTCTGGCACGGCGTGAAAGGCGTAAGAGCCCCTACCCTTTCTTCTCACCCTACAAACTTTGCCCCACTCCCACAACCCAACACTAACTTAACCATGCCCAATAGTTCCGCAATTCTCCTTACGGCGAGCGTCGCATCGGGGCCCTCACAGCAATCAAGGCGCGCGCCCCCGTCCTGGGCGGCAATTTTGGCGTCTGGGGAGGCCTCTTCAACACATACGACTGTGCTGTCAAGGGCATACGGAAGAAGGAAGACCCATGGAATGCCATCATCGCTGGTTTCTTCACCGGGGGCTCGCTGGCTGTGCGAGGAGGATACAGGAGTATGCGAAATGGGGCGATAAGTTGTGCGATTTTGCTGGCCGTGATTGAGGGCGTCAGTATTGGCTTCAACAGGATGATGGCGGATAACACCAGACTGGATGCGCCGCCACCGCCGAGTGATGTGGGGGCAGGAGGGGGTGGTGGTGGAGGGATGGCTGTCGCTGCTTAGAGTGCACGCGCATGTGGGAGCCATTCTAGCCTTCGCGCTTCCTGGGGCGGTAGAGCATGTGGTTAAGCGCAGCGGACGAGCAAACGAATGAAGGACTATAATGTTAAAAAAAAAGCCAGGAAGAAAAGGAACAAGGAGACTTGGCTGTTCAATGCGGTGTTGGTTCCGGGTTCTGGCATATTACCGCAACAGCCTATTTTGGCTGCGGTCGGCGTTCACACTCTCCTCAGCTTTGGGCTATATCTGTACCATATATATGCAGTCATGATTTCTGAAAGACGGCAGCGAAGGCTTCTGTAGAAGGGGCTCAGAGCGCTGCATACTGCTTGTCGTTGCTGACACCATAGATCAATGCATAAAAGCCACTTCACCATCTACTCCACTTGTGCATAGTCATGAACGATCTTGCAAGGCCTGAAAGCGATTTAATACAATTAGTCATTGCATACCCTACACTGGTCTTTGCGTCGACTGAAAATTTCTGCAGTGCAGGCTATCTTGTGGGCGGATTATAGCTCGACTGCGCTCTCGAACTTGTACAGCGGAAACCAAAACTTGGAACGAAAGCACATGGTGGCTACTAGTATGTCTGGAGACTTTTGAGGGCGGGTTCTACCATTCGCTGGCTCTAGGGCCCACGTCCTACTCTCCATCCCCCAGGGCTCGCGTCGGCTGGTGATCAGTCAGTTATTCAAGTTGGTTGGCCGCCTAGGACTTTCCTATCGATGCCAACACTGGCGGCACGCCGACCGCCAGTGCTGCACCCGCGGCCTCCACTGATAGATCTGGAGCAGCTATACCTAAGGAGTAGCCAGGGAACACTTTTGTGATCGCCTTACAGCTCTCACGCTGGCAAGGTTTGTAAGATGTGACTCTGGCCTTTGAGGTAAGCTGCTGAACAGACTCCAGCTGCGCAGTGCTGAAACGTTTGCGGTTATGCGGACCCAATTGTCCGGCATCTCTTAGACCATAGTGTCCTTCACATTAGATCGAGTCACTAGGACTTGAATATTAGTTAATGACTGGCGGACACAAAATCCGCCAATGGAAGTGGTTGAGGGCTGGTAGTCGCAGCTTATGAAGCAGTGTCAGGAGCAATCATTCCAAGCCTAGAATAGGCAGAGCCGGTACAAGTATAGCAGCCTTACATGATCAGCCAGGACTTCCAGATTATGATGACCGGACTTCCCTGGATCTGATGGTGGAACTGGTGCTGGGGTAGTCGCTGGGCCCTGAGCTGGAGCGAACGCTGGAACTGGTTCAGTGGAGCTTTGTAGTCCAGCATCAGGGAAGCGGTTGATGAAACAAAGCTGATTATATAATTGACTACCGAGACGGAAGTCGATAGGCATGATTGGGAGGCTTTGTAGTTCGCCGTGTAGGAGACATTTCCAGGTCCGTACTGGGCAAGTTCTGGCTAACGGGCAACTGGGATTGCACCTCCTCGCATCATAACAACAGTGCTGCATGTCACGATGACTAACTAGACCTGCATGCTTCGGGAACATCCTGGCAGCCGCTGCAGTGATATCTTCCGCCCATTGAGGCTCTACGCGCCCCTACTACGAGCCGACCTCGTCCGCCCAACTGCGACCTTTCTCCAGAGGAGATGGGAGGCCAAATGATTCTTGTTTCTGAAGATCGGGTCGTACAGGGTCCGCTTTCTTGATTCCCGTCGTCTTCCCCTTCGTTGGGAAGTCTAGCACTTTCGGCGCACCATTGTCCTTGGGTGTGGACCCTGTAGCGGAAGGCAGTTCGGGGAAGTCTGCTGCTGATGGCGCTTGCTGCGAGCTGTGTTTCCTCGGCTCTGGCTGTCTGGAGCTTTCATAATCGCCACGCCCGCCTCGACCACCCCGTCCCCCCCTGCCGCGGCCCCTTCCGCGCTGAGAGTGGGAATACGCATTTTCTTCCATGGGCTCGTCTGCGTGAGAATCTTCACTGGGCCGCGTAGGTGCAATGCCTCCGTGTGCTCCTCGCGCCGCGCCGCGCCTCTTCTCCTCTCCCGTGCCAGAGAAGCCCTCTTCCTTTTCGAAGTCCCACTCGCGGCCGCCTTGGGCATTCAATTTTCTCAGACGGTTCTTCTCGCGCTCGCCCATCATCTGCTGGCGATTTTGGCGCTCAGCTTTCTGCTTCTCCGCCTGCACTTTCTTCTTCTCGATATCTTGCTGCTTGAGGACGGCCTCCCGGGCCTCGAAATTGGCTTGGTCAGCCTCGGCGCGGGCGTGGGCAGTCTGCAGCGCTTCATTCTTGGAGCGCATGTTGGCGAGCTTCGCGTTTAGCTGTTCCTCGGTCAGGCGCGTGCGTGCCGCTCCACCAGTCAACGTTCTATCGCCACGAACCGAGTGCGTAGGCTTCTCTTTGGGCTCTGTTGGGGCAGATGCGGGCACCGGTGGGGTCGCTGCGTTGTCAGAAGATGGCTTCTCTACGGCTGCTGGTGTGAGCTCCGCCATCTTATCTGCCTCGTGCAGGATTGGCTCCTTCTCTTCTAAACGGACGTCGATGTAGTTGGCTCCGCGACCGCGTCCACGGCCCCTGCCTCTGCCACGACCGCGGTTTCCTCTATCACCATTGCGTGGCTCGCGCGGGGCGTGGGGAGCCAGATGCGCCTGGGATGAGGTCGGTGGCTGCGCCTCCTTGGGGACAAACTCGGCGGCAGACGCTTGCAATTCAACGGGCTCTTGCTCAATGACGGGCTCAGCTATGGGCGTCATATCATCGTCGAAGAAGAGATCGTCGGTACTTGCCGTCTGAGCAAAGGGGTCAATCGAGGGGTCATCGTAGGCAGGGTCGTAGGACTGCGGGACCTGTTAGCATTGTACATTTGCGCCCAGATAGAAACACGCGTGGGCCGTGGCGTGGCATAGCACACAGGCTGTCTATCCTCTATCGGTGCTTACCGCAGGGACATGGTCGGCTTGTACTGGGGCTGCGTCAGCGACCGTCGCCGCAGGGGCACCTCGCGCGTCGACTGAGGGCGCTGCTATCTCGGTGGCTATGGATTCGGGCTTCTGAGAGTCGCTGGTGGCCGTGTCGGGCTTCGAGGCCCATTTTGACTGTAACATTATGCTACAGCGGCCCAGGAGGATGTGATGAATACACTGCTGAGAGCAGGAGAGGGGGGGAGGGGGGGGGAGGTGAGCTAACGGTTGCGTAGTGATAACGTGAATTCTTTAATTTTGCAAGGGAAAGGGACGAGGGCGCAGTTCATATGACCATGGAATTAGCGCTGCGTGAACTCGTATTCGGCATGGGGTTAGGCCGTGCCAAGCTCCACTAGCTAGCTAAGCGAGGTTAACCAAACATCATGCCGTAAGATTTTGCAACGCGTTCTAAACCTATTCTAAACACATTCTATACTAGTAACACCACAAGCCGCCGCCGCTATGCCTGTTACTAACGCATCCCTCTTATCCTACGTAAGCAGATTAAAACGTGTTTAGAACGTGTTCTTAACAGGTTACAGAAGCACTATTAATAGTACCTCGCCCTTAGCCGCGTCCTAGACAATATTAGGGCATGGCCTGTGGTTAGCCCTAATAGGGTAGTTAAGATAGAGAGTGGAGAGCGCTACTGCCGTGCTAAGATTAACAACGAGGGCACCTTATGCGGAGTAAGAATAGGTTCTAAACGTGTTCTAAATAGGTTCTAACATTCTTAGGCTATTCTAGGTACTAGGGGCACTCTGTGTACCTATGCTAAAAAAGATTATAGGCTTAATATAGCCTACTATAAGGTTAGTAGGGTTAAGAAGACTAGCTAGCCCTCTATAACAGAGGTCCGCAAGGCAAAGAGTAAATATATTATTAACCTATTCTTAACTTATTATGCTAATACATGTAGACTTCTATATAAAGGTTATACGTAATTACTAGAACGCTCCTTACCGTAAGTTGTTTAGAATATATTTAAAACTTGTTGCTAACGTGTTTTATAGAAGTTCTCTAAGCCTAGCTAGCAGCTACTATAGGCCCCCCTGCAAATGCTAATACCCTCCTAAATGTGATTTAGAAGAAGACTTGTAGTGGCCGCAATAGCAATAAGGTATAGCCTGTAAGAACCTGTTAAAAACACGTTGCTAACTTGTTATAGCTTGACTTTGTTACTATATCTACCCTGCTAAGGATTTAAGGTTATTAGGTTCCTTGTGCTATCTGCGCTCGCAATTATCCTAGCCGTAGTAAGTTGTTTACAACATGTTGTTAACCTGTTCCTAACGTGTTTTAAGACTGTTACTTTGATGCTAGTGTGGACCTTGCTAATTCCTACTAGAATGCCGCCTAGTTCTACTTGCGGTATGCTTTTGTAGAGCCTAGGGAGGATAGAGAAGATACTAGAGAGGGGGAGGGAGATAATAACAGCAACAAGTAGGAACACGTTAAGAACGTGTTAAGAATAGGTTCTAATAAACGATGTACAATAGCATATAACCTAAAGGGGTGGTAGTAATTACTAAAATAAACTCTCTACTCTTCTCTTTTTTTTTCTATCTACTAAAAGTAAAGTACTATTTACTTTTACAGGGTCCTTTAATAGTATATAACTTTTTCTTTTAACTTTTATAGGTATTGCAAAGCTCTAGCAGTCCCTTAGATTAAAGAAGAATCTGGCATTTATGGGTGTCTAGCTATAATATATTGTTAACATGTTCTAAACGTGTTTTAAGAGACTAGACTTACATCTCCTTTTTGCTGCTTTTGCTGAATATTATTTACAGTGTAAAGGGGAGCAACTATTTGCTCCTCTTCTTTACTCTCTACTTCCTCTTCAGCCTCTACTCTAGCTACCACTTCTTGTTATAGACTAGCTATCTTAGAGGGTTCTTGAACCTTAGAGGAGGCACTTAGTGCAGTCTGCTCTACTAGTGGAGAACGTATTGTTAACGTGTTTAGAATATATTCTTAAGCATTTACTATTAAGCTCCTATAGAAGATCCTTGCTTCTGTAGTGCCTTGTATTGTGGTTCTGCCATAGTTTACTAGGGCTATTTGAACCTTAGGATAATACCTCTTAAGGTGGTGGATAAGATTGCCTCTATTAGAGAAGCGACGCTAAAATGGTTGTTAACATGTTGTAAACGTGTTCTAACTCGCATGCATACATACTCTACAAAGTTCCTGTACCCCTAATCTAGCCTAAATGGCCTGGTAGAAAAGCTCGCCAGGAAATACTATACACCTATTATTTAGGTAGGATGTTACAGGAGAGAATACCCTAGTATTAGATAGAAGTGACTTAAGCTTAATATATCGCTGGTATAAATCCTACTTAGTGTTAGAACAAGTTCACAACGTGTTCCTAACGCGTTCTATCACATACTAACTTTAAAAGATCTTTGTGGACTATATTAACTAGTTATGTCTAATAATATTAGGAAAGATAGATAGTAAAACAGTATTAAACTCTTAAATATAAAAAGTTCTTGTAGAGTGTAAGAAGAAAGAAGAAGAAAGAGAAGAAGAAAGAATATATATTTATCCACTTATGTGTGCTTATATAATAGACTAGAACATGTTAAGAACTAGTTAGGAACTAGTTACTATATTTGTAGACTAACCCTGCCTCGTATAAAAAGTAGCTATCTCTTTCTTAAGTTTAAACTGTGCCTTTTGCAATTTAAACAGTGCCTTTTTCTATGCAAGTTCTTCCTTATCTACCTCTAGCTTTTCTTTTCTCTCCTTTAGAGCCTAATTACTAAGAAGAGCCTTTTGTTGTAAAGTTTGTGGTTGCAGACTAATAACAAGTTAGGAACGTGTTGTAAACGTGTTTCGCAAAGCATACCTTTGGGTTGCTGTTAGTAGAGGAGAAGAGCCTAGTAGTAGAGAAGATAGAAAAGGGGCTAGTGAACTTCTTTCTAATACCGCTCTACTACTTGCCCTCTAGCTTTAGGCTTTTAAGCGTGCTCTTTTATTTCTTATTAGGACTAAGATATATCTAGTTAAGTTAGACATAGCAAGACTTGCTTTATTATTATCTAGAGTGTTGTTATTGTCGCGGGACGCGTTCTAAACACGTTCTAAACATGTTTTAATTAGCGAATGTGCATAACACTAGCGTAAGACTTACTTTCTCCCCTCTAAAGCTTTTTAAGGTACCTTTGCTTAAGCCTATTAGGAGTTCTATAGTTATAGCGTATTCTAAACTTGCTCTAGGCTTTAAACTCTTTTATATCCTGTAGATCCATCTAGTGTGCACTACACGATGTTACTTATACAATTCTAACAGGTTAAGAATAGGTTGTAAACTTACTTCTAAGTAGCCTTAAGAATACTTACATGCTTACTAGTTTTATATCCTTTCTAGCCTGCTTGCTTAGCTGTATTTAAATAAGATTCTAGTTTTTCCTATGCCTCTTTTAACATTTTACTACAGCATTGCACAATCCTAGTAGCAATTACTAGGTTTTTCTTATAGATTGCCTAGTTTTAGGCATCTTTAGAGGGTTCGTGTTCTAATTATGTGAGAACAAGTTAGGAACACGTTTAGAATAGGTTTAGAATATGTTTACTTACGTGAGAGGAGGTTAGCAAGCTAAAAGTATTCCTCTGCTGTTAATGCCTGTAGTAATTCACTTAGACGTAAAGAGGTAGTATTATCTAGCTCTCTTTTACATGCTTTGTAAATACTTCTTTGTAGATGTACTTAACAAAATCTTATGCAAGATTGAAGTTGCTAGCGCTAGTTACGCTTGTAGGGATTAATTAACTAGAGATAGCGCCTAAGTCCTAGAAACAAGTTAGAAACACGGTTACAAACATGTTGTGGTGCGCCGTAAAACTTGCCTGTTATCTACTTATTACACATGTTAATAGTAGTCCTATAGAATCCCTGTGAGTAAATATGCCTCTATAACACTTGTCTTTTTATAAGTGCTTTATACTTCTAAAAGAAGTTAGTAATAGTAACTTGATATATCTTAGTTGTGTCCTTATCTATAATAATTTAGCTAAGTGTAATAACTGCAACGTGTTAGAAACGTGTTACAAACCTGTTCTTAATGCGTACGCTTCTTTTCCTGCAGGTGGAAGATTACTATTAGAATCTCTGCCTATGCCCTATACAACCTCTTATATAACATATCTATCTAGAATATGTCTTGATCTAATAGAATTAATGCCTGCTCTTTAAAAAGGCAAATAATTAAGTTACCTAAGCTTAATGTGAAGATTTGCTATATATACGCCTATAGTAACGTGTTAACAACGTGTTCTAAACCTATTCTCTTACACTATGTATAGTTTTAGGATCCTAATGCTTTGTCCTCTACTTATAGTGTACTCCTCTAAGGCTACTCTTAAATAGGAACTGTAGAAGCTTTTCACGCTTTATAATACGCGAGATTTTATCTTTATTTGCAAAGCTAATATGCATTTCTTTAATAGAATAGAAACCTTTAAGTTAGAGATAGGTTTAGAGCTAGGTTAAGTTTAGGAACTAGGCTGTAACAAGTTAGGAACACGTTTGTAATAGGTTGCAAACAACTTATATTGCGTAAGCTGCGGAGTAAGCATAGGCTGCAACACCTTTACTACTTCCTTAATATTACTATTAGATAGTGTTAAGGGAGGAGGAGGTATATGTGTATGTATACTAAAAGAAATAATAGCAAAAAAAGGTATTGCTACTATATCTATTAGTATAATTACTTAGAAGGTAACTTTACACGGGATTTTAAACAGAGATCCTTGCCCTTGTGGATGATTAATGCCTAGAACATGTTAGGAACGTGTTAGGAATAGGTTGTAATATGCCTACCACACTTCTTTATCTAGCTTGACTGTGGCTTAACCACAGAACATAAAGCAGGACTACTAGAAAGATTTAATATCTCCCTAGTTAGAAGACCTTGTAGATATGTGGAGTCTACCTCTAGTGGTACCTAACTAAAATAATGTTTTTTCCTAGTAGCAGATATTAGGCTGTAGTTCTAATAGCTAATGTATAGTTGAGCCTATTCTACAATTTGCTAACTTGTTGTTAACACGTTTTAAACATGTTTAAGTTTCGCTCCCTACCTAATTTACTATAGTCCTTATTACAGGATAACAAGACACCTAGTAGTCCTTATAAATCCTTGAAGAGAAGCGCTTAATAAGGCTATAATAATAGCTTCTTGTTCGTAGTTCTCTTTGTAGAATTTCTTAGGTACTGCACTTTTTAAGGTTTAGATCTAATTATACAATGTGTTATTAACAACGTGATAAGAACACGTTTGTAACGTGTTCTTAAGATACTTACACGCTTTTACCCTAGAGCATTAGTATTTATACTAGCTTGCTAGCTAGCTATTAAAGAATAGTAAAGTTGTAGGCCTGTTAAGATAGATAGACTGGCGGGAGTATTGTACCTGCTAGAATTAGAACAATTTAAGAACGTGTTCTTAACGTGTTACCTGTGTAGCCTGCATAAGCACCTCTTCTCTTGTTAGGTAAGAGCTATCTTTATATTGCTAAACTGGTATTATATACCTATACCCTTAGCTGTGTAATTAAGGGTATGCTAGGAGAATAGCTGCATGCTTAATAATTACTAGTGTAAGTAGTGGTCCTTAACTATTACTATAAGTAAGGTATACATTGTGCCCCTGTAACGTGTTACTAACCTATTCTAAACTTGTTCTATTTACTTTTACTTACTTCCTTAACGCTACTACTACTATCCTCCTCTAGCACTTTATACGGTTGCCTAAATTCATCTCTAATATTACTATCTAGTTTAGATACGTTGTCTAGTACTGCTGTACTAAACTCTGGTATAGTATTTAGGAACGCCTGCATATTGTTAAGAACAGGTTTAGAACACGTTTGAAAAAGATAGTAATAAAAACTGCGTTTACTTGCTTAAATTACCCTAATTTATACTTGACCATAGGCTAGTTTATATAACCATGAAAATTTGCCGCTGTGACGTGGACTTGAACCTACAGGGATATTCTAACCACTCGGAGTAGAGCCCAAGTCGCCCGACGCTAAACCCATGGTCATATGACATGCCACCACGGAAAGGGACCAAAGCGATGGATGGCGATATGGCTGATTAATGATGGCAGATACCTACCTAGGCAAGCGTCGCTGTGTGGGGGGGCGGGGGGGCACCAACACGTGATCACACGAACACCCCCAGGAACATGGCTACCAAGACTGGACTAGCGCTGAAGCTCCCCCACACTTGCAGCCAACCCCCACCCCGCTTAGGGGCCTCTGGTCCACAACGCCGTCCACTTTGTTCCACCTCATCATCAACGGCTCGTCTGTCCACGGCCACCTGGGAAAGGCACAAGAATCAGGCAGATATTCCGCCAATGCCAACATTAACATTATCCATCTAGAATCTGAATTCCATTGGGCCAAACATCGTCACCAACCAAAACGTTAACCTGATGCAACATGTACGTATCATCCAGATCCTACAATGCGCCATATTCCCATCAGTCCATGGGACGCTGTGTCATGCTACGCTCATTGATGAATCAAGTCTTAGTTCTTCAGCTACCGGCTACTCAAGGCGGGTGGGTATTGGATACTTGATGTGATTTCAAAGCAAAAGCCACGACCAACACAGCGACACTGTCAAATGCGAGAAGGATGAATGTCACTACCAGAGCCAAAGTCGCTCTAGTGGCTCCGTGGGTGGAAGAAAACCGCAATATACCTTCTATTCGGGGCAAGAGTACTGTATATTCAATAGGATCATAGAGCTCCTACTTGGCGCACTTTTAATCGTTCACGTGCGACACGCGAGTCATTATCACTGATCGTGCCGCTCAACCATTTCAACTCCTCTGGAGGATGACAACGACTCTTTCTAAAGCTTTTAAACTACTCGGACTTGCACTGTCCCTGCGCTGCAGCCAAGTTGGCTTCATTCTGCTTCGTCCCATCTTCTACTTCCTTCACTAAAGTCTCCAAAACGTCCTTATCTTTTTCCCCGTCTCCAGTAAGACCCATCACCTGTCGCATCTCTGTAATCTGGGCCCCCTCCACAACGTTCAATCCATCTATTGCGGGACTATTGATATCTTTTGCGAGGTTTTGGTTCTGAGCGCGGATGTTGATACCAAGTTGCTGGATCGCAAGGACCCTCTGTCGCTCCTCCGGGAACTGGCTGGATGCCTGATTCGGCTCAAGCTTCTGTAAGCATTTGATACTGGGTACTGATTAGATCCAAACTTGTGATTACTGCTGGAACATCTGCACACCCAGCAAGTTCCTGTTGCTGTACAAATAAATTCGCTTGAATGCCGCCCGCAAGTTGTGTAACTTTTTCCATGTCACATGTGGCATTTTGACGAACTGACAGTGTGGGACCGCCGAAAGCGGACCCGACGAGGACTGTGAGGACAAAGAATTTCATTTTGAAGCCAGAATGAGGTATATGTGTAATAATTAGTGTGTAGTAATTAGACCTGGACGAGTTGGGATCAGTGTTGGAAATGGAGTATTCTCGCGTCCCACGAGTCTTTATGAGCTCAAGGACAGCTACGAGGGCACAGCTCACTGTCGGCTGAGAAACATCCGCAGAATTGCCCTTGCATCACAAGCTTACAGATCTGCGACACGTACTGGTACTTGCTATTTTCTACGAACTGTGTGGTTCGTGGGGCCGTTCGTCGGTGAAATGGTACGGTACCTATAGGTAGCGCCGGAAACGACCGCGAAACAACGGGGCTGACAAGCCTGCCATGCCGTAGATCCCGGCTTGGGAAAAGCTTCTCCTCAAATGGGGGACAGACGCGATGACATCAATTAGTCGTGAAGAAGAGCATGTCCCATAGGTAGATATCTCTAATATCAATATCCGTGCGCGAAAGGTACCCCAAGGCTTTTCAAAAACAGTGGCGGTAATGACTTTCCAGCTACTGATAAGGGTTCTCAATGATAGCTCTACGTTATTATGCCTGGGGAGAGAGCATAGGGACATTGGTCTCACTTTCAGTATTTCGGATCGATTTCGAATGATCAAAGTTTCAGGGCACAATGATATCCCGGTCGTGAGCCAGTATATCCATCGGCGCTTCCCTTGATGCTGGAAGTAGGGCCGCAACCCCAGCCACTCTACTGCCCCACGAAGAAATGTTCATCGAGCCATAGCAACTTACTATAGCAAGTGCGAATGAACCTGTATCTTGCATCATAATCCGCAAAGTCTGGATTGTGCCATGCAAATAAGCCCAATGATCAGCTGAGCGTGTTGACTGCCTGGCTCTACATCTGTCTTTCTTGCCCCTTGAGTACTGAAATGGAAATCTATCTTGAAGCCCAGATTTCATGGTGGAAGTCTAGACAGAATATCGGGGCAGCTGTAGATCAGGCTGACTTCAGTCGCATTACTGTCGGAAAGAGCAGAATTCGCAGGCAATTTCAGTCAGAAGAATGACAAACTACATTGTACCTTACGGTCATCAAGGCAATCCGCCTAAGTAGGTTGCTGAACACAGGCTCATTGAGCCATTTCATCGTCGAATTATCATGAGACATGGTCCGTAGACCTCATCTATGGGTGAAATTTGATATCCGTGCATCTCTATGAGCTCCGCGAGGGCATGGTTCTGACGCGCATGGTGATCTTCTTGGTGCTGTCAATACTTTTGCTATAACGCTTCATAACCTAGTCACTATCGTTGTCAGTATTGAGCTCACAATAACTATCATACTGGAGATGGAAGAATTCCAAAGATGAGCATGGCGGTGGCTTAAAATATGTAGGGAAGTGCATGATTGCCTTTCTCGACACGGTGCGCATGAGATCAGTAGCAGAACTTGAGCACCATTCTTTCTGGTCTTGGTGCAGTAGTGGTCATTGTAGTGGATAGAGACTCGTGATCTGAACGGATGTTTCAAACCCATGCTATGGCTTCCACTCAGCGATTGTAGTGGCACTGACATTGAACCAGTCAAATGGCCAGCGCTAACATTACAACACTGGACTGCCTTTCCGGCTTTTCAAAAAGTAGTGTGCATTACAAGATAGTTGGCGTAATTTCTTCGGCTGCCCTCATTTCTAGTCCCTTTCTATGCGAGGACCCGCATTTCTCAGATAGTGGGAAAAGACTCGGGTGCGCAGTTTCACCTCCAGGTTCGAGCTGGAATTTACTGATGATACTTCGTCGTTGTTAGCTTCCTGAGGACCGGAACTTGTCGGTGCATTTACCGGTAGCCGATATGAGCCTGTTGTTATCCACACAACAACGATGATGAAGGCTACCATACTGGATGTGGAATACCCTATGAACGATGCCAAATTGTCAGCGTCATAGAAGTGAGACGCCTCGACGTGTCATATTTGGATACAGGTACGGCGCTTCCACAGCAAATGAAACGCGTTGCCCCACCTTCTCCCACGGTACCACACCGGCGGTATTACCGTAGATTAGGTAGCTGAGAACTTCACCATAATACCCACCAAGGTTTTATCAACGTAGCATATGATACGCCATGCCAACGTTCACTACCAACGACGCTGTTACTTTGCACTACAAAACGTACGGAACAAGTGGTGCTGTTCCATTGATACTCGTAGGTGCTTACACTACCTATCCAGCTCAACCGAGACCACCATATCTTACTTCATCTCATGATACATGGGCTGATCCACGTTCATCAAGCTTCACGGATTCACCGGGTCTGGCAAAGTCTTTCAACACAGTGTCAACGCGTTATCGAAAGATCGCTTTGTTATAGTCCCTGACCTCCGCGGACATGGCGACTCTGAGAAACCAAAGTCTGGCTTCCACGTTGCACGGTTAGCTATGGACTTGAAGAATCTCATGGATCACTTCAAGTTACAAGATGGCAACATTGGAGCTATAGGAACAAGTCTGGGAGCTGCTATTCTTTGGTGAGCCATGGGACAGAATCGGATAGATTTCGAATTGACACGGCGTACTAATGCTGTGAGTAGGTGCTATGCAGAACTGTTCGGAACGAAAGCATTCTCGCACATGATGTTCGTGGATCAGGCGCCTCTTCAAAACTATTTGTCAGACTGGGGTCCTGAATATGGCAATCAAGGTTGCAATTCACCTGCAGCTTTGCTTGAGATGCAAAGAGCTCTCGAAAGTGCGCCAAAAGAGGCCCATCTTGGAACGATAGCAGCCTGTCTAGGTTACAGGGCATATCCCCAGCCCGGGGATCCTACTGTGAAATCTAAGACATGGCAGGAAGACGAATCCTTCTTCCTCGGTGAAGCATTGAAGGGAGATGGATGGTGGTATGGCAAGCTCATGGCTGATCATACTGCAAACGACTGGCGGTTCTCCATCGAACACAACTTTGGGCCAAACAGTGGGAGTAAGACTAAAGTACATGTCTTGGCAAGTGCTCGGAGTGGTTGCTTTCCTGCTGCGGGCCCACTCAAGGTCGTGGAGCTGGTGAACGGGAAAGGCAGAAATGGGCTTGCACAGGGTGTGACAGTGGAGTGGGGTGGCCATTGGTGCTACTGGGAGCAACCGAATTTATTCAACAAGATGGTGCTCGATTTCCTATCTAGTTAAGTACCCAGTAAGGGTTCTCCCATCTATGAATACGTTTGACAGAACTTGTGAATTCGATATGCGGACAATGCTCGTAATCAGCTTTGCAATGCTACTGCAAGAGCACACTAGTAACTTACAAAAGAATTGCCATAGCTGTTCCCAATGACTGATCTTTCACTGTTGAATTCCAAAATGTTCCTCCCAGTACGCCCTTCATATTAGAGTCTACTATCAAACTGAGAGTTCAATAAAGAACTCACTGAAATAACTCGGAGCGACCCCAAAGATACCAACTTTACTTACTGCAATGCTAGGTTGTATCAAGGATATTTACAATTTACCAAACATTGTATACTTTGCCTACTCAAATCTCATGTGGTATGCAACCACTGAAGTATTCCGTTCCTGAAATGATGTTACCAAATGTCGAATTAAGGTTTAATCAGATCAGCTGACCTCAGTACGTGGAATTGGATGTACAAATCCAGGATGAATCTAGGATGCCATCCAACTTCCCATGCGGAGCTTCCTTAGAGTGTTGGAGTCGTCTATATACAACCCCATTGTCATATATACAAGGATTACAAGTAGGTGCATTTAATCAGAATGCCTCATTTTCGAACCTCCCTCAACCACTCACTCGCCCTCTTCGCACAGTTTGTAGCTTCAGTGCCAAATCCTATCAAGTTCCCAAGCAATAGAATGTCATGAGGCGCCGTCTTCTCTACGTCAAGTTTGACGTTATTCCCTACCTTCCTCATGTTTTCTGCCCACTCCACGTCATCATAGTACAAAACCTCGGCACCTCCAGTGTTGACGAACAGTGGCGTTTCCGTCTTGAAGGTGCGGCTCTTGTGGGAAACATAGGGCTGCTTGAGAATCTCCGTACCGGCAATACCAGCGTAGGCTGAAGTGCCCCATGTCGTAAAGGGCGTAGAGAGGTAGTCGGTCGCATAATGATCGTTGTCGTAGACATAAGAGCCAGACGTGTCCGCTGGATTGATCCACGGAGACCAAAGAAGGGCTGCGGCTGGGGCAGGGAGACCGAGGTCTGGACCATACTCGCTGATATACCGCAGGATTGAGATGGCAGCGTTCCCACCCGCAGAATCACCGGCAATGATGATGTCTTTTGGCGAGATTTTGAGCTGTTTAATGAGGTATAGGTAGGCAGTCAAGCTGTCTTGAAGTGCGGCAGGGAAAGGATTTGAGGTCTTGGAGGCGGGTAACGTGGATAGACGATACTGTGGGCAGAAAACGTGTGTAGCAGGAGTATGCTTCAACATCAACTTGGCCGCATATCCTGTCCCCTGTGTTCTTCCATCGCCCATGACGTAGGCACCTCCATGGATGTGTAAGACGACACAGACGTTGCTTTTGTCGCTACCAACAGTCAAGGGCGCAGGATACCAGGTTGCACCAATGCTTACGGGTTTCACGTCTGCATTGCTCCGCAGAGGCCCTTGGTACGTATCATCGCTCGCCGGTTGAACAAGGACGAAACGCTCTCCCTCGGCGCCAGGCTCAAGGGGCAGCGGTGTTGTGGGTTGGATCGAAGCAACGTGTTGGATGAAAGCACCGGCAGCATGTACACTGAGACTCTGTCGGAAAGACCAATCCGGATGAGGCCGAGCAAAGCTGAGGATATTCTTCACAACAACAAGCGGGAGACGGACGATTTCGAAGCTGAGAGCGCCAAGAAGGTAGATGCCCTTGACTGGCTGCTGTGTGAGGATAGCCATTCGATTAGGGATGTGGGATGTGGGATGTGGGAGGTCGGATGTGAGGTGTGGGGGCTGGGATGAGTGAGCAAATTGCTCCGTTGTGGGGATTATGAAGCGTATTGTACATACAGGTAACCGTAAAGCAGGACCTGAATCGACCGATCATCAGCGCTGCCATGGCGTGAAACGGGGAGGAGAAAGAGGGTTTGTTACGGTAGCAGTTAGTGTAAACTCCGCAAAGGCCGAGCCGAGGTACAAATCCAGCCCTATGGCGCACGTGGTTTTAGAAGGCAGCCGTAGACATCAGCGTGCGTGCGTGCGTGCGTGCGTGCGTGCGCTGTGTCTTGGTCACGTGGGAGATGGTGCTTGTTTTGGGTCAGGACAAGCCTGTTGTTTGCATGTCGTGTTCATATAGGTACTCTTTACTCTGGTAGTATTGCCTACTTGGTTGATGGTGGGAAATCACGGTGCTCAGGACTGGAATCAGTCTGGCGTAAAAGCTTGGAATTTCTCCTTCTTTGCATCGCAGTTCTTTTGTGTCAGCTCTAACCAGCATACGGTACCTATGTGCCGACTTGGATGAAAATGGAATAGACCCCGATCACAAGCCACCAACTCTTCCTGGAATCCGATCGATTACAACTTGGCCGACAACTTTCCACTCTTCTTCGCCGTGTGTGTTGCAATCATGTCCATCAACGGTGGACTCAGCACATCGTATGGCTCCAGGCCTACGCTCCTGAGCTTGTTGCGAATCTCCTCCATGCCTGATGGGTCGAAGCCCTGCTCGATGATACTGCTTACAAAGGCCGCAAATTGAGGCTCTTGCCAGCCCTTCTTGTCACTCAACTCAACATGCACAAAGTCGAGGCCCTTGAACGCGTGGTCGACGTGGATACGACCGAAGAGATGCACACCGCACTCTTTGCAGGCGTTGCGCTGGATAGCCGCCGACTCGTCGATGACTCTAAGTTTATCGCCGTTGGCTGTGACGGAGACTTTGTCTTTTGGGATGACGCCAACGATGGAGAAGAGGGCGCCTTTCGGTTTCCAGCATTTCGAGCAGCCACAGGCGTGATTAAAGGCCACGTTGCCATCGAGCGTTACTTCGACCTTTCTCGAGGGGCAGTGGCAGTACAGCTTGCCGCCGGAGAAGGTGGGGCTGCCCTTGGTGAGACCGTTGTCGATTGCGGGGTGGATAGACGGCATAGCGGATCGTGTGAGTGGAGTTGCACGATTGGCTGGATGGTTGGTCTGTTGTAGTATCTTCAAGACAACCGATACAGTTGTCAATCGATACACGAGAGAGAGAAAGACGTCAGGAGTCAGTACCTGCTTTATATGTTGCAAGTCCCCTCATCGGCAACACCATGCAGAGCCGCTCATGCAATTGGACTGATGCCACGGTACGGCAACAGTGGATCTGCCTTTTCGGATCCGCATCCCGATTTTGGGCGGGCAACCCTGTGCGCAACCGAGCCCCGCCTCCCATAATGTCGCCGACAACAGAACAGACTTCTTACGGACGAGTTATCGTGATCATTCTGGAAGTTCCCTCCTTTTTAGTTTGTGTCGAGTATCACGAATTTCTCCCGTCACATCTTTGTTCAATACTCGTGCTACCCAAGATCCTGCAGGATGGAGGACAGATAGGAGGCATATGCCCATGCGACAACCATTCGTTTACGCAAAACGACCCGTACCAAAAACCAGATCCATGTCAACATCTTCCTGCTTAAACGGTGTCTCGAAACCTACATCCTCCTCTTTGTGGACCATACGACATGGCCCAGAACAAAGACGCCGGGTCTTTGCAGTATAATTCTCATCAATCTCTGTTGCGAAAATGAGATATCGACCATTGATTGCCTTTTTATTGCCCCAGATCAAGTTGATGTTCTATTTCCAAGTATCAAATGCGAGAGTTACTTGGAGATCTATCGATCTGATAGATCTGCCTGTTCCTTCTCTTCTGTTGCTGCCGTTGTCTTCGCTGCAGCGCCGTATTCTAATCTTGCCACTTTTCTTGCTTTGCCTTGCATTTCTACTTTTACCCGGTTTATTTCTCGGTGATAGCGAATTATTTCAAAACCATACTTAGACTTTCCGACAAGGCAGCCACAATTCATATCGCATCAAGTACGCTATCGAACAAAGCACCTCATGAGCAATTGGCAGATGTGCATGTATATAGAGATAGATATCAACACTCGATCAACTTGACTCTACTGAACTCATCCCGGAATCCCAGGTCTCATATTTGCCCCTTCTCGCCCCTAGCTGCCGTCTCTTTCTGCAAATCCTTCACATGGCTATCATGGTCATGCACCTCGTCCTTATCGGCGGCGATGTTGCTTTCTCCCGAGCTGGCTAGGTCCTCTCGCCATCTTCCTTTGCCTTGTTGTTGTTCTCTCAGTTGGTCCTGCTTCGCTTGTTCGACTTGTTCGGGAGAGCGATCTGCATCTTCCTTGATCATGAAGCGAGGTGTGCTGGTGAGGGTACGGCGGATGGTAAATGTGCGTGGGATGTGTAGGGCACGCATGGGGCGCGTAGCTGAGAAGAGAGACTGGTATGCCATTTTTTGGCTTGTGTAAGCTTCAGATGAGGCTCTTCGAATAGATTTGGAATTTTTTTTGAAAAGGATATTTCGATTGAAGAATTTGTACACGGTTGAGGAAGATATCTTGCGCGATGTTGGCAGCCACCATACCTAATATGAGACATTACTGACTGTGACGTCACATGTGCACAATAGGTGAAGATCTCTTGGCCCACTGCTATTGGGCAATCGCAATGCGGGTATCGCGCAGTTTAGGCGCAGGAATATGGTCAGGAGCCTCATAGAGGATTCAACTTTCGCGGCAGACGGTTCAAGTTGGGTCTTAAAGTGGTTATATTCGAGCACGTTGTACAGACGGCATATGCTTTACCTTAAACATTAGACAAACCACTGCGGTCTACGACGTCAGTTCTGAATAGCTCAGCTTCCTTTCCAACCCCTCTAAATTCCGAAGAATTTGCAATGGTGGCGGTGGCTGGACAGCGGAGTAGATGGAGGATACTGATTTAAAGTAGCTGTAACTGCTTTGTGGATGCTTTGGCTGACATTTTAGGTTGGAAGGGGTATTAAATTTGATTGCTATTTTTCGCCCTCTTCTGTGTTGTATGACAAGTACAGCGCGATATTGATGTTGGTGTCGACGATGTCCTGGGATATGCTCACACAGCGGGAAAGTCGAGTTTCATTGTGTTTGAATCATCACAAGTTTACGATCCGTGCTTGGGAGCGCTACCAGCACCGCTCTGCTTCTTTGCCGGTGCTGCTCCGTTGCCTCCAACGTCTGGCGAATTCGGCTCACTGATGTCCTTGTTTCCTGGGCTTGCATTCAAGCTGTTGGCCTTACCTCCGGCCTCCTTCTCTACCGAGGCTTCCTCTTCCTCAGGACTAGTCTTCTGTGGATTGAACGCGGCATCGGTATGAGCTGCAGAGTCGTCGGAGCCAGACTTGGAGTATTCTGTCGATACCGGCTTGAGCGTGTCTTTGCCCTCGGCACCTTTTGTCGCGGCGCGGATCGATGTCGTTGGTAAGAAGTTGGCGCGTGTATTGAGAGGAATATTTTGTCTGACGGCGCGTCGTAGGGCGCGCATTGGCTGGGAGCGGAACATTTTCTTGTTGGTGTCGTGACGATGTGAGGTGATGTACTGTCTGTCTCGTCTTGGCGTGTCGAATTGCGAGGGTCAAGCTGACGAGAGCAGCGTTAAGATTGGAAGGAGGAGGAAGATGATAACGAATTCGATGTGCTTGTAATTAGAATCTCACTGGCAATGGCGGTAACGACTTGATGTCCGGAGCCATGAAGCTGCACCACGCACCACAACAAAACGCTAAGAATGACGTCAGAGGACCCGGTTATGTCACCACAACACACAACTATAGTACTCTACCTAGGAGAGTATTACCAGAGTAGAGTATTTACTGGTGACACCACGCGTCATGTGACAGAACTTCGATTGCAACCCCAAGCATGCTGTCAGACATGACGTCTTTCGCACTACAACAATGTGGCAACATGTCGAAGAACTCTAGGCTAAAGAAGTTATGGGCATCCCCTCGGTCTTGTCCCACACCCACGACTATACACACCCTTACCGTTGTGGCTCTGCACGCCTGACGGATGCCGCTGCTGCGCCCTTTCGCACAGCCCAATAGTATCCCCAGACTCCTCGATCCACATGGACACCTTTTGATCGGACAAGGAAAGTCAGCAGAGAATCGATGCCGAGACAAGTCTGCCATGATTGTGTGTCGTCCATCCAGCCATTGTGGAATATTCGTAGTTGACGTCCAAGGCTGGCCTGATGTAACCCTTGGGGAGGCACTTGGCCAGTCGCGATGTCTCCTTGTTACGATCAAATTTGATTAGAGCTGCGAGCCGTCTACTATCGAGCCGCGAATTCGAAAGGCACTCTCTATGTTCGGCTAGTACGGGGCGGTCGACTGGCACAACTCAGGGAAGCTGTCTGTATGCTTAAAGAGGCAGATGAAGCCATGCTTGGTAACAAGCTCTACGCAGCTAGAGGAGCCACTATTGAGGTTTGGCTGTTTTGTATCAGGCTCGGCCGCTGTTCGTCATACCGGTGGAATTAGCACGAACTTGGCTCAGGTTCTTCAGCGGCGAAGCACGTGTCAGGGGGGTTGTTCTACAGGGTCAAGGAACGAGACATCTTCAGCTGTGAAGGTAACATATCATCACCCTGCTGTTGTAGGGCAGCATCTGGGAGATCGAGAAACAACGATCAGACTCTGCGCCATCGAGAACACACAGCCTGGCGCAACTCTAACTATCAGCGACTGAGCATTTCGATTCGCGGATTGACTTGATGACTCATGGATTCCTTGTCAACTCGCCTGGCTACAATTGTTGTACAGAATGGAAATACTCCCGCCAAAGACGCTATAAAACAAAGCAACCTACAACACAAAATTGCACATACTCACTGTACACAATGCATCTCTCCCGCGCTATTGAAGGTCCGAGTCCGCTGGCATGACGAAGCCAGTCTCTTCGAAGTCTCTCAATACGTAGTCCGCAAGTGCATCCAATCTTTTTCGTTGCACGTGTAGTGTTCCGGTTCTGATGTCTTTCTCGCGTTGACTCATGTTGCTAGCAATGGATGGAGCCTTACCCTTGGAAAGACTAGGTTCACCGGTAGGACTCAGAAAATTTTCAGGATTGTCATCATTTTGGAGAAGTCTTGAGCTTGATCCCGGCCGAGAGCTCACTGTGTCGGTGTCCGGATATCGCGAATCGCCGTATCCTTCTGCGGTGATTCTAAATCTTTGTCGCTTACATGGGGGGATTGTGCCAACGAGGACCAGCAGCAATTCTGATTGCAAAAATCGCACGATAATGTTGCAGTCCTCGGTTTCGACGGTAAGTGTCCTCAAAGAAGACTTCAATTGAGAATCATGCGCCGAATCTGTGCGTGAGGGTAGCCTTGCCCTGCCTACGCAGTTGTCCTTCCAGACCATGGATATCAGCGCCGCTTGGTCGCGGAGCTCCTTGATGTCCACAGGTTTGGAGTAGGCCAGCAAGGTGCCGTTTGGCGACATCAGGCTGTCTGCATTAGTGGGGCCAGTAGCAAGGGAAAATAGGGTGCTTACAAGAGTCGTGGGTATAGGTGTTCGTTGGCATTCCGGGTAAGCCACTCGCTGACCTTCGCGATGTTGATCATTGGCCTTGCTGCGACCGCTTGCATGGTTAGAGATGGATGGATAGTTGCTGTCGGTAACGATCGGGAGGACAGGCAAATGATTATGAAGAGCAGTCATACACAGTCACAAGAACAAGACTGTGTGCTGGGGCGCGATGTGAAGATTGCATAATGTTGGAGGGCTCTCGCGTACCTGGTTGACGGTCGACAGAAAGTCGCTGTCGCAATCCAGGTCGCACACGCTACAAGGACAGACAAGGAGTGGGCTGTGAGACAAGCAGAAGGCTCCAGTCGATGCGCTATCTCACTATGGAAGGAGTGTCGGCGTGTAAAGTTAGTATGTACATATATCATCGTCCTCGGCATGGTGACGTCCACGGTTCGATGGAAAGCGACAGCTGGGAAAGCTATGACCATCTGCCTCGGAGGAAAGTTGGCTAATTTGCCGGTTGCCCACGACCCCTGCCCCTGAGAATCAAAGAGAGGAGAGGAGAGTTGACGGGTACTCTACTGTTTAGTATGTACTACCCGTATAGAATGAAGTGCTATGAAGCGTTCTGAATTTCGTCGAGTTGGCTTATTATTGCAAGACTCGTGTAGTAGGTGCGTAGGGGTACAGTATATATGGTCCATGTGGGTGGGTAGGTATGTTGGAGTACTGTAGCAGTCAACAAGCAGCGGGAGACTTGATAAACAGTGACCATGTACACCGAATAGACAATACATCCATGGTAGTGACTTGACAGTACTAGGTAGAGCAGAATAGCACATCATGCAAGGACTGATTTCCGACTTGGTACGGTGGCTGGGAGCCTGATGGAGGGGTTGTTGCCGCACTTACGGTACCATAAAGTTACGGCATCGTTACGTTACGGCATCGTTACGTTACGGCATCGTTACATTACGGTGTCGTTATGGTCAGGGCATCATTAGATGGGTAGTTATCGGTTAAGCGTGGTATTGAAAATGATTCAATGTTAGTGAGGGGTCAACGTCATCATGAATCTGCCCCTCTCGCCTATTTTCCTGTGGCCTGTCCCGTTGAAAGCGCAGGGAATCTTCGGCTCACTCCATCTATGCTTTACCTGCGATCTCTAGCTAGCAGGATCACGCTTGGAAGCCAACAGACTACGTCCTTCATATCGCGGACTACATCTTGGACTACAAGACCAACAACGAGCCTGTCAAATAATCTGCTTCGAAGCTTAGCAACCATGGCGACCGACCCCACCAAGTACAAGCTGAACCACTCAATGTGAGCACCTGCATGTCTTTCGCCTTTCCATCATGTGTACGATTGGTGAGTCGCTGACGCCTTTTACTGTGTAGGCTCCGCATCAAGGATCCAAAGAGATCGCTGGAATTCTACCAGTTTCTTGGTATGAAACAAATCAACCAGATCAAAAACCCGGACGCAAAGTTCGATTTGTACTTTCTCGCATACGACAGCCCCAAAGCAGTCTCACATGGCAATCATTGGACCGATCGTGAGGGCATCGTCGAGCTCACTCACAACTATGGCACTGAGGACGATCCCAACTACAAGATCACAAACGGCAACACAGAGCCGTACAAGGGCTTTGGTCACTTGTGTATATCTGTAGACAACCTGCAAGCTGCCTGTCAACGGCTAGAGGATGCAGGCTATGAATTCCAGAAAAAACTTACCGATGGACGTATGCGCCACATTGCATTCGTGTTGGACCCCGATGGCTACTGGATTGAGATCATTGGGCAGAAGTCCCTCGAGGAGACTGAGAACGTCAAAGAGACGGATATAGACACATACCGAATGGTCAGTGACCGTCTTTTTGCTGCTGTCCTAAGCTAACGTTACCTAGAACCACACTATGATCCGTGTCAAGGACAAAGACATATCGCTGAAGTTCTACCAAGATGTAATGGGCATGAAGCTGAAGCGCACATCAGAAAGTCCAAATGCCGAGTTCAATTTATACTTTCTTGGATATGGTGCTGATGCGCCTGACCAAACAGCAAACGGTGTCAACCCTCTGGCTGGACATGAAGGCCTGCTGGAATTGACTTGGAATTACGGTACTGAAAAGGACGCCAGCTTCAACTACCACAATGGCAATGATGAGCCTCAGGGGTAAGTCTCACTGTGATAAATCGGGGGGAGGTATTGCTAAACATTCTAGGTTCGGCCATATTTGCATTACTGTAGATGATTTGGATGCGGCATGTGCTCGGTTTGAGGAGAACAAGGTCACCTGGAAGAAGAGGCTGACAGAAGGTCGCATGAAAAACATTGCGTTTGTCCTTGATCCTGACCACTACTGGATCGAGGTGAGTGAATTTCACTGCGCCCATCATGATTGAGTCAATTATTGACAGTCACCAGGTTGTGCAGAATGAGAAGTTGAAGACACGCAGTAATTGGTAAACCGGCGAGATCGGCTACCAGTTGCGTGCAGCATCCCACCCAACCATTTGAACCGACGAATGAGGAGATGCCATTATGGCTATGAGTCTCCCGCGCAAGGCAGACTATGCAGATTGTAGTACCGTGGCCAAACATATGTATGCAGGGTGATGGACACAAGTGACAACAAACGTACATCAACTACATCGTTGGCCTTTGAGATTTGATGTGATGCATCCTTCTCCAATCCTCAGCTAGCATCTTCATCTTCACAGTTCAACAGTCAAACGACGCAAAGTATCCAGCGTTCCTGGAAGATTTCCCGGGACTTGTTACCGCCGGTAAGACATACGTGGGGTACGGTACACCGGGGGCCAACTACCGTACCGGTACTCCCTACCCCGCCAGGGCCCACCCCCCGCTACTGTAGGGTAGGGTCCACCCCCGCAACAACAACCCAAGGAAGCACCAAGCATCGGAGTACATGGAAGTCCTAGGTATACGCACTTGTAACAGTCCGATAGCGGCTATCGCTTGGCTTGTTGCTCAATAAATTGGACACCTTGTCTTCCCCTCCGTTTGTGATCTCTCAACCTACCGGTACACACCAGTGTCCTTTTTGCAAATCACAGCATGGCTATTGTAATGCAGACAACCAAAAGAAAGATCCTCATACCGGAGAAGGTCTCGCCAGACGGACTAGCACTCCTGCAAGACCAATTTGACGTCGACGAGCGGAAAGGTCTGAGCCCAGAGGAGTTGAAAAGTATCATTGGCGATTATGACGCTCTTATCGTGCGGTCGGAGACCAAGGTCACGGCCGATCTTCTAAGTCAGGCGAAGAAATTGAAGGTTGTTGCTCGTGCGGGAGTTGGTGTGGACAATGTCGATGTGCAATCTGCCACTTCCCATGGCATCATTGTCGTAAACTCGCCATCAGGTACAAGGATTACATACATTGTCCAGTGGGGCCTGCTAACAATATGTAATAGGCAACATCAACGCTGCCGCTGAGCATACCATTGCACGTACGTGTTTCATACAATGTCAACTTTTTTGCTTGACTGATATTCCTCAGTACTCATGGCTGTGGCTCGTAATGTCGCCGACGCCTCGCAAAGCATCAAGGCGGGGAAATGGGAACGCAGTCGCCTAGTGGGTGTTGAGGCCAAAGAGAAAACACTTGCAATCGTAGGTCTGGGTAAAGGTGAGTTAGGTAGTACCCTTGTACCGCACAGGGTTTGACTCGCAACAGTCGGTCTGACAGTTGCTCGTATCGCAAACGGTCTTGGTATGCGACTTGTGGCCTATGATCCCTACGCCAATCCAAATCTTGCTGCCGCGGCATCGGTAACTTTGTTATCCAGTCTCGCAGAATTGCTGAAGATGGCAGACTTTTTGACATTGCACACCCCTCTCATTGCTTCGACGAAGGGTATGATAGGCAAAGCCGAGCTGGCCACCATGAAACCTACAGCGAGGATTTTGAACGTTGCAAGAGGCGGCATGATTGATGAAGATGCGCTTGTTGAAGCGTTGAATGCGGGCACCATTGCTGGAGCTGGTATCGATGTTTTTACATCGGAACCTCCTCAGCCAGACTCTTCGGCTAGCAGATTGATCGCGCATCCAAAAGTGGTCGCGACTCCTCATCTTGGAGCATCCACAAAAGAGGCCCAAGAAAATGTGTCGATTGATGTCTGTGAGCAAGTCGTTTCGATACTGTCTGGCGAACTACCTCGCTCAGCCGTCAATGCGCCTATCGTCCTCCCGGACGAGTACCGAACCTTGCAACCGTATATTAGTCTTGTTGAAAAGATGGGCTCTTTATACACTCAGCATTACTCATCCGTCAAGATTGATTCCTTCCGCACTACTTTCGACATTACGTATGAGGGCAAGCTTGCGACCATCAACACCACAAAACCGCTATTCGCAGCATTAGTCAAGGGTCTTCTCACCCCCATTACGTCCTCGGACGGGTTGAACATCAACATTGTCAATGCGGAGATCCTGGCAAAAGAGCGCGGTATCCTCATCAACGAACAGCGATCCCGTGAGAACGTCGAAGATAAGCCGTATAGCTCGTTCATCACTCTCCGTGCACGAGCTACGCGATCCGTCTCACAAGCGCGCGACAACTCACGCACCAGCTCACCTTCAGCTGCACGCAACGTGAAGTTGCAGGACTATGAGGATCAGATCATACAGGGCTTTGTCTCAGGCAACAAGCCCTTCATCTCACGCCTCGACAAGTTCAGAGGCGAATTTGTACCTCGTGGCACTCTGCTCATCTGCAGGAACTTCGATTCCTGTGGCAAGATTGGATTCGTAGGCAACCTGTTGGGTAAGGCTGGCGTGAACATCAAATTCATGAGTGTTGCACCGTTGGACGAGGAAATTGAAGAGAGGCAGAATGGGGAGGAACGTGGGAGCAATGAAGCACTGATGATTCTGGGTGTGGACCGACCAGTTGACGAAACGGTACAAAAGGCGTTGATCGGACCTGAAGGTGTGCTGGAGGCGAGTGTAGTGAACTTTTAAGGAAATCATTGATGCAAGCACCCATGTAGACTTTTGAAATTGGCATTGGTCTCTTTCTGTGTTGAGTCGTGAACCACAGAACTATTGGCAATTGAGTGCAGTGAGGCTCGGGATGGGCTGAATGTTGTGCGCCTCGGCCCGTCTCGGCTTCATGACGTCTGCTCAGGGTCAGGGCCCAGACTCCAGGCAAAAAAATATCATAGAAACTCTACTGCAAAGAATCAACATCTACGCGCCCAGCTTCTGCCTTTAAAATCACCTGAAGATACGGGGAAAAACTTGACTCTAAGAATCAGGGCCAATTGCCTGAATCCACTGGACGGTCCTAGAATCACTCTACCACTTCAGCGATCTCGTTCACAGCCAGTATGACGACAGCAGCACTCGCCGGTAGTACTGGGCTCGTGGTAAGTTCTCATTACCATGGGCAAGATTCACCGTCTTCCAAGGCTACCTACTAAGCTTGCAACACCCACAGGGCTCGAATATACTGTCTCAGTTGCTCGCTCATCCAGCCTTCTCTTCCATCTATGCCTACACCCGCCGCGAGCTCCCCAACCCCACCGCCTCTACCAAACTCACCCCCATAATCTCGACCGAGAGCTCGGAATGGCCGTCCCTCTTCCCTCGCGAGATGAAGCCCCGTGTTTTCTTCTCAGGTCTCGGAACTACGAAAGGCGCTGCGGGCAGTATCGAAGCCCAACGCAAAATCGACCTCGATCTCAACCTCGAGCTTGCGCGCGCCGCCAAAGAGGCGGGTACGGATACCTACGTGCTGATCAGTACCGCCAACGCGAGCTCAAAGTCCTCCTTCGCATATCCCAAGATGAAAGGCGAGCTCGAAGACGCGGTAAAGGCTTTGGGTTTCAAGCACACTGTCATTTTGCAGCCAGGGCTTATTGTGGGAGATAGAAACGAGTCGAGGCCTGCGGAGACGGCGATCAGAATGCTGGCAAAGGGTATGCGGAGTTTGACGCCTGCTTTGACCAATTTTTGGGCGCAGGATGCAATCGTGATTGCGAGGGCCGCGGTGAATGCTGGTTTGATGTGTGTAGAGGGAAAGAAGGAAGAGGGAGTTTGGCTGGTGGGACAGGCGGAGATTGTTAGTCTAGGGAAAGAGTGAGAGCGTGGGAAGGGAAGCATGAAGTTCTTGGCACACTTGGCCAGGCGGATATGTATGGTTGATGAGACAGATACCCAGTCTTTGTGACTCTGAGGACAGAAACAGAAGAAAAAATATCTCGGTATGTTTCGCAACGCAGAGTGAACTCTGAAAACCCCTTCACCGCCAGCCACAACTCCACTGTGTGAGAGGAGCTTTGTACACGCAGTATACTGGGGAAATGAACCACGCAAGCTTCTGGAGGTATGGATATGTGGTGTCAATCAACGTCCCAACCAAAGGTTGCCAGCACTCTTTGACTTTTCTTGGGAACCGATTGGGGACATAGCACAGTAAAGGGCGCGGACCTGTTATATATTGGCCAATCAAAGGCCACTTGTGCTGAGAAAATAGGACATTCGACCAATCAAAAGCCCCAACATTTTCTAAACTCCCGGCGGGAGCACAGCAATTGTACCCACCATTGTGGTCGCACTACCTAGGTACGTACCACCCTATCTGGAGTACCGATTGTTCCTTGAGAGATCTCGACATTATGTGTTCCACAAAGAACACCAACATCAATCACTCCTCTGATCTACTGTACATATTGTAATATCCACAAAACATTTCTTCCATCCACCGGGCTCATGTTCGTGATCAGCCGAATCTCACACCACCGACATCACGCGTTACTCCGAAGCTGACTCATGCCGTCGGCCGTTGCCGACACCCTCTTACATCTCACACCACCCCGTCTCACACCACAACCACGCGCTGTCCTGCTTGCAGCGTCGATGCAGCGAGAACCAGCCAAAAGAGTCGTAGGTGGTCGACAGTCATCTATGATTAGACATGTTCATTTCCGCATGTAGCGATCGTGGAGTCCGGCCTTGACGTGTTGGAGGCGTCGGCAGGGGTACGGCAATGGGTCGGGGTGCGTGAAATACTCAGGTGAGATGGAACTCATGGGAGACGGGTTGGTGGTGCCATGTTGCGGCTTTGGTTGGAAAGTATCGGAGGCGGAGGCTGAATGATTGCTGGATGCATTGAATATATAGGATGGGCATCGTGGTACAGTGCATGGTTTTATCATCATCATCACATTACAACAATTCACCAGAGCACATCCAATACTCTACCCCACAATCATATTCGATCGATCTACTATACCAGCAACACATCGCAGGCGTAATATCAAGACTTGCTTGAACAACCACCACAACCACTACCACCACCACCACCACCACCACCACCACTAAACGATTAACTACCTACGTCGGCTGTACAAACATACGTCAAACGACACTATACTACCAACCGATCAACCATCAAACCCCAAGTCTGCAAAATGGTCTCAGCAACACAAATGCGCACCATGTTCCGCAGTGCAGCCCGCCATCTTACAGAACCACATCCCTTCGCTCGCAACCCAGTCACCATGACACCTCACCCATGGCGTGCCAGTGATCTCGGCAAGCGCGTCGTCGCAACAAGTACCATGATCGTTCCCTTCTATACCATTGTTCTTGGCTGGCCTTTAGGAGCCGCCTGGTGGCTCAACGGTAAGATGTGACTCTATCTGGTGGAGGGAGAGAGGAGCGGCAAGTTTGTTGGAGTAAAGAAGGAGAGGAGACAGTTGGATAGTAAAGAGGTTGAGCAGCTGATTTTGAATATGAGATGGGATGATTGAAAGCGCGATATCGAAATGGTACATGGCATCGGAGAGGCGTTTTTTTATGGAGTATACCATATAGGGTTGTTTAGCTTGTGATACCAAATGCACTATTTACTCACTCAAATCGAGCTTATATATGTGTTTTGATCTTTTCATTCGAGTTTGCCGTGCGATGGTCACAGTAGTGTTGATGGGCAAGCCTTTGCACTAGTAAACAACTTGAATGCCAGGTCAACTCGAGGGGAATAGTATGAGCCAGATGTAGATACCACTCACGCCTCCAAAAGCAGAACAGACAGAGTGAATTTGCATGGAATTTCTAAACCAGGTTCGCTGATTCCATCTGGTCCATTACATTCTCGGAGCGTTCGACTGGATTATTGGTCAACGCGCTAATGTCGCCTGGCCGTATCGTTGCTAATTGATTTCGGTTACGACCAGCGTTGACCGCATTTGCAGGCCTTGAGAATTCTGGTAGATGATAGATGCCGTCGGAATGGGATGCGCGCAGTGGAAGTTATGCCACGGTGGATGAGAGGGCATTATCAGATCTCCGAGAATGGCGCCTGGTCAGATCCGAGATGTAACCGACCACTTGGCATGGGAATCACGCAATGCACGCTAACTTCACTTTTTGGACGCGACATGGCGATAGACCGCAATTCGCAATCTATCGCCCGAGTAAAAGGACAATTAAGCCAATCATGACTGCTACCTACGACTACTTCACGTTCCTCGGCCCCAGACTTAGCGACATCGCCGGATCGTGGCACTTTTTATCTGCAAAGAGACGACCTCTCCAGCACGCGTTCTACACTCGCGGCCTCACCGTGTGAATTGTCAAGGTGAGAGTCTCCAGCCATCTCTTCTATACCGCTTTGACGCCACAGCAGACTGACCTCCCCGTGTAAATTCTCAAGGAGAGACTCGCCAGACCGTCATCTTTTTTATGAGATATCTGTTTGCCGCCCATTGCCTCTCGTTTGGTCACTGAGGAGTAGCATATTCTACGTTCAGGATGCATTCCCAACAAACAGAATCTGCTGGCCCTGGCGCCGAGCAGAAGGAGCCCAAGAGCTTCGAGAGGATGTCTTCCAGCCTGCCTTTTGGCCAGCATCTCTCCCTCGAGTCCATCAGTGGCCCCACCTACCTCACAGCGCAGACGCTTGTCCAGCAAGTGGCATATGCGCTTTCGCACAAGATCTTTGCCTACTCAGCTGAGTCATTCGACTTGGATGTGGCAATCAAGAACTGGCACGCCCAGGGCGAGAAGAATGCCTTTGGACAGCAGACTGGAGTCTCTTCTTTAGAGACCAGGACGGGAGCTGGCGCCATTGCCCTGGGTTACATGTTCTCCAAGGACTTTGACCTCAAGAAACGCCACCTTCCTCAGTCCATCATTGCCTCTTCCTCGACTCTCAAGTACCTCCGCTCCTCCCTCGACCAACTTTCGGCCCTCTATTCGGTCGCAAACCCGCTCACCGCTCACATCGCTGCTGTCGACTACTCGGCCAGCTCTGCTGCTGGCTTGGTCACTGACTATGTTTCGTCTCTCAACCTCGCCGAGGACTTGGGTCTCGCACTCGTCTGCAGCCCTTCCGTCTTTGAGACACAGCACATGTCGCTTTTCGCTACCCTGCTCTCCAGCATCTTACCTACAATCCACACATATGACGGCATTAGTGTCGGTCGTGAAACTGCCCGTTTGGTAGACACGATGGACCAGCCCAGACTTTACAATAACTACCAAGCTGTCCTGAAAGCTATCTCTGAGGTTGACAAGAAGCACTCAGACCCTGCTGGACGTGTGCTACGTCTGTTACAAGCCTTCAACGACGAGCTCGGTGAAGACTACAAGTTGTTTGACTACTACGGCCACGAGCAACCAGAGAGTGTGCTTGTAGTCTTTGGTACCGTCGAGGCATCGTTAACAGCACAAGTTGCCAACGCTCTATCCCGTGATGGTGACAAGGTCGGTGTCATCAACGTTCGCGTCTACCGCCCGTTTGTTGAGGAGGCTTTCCTTGAAATGCTTCCCAAAAGTGCTCGCCACATTGCTGTGCTTGGTCAGGTCAAGGATGAAGCCGCGGTACTTGATCCTGCTGAGTTTTCCACACTTTACGCCGATGTGTTGGCAGCAATCCAGTTCGCTTTCGACCGCAACGTTGATGTCTCAGATGTGAAATATTCACGTGAGCAAGTGTGGACCCCAAGTAATATACTCGATGTCTTCCGTCAGATCCACGCCGAGAAGACCCAGACCGAGGTACGCTCGTATGTCGACATTCTTAACACCGCAGACGTTAAGCAGTACACTTTCTGGAACTTGGACGACTCACCTGCTTCAAATGCCCCAGGTGTTCTTGGCAAGCTCCTGTCCACAGATTCCTCGAAGAATGTCTTCGTCCGCAGTGGCCACGACAATCTCGTTCGGGGTGGTGTCACTCGTACTGACATCCGCAACGCTGACTATACCATCGAGGCACCTTACTCAGTTGAGCAGGCTGATCTTGCTTTTGTTGGCGACTTCACTATCCTACAAGAGTTCAACGTCTTGAACAGTCTCAGGGCAGATGGTTCGCTCATTATCAAGCTTCCAGGCGTCAAAGACGAGGAGCTCGAGAGCAAGCTCTCGCCAGCATTTCGCAAGGCTCTTGTCGATCAGGACGTGAGCCTTTTTGTATACGACCCTGCACTATCTGAGGTTGTTGCTGAGGATCCTACTCTCGAGGTATACCTCACCGAACTGGTTTTTCTCAAGGTCGCGCGCAAAGATTTGTTGACCTCCGGTCTTTCGAAGCTTGCAGCCATCAACGGAAGCTTTGAGGTCTTCGATAAGCTTTTACAGCAACTAGAAAGCATATTGCGTGAAGTCGAGGTGCCTGCTGCATGGGGTACTGTGGAGGAAGATGTTGAGCCCATCCGCTTCCCTTCGGACCTCAACGTTAACAGCTTTGCTCCCTTTGATCGTATCGAGCCTGAGCCGCCTGCCCTACTCAAGGACTGGCAGATTGCTGCCAAGGGCTTCGCTTTCAAAGAAGCCTTTGGAACCGCCAACCAAGTTCGTCCCGATCTCGGTTTCAAGACAAGCATCGTTACTGTCAAAGAGCGCCGACGCCTCACACCTGACACATACAACCGTAACATCTTCCACATCGAGTTCGATCTCGGTGACTCTGGCGTTACTTACGCTATTGGTGAGGCCCTCGGTATTCATGCTGAGAACGATATGGAGCAGGTTGAGGAATTCATCAAATGGTATGGCCTCAACCCCAACGAGATCGTCGAGGTACCATCTCGGGAGGACCCCAACGTTCTGGTCAACCGTACCGTATACCAGTCATTGATGCAGAATGTTGACATCTTTGGTCGCCCACCCAAACGCTTCTATGAAGCTCTTGCAGAGTTTGCGGATGACGAGCGCGAGAAGAGGGAGCTTCTGCAGCTTGTCAGTGCCGAGGGTGCCTCTGAGTTCAAGCGTCGTGCTGAAGTCGATACTGTCACCTATGCCGACATTCTCCTCGAATTCCCATCTGCGCACCCATCATTCCATGACATTGTCCGTATCGTGGACCCGATGAAGCGCCGCGAGTACTCTATTGCCTCTGCACAAAACGTTACACCCAATTCCGTCGCTCTCCTTATTGTTACGGTAAACTGGGTCGACCCCAAGGGCCGTGATCGTTTCGGCCAGGCTACACGTTATCTCAACGCACTCAAGGTCGGCTCTCCCGTTACTGTGTCCGTCAAGCCGTCCGTCATGAAGTTGCCCACCAAGACAACCGCGCCCATCATCATGGCGGGCCTTGGAACCGGTCTTGCACCCTTCCGTGCCTTTGTCCAAGAGCGTGCTTATCAAAAGCAACAGGGACATGAAATTGGTGAGGTCCTGCTCTACATGGGCTCCCGTACACAGCGCGAAGAGTACCTCTTCGGCGAGGAATGGGAAGCCTACCAGGACGCTGGCATAATCACACTTCTTGGCCGTGCTTTCTCTCGTGACCAGCCCCAGAAGATTTACATCCAGGATCGCATGCGAGAGACTCTGACTGACATCAGGCAAGCTTATTTGGAGAAAGAGGGAAGCTTCTACCTGTGTGGACCGACGTGGCCTGTTCCTGATGTCACGGAAGTGCTCCAGGAGGCTATTGAGGTTGAGCACAAAGCCAAGAATCCGGGAGCGAGAAAGGTGGATTCACGCAAGGAGATTGAGAAGTTGAAGGACGAAGGGAGATATGTCCTTGAAGTTTACTAGAGCATTATTGAGCGCGTGGGTGGAACAAATGATTTTTGGCCAGAATTCAATCATGACAGAATACATGAGTTTGGATCATGATCGCATAATCTATTCCTATGCATACTTCTGATTATACCATCTTTTATCTCTGTGAGTTCAGAACTTCCATAAGGGCATTGGTATGTGGTCACCCAGCTGAGCGGTAATCAATAATTAGAGTATTCACTAGTCCCTACTGATGTTCACCAAACCTGACCTCAAGTCACCAAAGGCAAACCTCATCACTATAGCATCACATAGGTCGCCGAAGATATCCTATTATTGAGTAAATTTTGCCATGGAGCGCTGAAACCCCTTCGACGTTAGAACATTAAGCGCGCCTGCTGTCCAGATATGCAGGCAACCGTTACTTAGAACTGCACAAGTGTATGTGAACCCAAGCCCTATAACACTGTTTGATTGATAACCATCAAGCCATATTTTTGTAATTAGCTTATGGGTTTAAGCTAGTTTACAGCGGGTACTGGAATTTACAGGCCTAGGTTAACGAGATAGGAATTTACAATTACCGGAAGGCCATACGGCCAAAGCATCCGCTTCTGTGGGAAGGCTACCTACCCTATATGGGTACTCGGCTGATGGAGGATGTCCTCAGTTTAGGAGTACTTACACGCTCCTTGGAATCGGTACTCGATAAGGATCCATCAGCGGCAAACCAACATTAGGTAACTGGACGATATCAGACAAAGAATATGACCACCCGTCAAACATCACTTGGAAGTTGCAGATTTGGACGAGCAGGGTGGTCACTTCATGAGGTCAGTAATGGCCACTGTTTCTATGTCACTGGATTTACTAGCTGTCATGGTCGGGCTTGACTGAAGATTACAGACTGAAAGACCTGGTGCCCCCATGCCATTCAGCGCAACCATCAAGCCGTTACTCAACTTTTGCCAACTCACAGATATTTTGGTGTCATGCTGCTGGCTGGTATATCGCGATAATCCAAAAACCAATGAGAGACAAGTCCAATGCAGACAAAGCTCACAGGCCTCTCAAGCACCAAAATGCCGTCATACCGACTAGCAATCAGTATTGAACAAACGCCAAACCCCCATATCACGCGTGTCTCATTGCAACGTCTGACCACGGACACCCGTCTAGCAAGTATCAACATCCAATTCCGCAAATGTTTATCTCGCCTTCTTCTGAGCCGCTTTTTTCGCCCTCAGGCGCGCAAGCTTGAGTTCCAGCTCTGCGACTTCCAACTCGCCATCGAGATCCTCATCCTCCTGGTTCATGCCAGCACCCAAATCGGTCTGGGGGCCGCTGATTTCACCAACCGACATGATAGGGTCATCGTAATCAGGCGACTCGCGTTTGATTTTGGGGTGCATACTGCCCTGACGGACACCTGACAGAGCCTGAGAGCGCCGATCTGAACCATACAACCCATGGCCCTCATGGCCCATTGTATTGCTTCCGAATGAAGACGGGCGGTATGAGTTGCCAGGCATAGGCGACATATGGTGAAGAGGCGGGTACATGCCATAGGGTTTAGGATGCCGAGGGCCTTGATTACTGTCTCTACTGGATAATTGAGGCTGGCCATAGCCTGGGAAGCCGCCATAGCCGTGGAATCCTCCATAGCCACCGTACGGAGTAGGTATGGTTGTGCCCCAGGGACTCATTAATAGGCTGTCACACCCAGGCGCAGGAGAGCCATACCTGTATGAAGTCTTTTCTCGGCCGGCGCGTTTCATGGGGCCAGGAGAGTCAGGCGTAGACACGATGCGACTGTTCCTTGACAATTTTTCCTGTTCGGCTTGCTGATGAGGAGTAGGGGCTAGTGTGTGTTGATCGTCTTTGATATACCCGCTTGAACACTGATACCTGTTGGAGATTCCACCATAACCATGTTCAATGCCCTCGTCGTCATCATTGTCGTGATTAACACCTTCGTTTCGACCATCCATATCGTCCTCGTTCTCCTCTTCACTTTCGTCACCTTCCTCATCGCCGTCATCATTAGCCACCTGCAGAATATGATCAATATCCTCATCGGTCTCCTGCTGATCTTTGCGATTGACAAGCAAATGCTTGTACCGAATCTCAAACGCATAATCGACCGCCCAATCTTTCACCAACATATCCTCAATGACATCAAAGTCCGTGGTAACCAACTGAGGCTTCCTATTCCCCGTATTCTTGATTCGGTACCGCACAACATCGTTCATGGCATCTTTGAGCCACTTTTTATCCTTGGTCAGCTTGGCGATCATGAGGATGGCTTTGAGCACCGAGGGAAGCCACTTCTTCGGATTAGTCTCGTGGGCACGATAAGCGGGGCGTTTGCCATCGGCGCCTCGCTTGACGAGCGGTCGGTGACATTTGGGGATGTAAGAGCGGATGAAGCTTTTGCCCCAGTAGCTCTCAATCTCGCGAATGACTGCCTTCTTGGCGACCATATCGTTCTTCATGATGGGTTTGGATGCCCAAGGTTGGGGTCCGGGTCTCTTGTAAGGTTTGCCGTTTTTATTAAAAAGTAGCTTGGAGTCGGCTTTCGGGCTGGAGGCGCGACGTTCACGATACTTGGGTTCCTCATGGCTGCGCCGCTCGCGCTCGCGGGGAAGCACACTGCCGGCACGCTTTAGAGACTTGCGCTGCAACATGATGGGCATGTCTTCTTCGCTAGATTCTAGGCGAATTCTAGTGGTTGATGGCTGTGGCGAGGGGAGCACGATGGCAGTGTCGTCCTTTGAAGGTGTGTACTCTCGTGGGGGTGGAGAGTCATCAAAAGCCATGTTGAACTACCGCACCAAACATCAACACGCGCGCAAAAGAGTGATGGGGGACTAGAATCACCTCCAATTGCTGATCTCTTGGGTTGGGAGGCAGGGGTGGCGTTGGCCCTGAGCTATTACTTGCTTGCGCAGGCGTCAGAAAGCGTTCAACCTTACCGCGAGCAGCAACAGTAGTTTCCGCGCGTTCCTGGCGCCGAGGGAATTGTGAATATTTTTGGTTTTTAGGGGTCGCGATCCCGGCAGTCCTTTTATTAAAGTTGTATTCGGGACTTGACAGGCGACCAAGATACTCTGGAGACTCTAGGTTCATACAGCCGTACAGCAGAGAAGCTGTAGCTCCCAGCGCAGTGAGTTTAGGATTTGAGATTGTCGATTGCTTCTGCACTTTTGTGGGATCGAAAGTTGTGGTGGCGCGGTATATACGTGATTGAGAAGTCTTGGAAGCGGGAATGAAAAAGCAGAAATGTGGCGATCTGGTGTGAGCAGCGATGTGCCAGAAGGGGTTGCTATATACTGTCAAGAGAGAGCTCACGAGCAGCGCTAGCTTCGAGTATTACCAGGAAGGAACAGTTCGTGATGGAGGTGAGAGAGAAGTAAGTGGTTAGTTGCTGTACAGTATACCGACTACTAACTCCGAAAGGGTAAACAGACACTGAGAGAACACCGGACACATTTCTTCAGATCATTTGATTAAATATCATCTGCAAGCCGCATCTGAGCAGTTATGTACACATTCGACTTCAAATGACATGGCTACCTGAACTCAATGAACGATCTCTTCGCAACAATGATGGGCGCCGAACTGGTAATAGTATTAATATAGCTCCACCCAGCCAAGAGTAGCTCCGTAATACCATAGTGGAGTTTTAAGAGCTCTGTTCACATCCAAGTTTTGGCGATTAACGAGCCGCCAAAACGAGACACTGCCCGCCTACCGACTAATAATTCTGCAACATTACTTGTAATCAACATTGGACATGCTTATTTCCATGAGCTCAAATCTACCTATAAAATATATAACGTAAAATGGTGATGAAAAGTCCCTCATGTCCTTCGTATGCGTAGTTTGACTAATATAAGAATTATAGCGAGTGCGAGACCATAACGATGTGATGTGATGAACAACTGTCTGATACGCCTAAGAGGACTGTATAATTACGCGGACGGAATGGAATTTGCGATTACTGTCTTGATTTCGAGCATTCATGAGTGGTGATGTTCTGAGTACTAGATGAGAGAACCAAAACATCATGATGACATGAAACTCAGGCATGAACCTTCGCGATCAAACACTTGAGCCAAGAAATAGAGATAGTGAGGAGATAGATCGTGCGGTGGCAAGTCTTCATAGCACAACAGTCACGCACAAAGATTTGGTAATGTTTTGTGATTACAATACATACATGGCTGCTTCCAACAATAAGTCACATTTCCGGCATGATCCAAATCATCAATAGACGCAGAACAGACCACCTCTAGCTTCTTTCTGGTCCTCACACCGCTACAAAGCAGCAAAGCTACAAAGTCCACACAAGACCCCAGCGCCGATTACCTTTTCACTCAATCACCCTCTGGAAAGAATTACAACTGAAAAGGAAAACCGACCGCGCTCGCTATAAGGGTTTGGAAATCGCTTGCTGGAAATGGATTGACGAGACTGCTAAAACTTGATGGTGGGCATTGTGAGAGATCTCACTGCGCAATCTTGCATTAGCCATACCAAAAAAGGGGTATCAGAATAGGTGTGGATAACGGCATGCGAACGGGTAAGTTATGACTCGCCTCCCGTTGATGCTGCGGGAGCACCTTCGCCGGCCCCACCCCTGAAAGATCCCCTTCCGCCACGGCCGCCTCCACGTGTGCCTCGTTCTCCACCGCGACCACCGCGAGCAGGACCTCCGCGACCTCCGCGACCGCCACGGCCACCTTCACTGTCCGAAGCACCTCCGCTCCGGTAGCCGGTGCCTGGAGCACCGCCACGGGTACTAGCCTGCCAGTTTCCAGCTCCATAGCGAGTGGCGTTGGGGTTGTTGCTGTTATTCCCAGGACGCTCGTTGAAGATCTTGACAGTTTGCTTCTCAGGACCTCCACGGGCATTTCGCACATCATCTGCAACCCGGCGAAGGGCATTGTGCATATCGTTTGATGTGGCAAAGTGGGCGACGAAGAAATGCTTTATCTTTTCGAGCTTTTCGATCTTGGGCCTGTCTTCTTCTGCGATAAGGCTCTTGGCTTCCTCCTCGTCCTTGACACCGGCAATGAACAGACCCTTACTCTCCTTGCGCTCGGCCAGCTCACGCGGAGCAGGAGAAGCAGTCTTCTCGGGGGCTGCAGTACCGTTGGGCTTTGCCTCGCTTGAAGTGGCCTTTTCTGCAGCACTGTTGGCAGAGGCGTTGTTGTTGTTAGGTTGTGGGGTAGCCGCCTTTGCTGGCTCTTTTGGTGTAGCGGCTGGCGCTGGAGAGGGTCCGCTGCGTGCTGGCTGGCCGGCCTTCATCTGCTGCTGCTGTGCCTGGGCAATTGGCGGAGTGGCAACCGCGGGGCGAGGTTGCTGAGGCGCATTCACAGGAGGACCACCGGGACGACCTTGGGCGGGCGATGGCCCCGCAGGGCTGGGAGCTGTTGCAGGCGGGGCGGTGGAGGTGTTGGTGACAACAGGCTGAGTCAGACCGGGGACAGGTTTCCCACCGCGATGAGCAAAGTTGAAACCTTGTGCTCTCATCTCAGTTCCAATCCTACCATTGTCTATATCTAACACAAGCCATCCATATGCTGCGTCTGCAAGGTTGAAGTTCCACATATTCTTGAATGCGCTCTCATCAATGACACCGCTCTGTGGACCAGGTGCCGGGCCGCCGAATGGGTTACCGCCATTGGCCACAGTAGGCATCTTGTTTACAATGTCAAGGGCAAGGGCTAGCAGACGCTGCTGCGAATCGCTGTCGGCGACTGCGGGCTCAACCTCGGTCTTGACTGTGTCCCAAACATCGTTGAACGAGGCTTTGGAGGCAGCGAGCTTGCCGCGGTAATGGTCGAGCGTGGGGTTAACGCTGAACTCGTTGTATGAGCTACCATAGCGGAAATGCAGACCTGCGGATATGGAGAAGTCGGCCTTGAGCGTGACCGAGAGCTGATTCAGCAGGCCCTCACGTGCGGGAGATGCATGCGTGACAAAAATGCGGGTCTCGGTGGGGTCGTATACACGGTTCGCGGTGTCGACGAGTTCGCCCATCTGTAGCAGCGTGGTCCACATGGTGCCCTGTCCTCCCGCTATTGTTGTCCTACCCTCGCCATTGTCGAACAGCTTGTGCATGACGACAGCGCCACCCAGGCCGAGTAATCGTAGCTTGACGCCGCCGACGTCGAGCAGTCTCGAGTGCGCCTCATCGATAATGTGCAGGTTGTCCACCTTGTACTCTCCCGATCGAAGCTTCTCCAGCACCTGCACGTCTTCACAGGCGCCCCATACCGTGTAGACAGGGACGTTGAGGGTGTGTGTCTTGTTCAGGAAGAGTGGCAGTTCGGACAGGGGCAGATGCTCGCGCGCAAATCGCTCTTTGATGGGGGGCTGCGGTGGCGCCTGAGCAATGGAGCGCTTTACGTTGTCGGACAAGAGAGGCGAGTACTGCGCAACGTGCTTTAGGGTCCTGCATTGCTTGTTAGCCTCGTTGTTATAGTTGCTGATGTTGTTGTTTGTTGTGGTTGTGGTTGTTGTGATTATCGTCATCGTCATCGTCATCGTCGTCGTCGTCCCGTCTTCTGGGACAGGAGAATGGAGCTGGCATACTTCTCGGCGATGCGGTCGAGCGAGCGGTCATCGTAGAAACCAAAGTCGCCCGTGTGGATGATGTAGTTTGCCCGTGCGTCGGCTGCGAGCTGATTCAGCGATTGCAGATTTCCTGCCTACATGTCAGTGTCTCCCAGCGCCGAGGACTATACTGCTATGTCTCACCTCGTACGTCTGCAATGCAAAGCACTCGAGCGCTGCCCTGCTGGATCACGCGGCCCTGGTTGGGGAGCAGTGGGACAGCACCAGGCGCCGGCCCAGAGGGAGCACCAGGCCCGCCACCATTGGGGAGGTAGTTGCCCGGGTAAGGGCGCGGTTGGTTAGGAGCTTGCTGTTGCAGAGAGCGTCAGCCATGATGCACCAAGTGAGGAGGGACATGTGACTTTGGAGGCGGCGGGAGAGTGCGACATGTGGACATACCGAAGCCATCGAGCCGTGAAGTGCGGTGGGGTCTGTCGAGGGTAAAGGGGGGGAGGGGGGAATGGCGGGTGTGGTGTCTAGATGGGGGAGGGGGCGCAGTAAAAAGGCGTAGTGGGCAGGATGAAAGTGAGGTGAGAGTGAAGAGAGTGATATTAAAAAGGGTTGCGCGTGTGTAGATGACAGCGGCGAGTTTGTCTCGTTTGGTGGTTGCAGGTTGCTGCTGCTGTTTTTGCTAACAACCCAAACCAGACTAGCGCAGTTTGAGGTTGGCTTGTCACTGTCCCTGCCCAGTAGCTGCCAGCAACACTTCTACTATAACATCTACCTACCAAACTTGTAGTTACCAACTCTTCTCCTCCATGCCCATTCACGTGTCCTCTTTCTTTGCCTTTCACAATCAGGCAGCGCACTCTCACCATGTCATATATCCATCTCCCGTTTTCCAAATCAATTACCAGCAGAACGAAGACTTCGTCCACCACCGCGCTACGCATTGAGCCCCTAAGAAGCTGCTAGCGAGACCGCGGCTGTCTTGACAACCATGGCTACCTCCAGCCAAGGCACGATTCACTCATTGATACCGCCAGTTCCCTGAACTACCAGACCGCCATTCAGACCATCGCCATCACTGGCATTTCAAGCTTGGTGGATGTGGCCAAGCTCGTTGGAGGCGACATGTATACCACCTACACATATTGCAGTAGTACTACTTGTCACCGAGACTTCGATCAACCCAGCATGCAAAATGGCTACCGTTCAAAGACCCGCTAGTCTTGCATCCACAGTATTCTCAATTGCACTTCCATTTCGCAGTTGACTACTACATTATTTCGTCGTCGCAAGGTGCTGGTGGTCGTCGCTGTTGTGATTGACACCAGCGAGCCGTCTTTCCAAAGCTACAGGATCCCCATCTTTACCAAGACGGTATCCAGCGTGAGTGAGCTAAACAATTGCCCAACCACACAGACAAAAGGACGTTTGTTGCAGCACAGAGCAGATGCCATCGTCTTACATACGACGGAGCGGAGACCTCAAGCTTCACCCAGCGCAGAACTCTCGCAGCGGTGGCTTGTTTTCCCGTTCAATCAGGCTAAACCGCATTGGCCTGGACCCTGTTTTCTGCCAAGCAATATTTTGCGAAAAAAAGTGTCTCCCCGCCAGCCGTGCTTCACCCTCCCCCACGACTGTCAAAATCTCTGATCTTCTGCATCTGCATTTGATCATTCAAGGCCTGTCTTTTACATTCTATATACTGTAAAAGCATCGCCATGGACGAGCAACAGTTTGTGCAGCTGCTCGAGGGCCTTTTGCAGCGTAAGTTCTTCAGCTCACTGTTGGTCAGGTTGCACAGCTAACAGACTACAGCTGACACTGAACGGGTCAAGTCTGCGACCTCCACGCTCAACAAACAATACTACAATTCTCCAGCCTCTCTGAACGCCCTTCTTCAAATTCTCTGTGGCCACCCAAAATCTGAGCTTCGTCAGTTGGCTGCTGTCGAAGCGAGGAAGCTAGTGACAAGGCATTGGGCCCATCTGTCTGCCGACCAAAAGAACTCTCTTCGTACCCAATTGTTCCAGTTCACGCTCAACGAGGATGTCACCCTTACGCGTCACTCGGCTGCCCGTGTCATTGCCGCCATCGCTTCCCAAGACTTCGAGGATGGCGAATGGGCGGACCTCCCTGGGCTTCTACACCAGGCTGCGACAAGCCCAACTGCCCGACACCGCGAAGTGGGTACTTACATCATCTGGACCACACTAGAGTCCGTTGGCGATGCGTTCCCGGGCAAGCAGGCCGACTTGTACAAGCTCTTCAGCACCACCATCCAAGATCCTGAGAGCGTCGAGGTCAAGATCAACACTCTGCTCGGTCTCAGCCGCCTTGCAATGCTCCTGGAGCCTGATGAGGACCCCAAAGCACTAGCCCTTTTCCAAGAGTCCATCCCGGGTATGGTCACTGTCCTCAAGAGCACTGTTGATGTGGGCGACGAAGACCGCGCCATGCAGGCTTTCGAAGTCTTCCAGACTCTCCTTGGGTGCGAGTCTGCACTGTTGGCCAAGCATTTTGGCGACCTTGTCAAGTTCATGCTTGAGCTTGCTTCCAGCACCAATGTTGAGGACGACTACCGTTCCCAGGCGCTTGCATTCTTGATGCAGTGTGTCCGCTACAGGAAACTCAAAGTCCAGGCTTTGAGGATAGGTGAGGAATTGACGCTCAAAGCTCTGCACATCGTCACTGAGCTCGGCGACCTCTCTAGCGAAGATGAGGATGTTACGCCCGCCCGTTCTGCACTCGGCCTACTCGACATCCTTGCGTCGAGCTTGCCTCCTAGCCAGGTCGTCATTCCCCTCCTCAAGAACCTTGGCAATTACTTCTCTTCTCAAAATCCCGACTACCGCCAGGCTGGTATCTTGGCTTTGGGCATGTGTGTTGAGGGAGCCCCAGACTTCATTGCCACTCAGCTCAATGAGATTATGCCCATGGTCCTCCACCTGCTCGAGGACCCCGAGCTTAAGGTTCGCGCTGCTGCACTCAACGGTGTTGCCCGCTTGGCCGATGACTTGGCAGAGGATGTTGGCAAGGAGCACGCCAGGCTTATTCCCGCTATGCTTAAGAACTTTGATCTCGCCGCAAGCAATATTCAGGGTCCAGATGATGAGCGCAATCTGTCCATCATCCGCGGTAGCTGTCACGCCATCGACTCATTGATTGAAGGTCTCGAGCCAGAAGATGCTGGCAAGTATGTCCCGGAGTTGATTCCGCGATTCAGCAAGCTGTTCCACTATGATGATCTCAAGGTCAAGACCGCGGCTATTGGCGCTGTTGGTTCCATTGCATCCGCTGCTGAGAAGGCATTCCTGCCCTTCTTCGAGCAAACCATGAGCGAGCTGTCGCAGTATGTTAGGATCAAGGACAGCCAAGACGAGTTGGACCTCCGTGGTGTAACGTGTGACTCTATGGGTAAGATCGCCTCTGCTGTTGGCCCTCAGCCATTCGAGCCTTATGTCCTTCCTCTCATGGAGGCTTCCGAAGAAGCCCTTCATCTCGATCATCCCCGTCTTCGTGAGACAAGCTACATTTTGTGGAGCACAATGGCCAAGGTTTACGAGGAGCAGTTCGCCAAGTACTTGCCTGGCGCCGTCAAGGGTCTGCAAGACTGCCTTGAGCAAGAGGAGACTGGGCTCGATGTTGAGCTCGGTGAGGAGGCCGCAGAGATGGCCGGCGGTGAAGTTGTTGTCCAGGGTGGCAAGATCAAGGTTTCCTCCCACAATGATGACGACGATGACAGCGATCTGAACGAAGCTGCGATGGGTGACGAAGATGATGACGATTGGGATGACCTTGAGGGTGTCTCCGCTGTCGCTATGGAGAAGGAGATTGCGGCTGAAGTATATGGAGACATCATTACTCACACTCGCCGCGAGTACATTCCTTACTTGGAAACCACTGTGACTAAGTTGCTTGAGCTTGTCGATCACTCATATGAAGGGATCCGCAAGGCCGCCCTCGGCACTCTATGGCGCACATACGCTTGTCTTTTCGGCATGGCTGAGGGTGACGGCATGGGCAAGTGGCAGCCTGGCTTGCCTCTCGCAGTTGAGGTTCCAGATGAGCTGAAGAAGCTGGGCAATCTTGTCATGACCGCAACCATGTCGATCTGGCAAGACGAGATGGACCGGTACGTACCTTCATATTTCTTTCTCTCTTACCCTGCAAAGATGACACAACTTTCGTTAATCCCAGCTCACTCCGATGCACAAAGTGCACTTGAGGTGAAAGCGAATCTACTACTGAGCCCTCTTGATATACTTGATTTCGCAAACTCATTCTACAAGCTCCACGGCTAATAAAATGTAGGGGAACTGTTACTGACATGAACCGTGATATCGCTGCGACCTTGAAGCTCTGCGGTCCCGCTCCACTCATGACAGAAAATGGTACTGTTGTGCCCGACCTGTGCCAGCAGCTACTCGCTGTGATCACTAAGCGTCATCCTTGCCAGCAGGATCTAGGTGACGAGGCTGAAGAGGACATCCTGGAAGAGTCGTCCGAGTACGACTGGCTCGTCATTGAGACTGCCCTTGAAGTTGTCACTTGCCTTTCCGTCGCTTTGGGTTCTCAGTTCGCCGAGCTCTGGAAAATGTTTGAGAAGCCAATTGTCAAGTATGCTAGTAGCCAGGAGTCTACTGAGCGCAGCGCCGCCGTTGGTACCATTGCGGAGTGTGTTGGGAACATGGGTGCTGGTTGCACGCCGTACACTAGTGGACTTTTGAAGCTTCTGCTCCACCGCCTGTCTGACGAAGACCCGGAGACCAAGTCCAATGCCGTCTATGGTATTGGTTTGCTGTGCGAGATGACAACCAATGATGATGAAATTCTCAAGTCGCTGCCTGCTATCTTCTCGAAACTGGAGCCTCTTCTCGACGCACAGGACCAGGCACGTCTGCTGGACAACACAGCTGGATGCGTGAGCCGCTTCATCAGCAAGCACCCCAACAAGCTTCCCATCGCCGAGGTCCTGCCCCGCCTTGTGCAGCTGTTGCCTCTTCGTGAGGACTACGAGGAGAACAAGCCTGTGTTTGGCATGATTGTTAAGCTCTACCAGCAAAACGAGCCGACGGTTCAACAACTCACGCCTACATTGATGTCAGTCTTTGAAAAGGTGCTTGGTGCGCCCGAGGAGCAGCTCGAGGACGAGACACGGTCGCAGCTGGTGGAACTGGTGCAGTATTTGCGGAAGTAGTGGAGCATTTTCTTGGATTTAGCAAAAGAGGAGGATACCCGTCGAAAGACACCTTTTGAATGATGGCGATGATGATGGCCCTCGCCTATGCATGAAAAAAAAATAGGGCACAGTAATGCCACAGCCTTATAATAGCAGAATGGTAGCATATAAATGAATGTGCATGACGCTGAGGCGCAGAAGATTGATGAAAACGGTCGTGATGCGAGTAGGCTGCGCTGCGAACGTGAAGACAGGCATGCAATGTGGGTTATCAGACCGTGGTTGAAGGGATGTGATGTTTGCGAAGGATGGGAGGCTTCAGTGTTGTGGTTCCTGACGGGATGACGGAACTTGGGTTCCAGGGTTGGAAGTCAAGCCCCCCAGTGCCAAGGCCGCAGTGACGTTGGCATAGCGCAGAGAGACGGCGACAACTATGTGGTAACGACGACGGCTTGCGTTGTGCAACACAACACGGCAAACAACAGCAGCTGGCCCAACTGACTGCATACGCTTAGTCTATCCAACACAATCACAGTAGTACTCTGCAATCCATACCTGTTACTATTGTATAGATACACATCAATCATTCCGTACCCTTGCATTGACGACAGCTCTCCCACGCGCCACCTCGGTCCACGCTTCACCACACGGCGCAAGAGCGCAACATCACCACCCATTCGTTTCCAAGACTGCCTGCGCCTACTGTAGAGTAGATAGCTGCATCACACGTTCGATATACGTCTACGTAGCACACTTCCTTGAAATTCAATACCGTTCAAAACAACACGGCGCCGAGGCGCAAAACCGCCCCAAGAAGATGACACCGCGGTGCTCACGGCCACGGCGTGCGACAGTAATCGGCCTCTTCGCACTCTTCGCTGGCCCCGCTCTGGCTGGACCAGATCTCACATCAAAACATGAGGCTGGACGATGCGCGATAAGGGGACATTGCGGCAAACAGGGCTTCTTTGGCTCAGACCTGCCCTGTCCAGACAACGGCCTCGCCACAACACCAGAAGCCGGCGTGCGCAAGAAGCTGGTGGACATTTGCGGCCCACAGTGGGCAGACACAGACGTGTGCTGTGTTGAAGAACAACTCGATGCGCTCAAGACGAATCTCGACCGCGCCACACCCATCATCAACGCTTGTCCGGCCTGCAAAGAGAACTTCTACAACATGTTCTGCACCTTTACATGTTCGCCTGACCAGTCACTCTTCATCAACGTCACACAAACCGAGCCCAAGGGCGACAAATTTTTGGTCACCGAGCTGGATAACTTGGTCTCAGACAAGTACGCGTCGACCTTCTACGACAGCTGCAAAGACGTCAAGTTCGGTGCGACGAATGGCAAGGCCATGGACTTCATCGGCGGAGGCGCCAAAAATTACACGCAATTCCTAAAGTTCCTTGGAGACAAGAAGTTCCTAGGCTCGCCATTTCAGATCAACTTCCCTCGACCCAGCAAGAATGCCTTCCCGGGCATGGAAGCCATGGACAAAGATGCTTATCCATGCGACACTGACGACGAATTGTACCGCTGCGCCTGCCTGGACTGTGGCGGATCATGCACCGAGCTGCCTGAAGTGCGTGAGGAGAAGAAATGCTACGTCGGCCTCCTACCCTGTCTTTCGTTCACCGTCATCATCATCTATTCTGCCATCATCGGCCTTCTTTGCATGGCCGTTACTCTTCACATTGGTCTCAAGAAGCATTCGCAGAACAAGAGCGAAAGGATGCGCCTCCTGCACGACCTTGAACCAAGCGATGATGAGGATGAAGGCGACATCGTGCACAACGTGGGCATGCTCGATCGTCCCACCAAACATTACTTCATCAACACTTGGTGCGATCGTACCTTCAGTCGCCTTGGTTACATATGCGCTCGCTTCCCAGTCATCACCATCGTCACCAGTATCATCGTTGTCGGGCTTATGAGTCTGGGATGGATGAGATTTGAGATTGAAACTGACCCTGTCAACCTATGGGTTTCACCCGATTCGGCGGCCGCACAGGACAAGGCATTCTTCGATGAAAAATTCGGACCCTTTTTCCGTGCAGAGCAAGCCTTCCTCGTCAATGACACCAACGAGAGCTCAGGCCCTGTGCTGAGCTATGAAACCCTTGACTGGTGGTTTGGTGTGGAAAGCCAGATTCAACGTCTGAAGTCTTACAAGACCGGCATAACATTAGATCAAGTCTGCTTCAAACCCATTGGCGACGCATGCGTTGTTCAGTCTGTGACAGGATACTGGCAGGGTGACTTCGCCAACGTTGGCCCGGACAGTTGGGCCGAAGAACTCCAGGAGTGCGTTAATAACCCTACGCAATGTTTGCCGACATTTCAGCAGCCACTTGATCCCCACGTCATCTTTGGCGGCGTCAACGAGTCAGTCTTGGACGCGAAAGCACTTGTTGTTACGTGGGTCGTCCAAAACCACCCCAAGGGTACTCCAGAAGAACAAAAGGCCATGGACTTCGAGAACGAGCTTAAGAACTACCTGGAATTCGTTGCCGAGGATGCGAAGAAGAAGGGTCTGCGACTAAGCTTCAACACTGAAGTCAGTCTCGAACAAGAATTGAACAAGAGCACGAATACCGACGCCAAGATTGTCGTGATAAGTTACATCATCATGTTTTTGTATGCCTCGCTCGCGCTCGGGTCAACAACACTTACTGTGCGTTCTGTTCTCCGCAACCCGGCAAATGCTTTGGTGCAGTCGAAATTCATGCTCGGCATTGTTGGTATCCTCATCGTCCTGATGTCAGTGTCGGCTTCAGTCGGACTGTTTTCCGCAGCTGGAATTAAGGTCACTTTGATCATCGCAGAAGTCATTCCTTTCTTGGTGCTGGCTGTCGGTGTCGACAACATTTTCCTCATCGTACATGAGTTTGAGCGTATCAACCTCAGCCATCCCGAAGGTAGCATACCGGAACGCGTTTCGCGCGCACTAGGACGGATGGGACCTTCTATCTTGCTCTCTGCGCTCACTGAGACGACTGCTTTTGCCCTCGGTTGCGCAGTTGGCATGCCTGCCGTGCGCAACTTTGCTGCATATGCTGCTGGAGCTGTCTTCATCAATGCTGTTCTCCAGGTGACTATGTTTATCGCTGTTCTTTCCCTAAACCAACAGCGGGTTGAGCAGAACCGCGCTGACTGCTTCCCCTTTGTACGTGTTTGGCGCGCAGACCCTGGCTATCTTAATGGTGGTATGGGCCATGGTACGGGAGAGGAAGGCTCTCTTCAGAGGTTCATCCGTAAGACTTACGCTCCTGCGCTGCTGGGCAAGAAGACGAAGGTTGGCATCATCACTATTTTCTTCGGCATCTTCACCGCCGGTCTGGCGTTGTTCCCTAGTGTACAGCTTGGTCTCGACCAACGTATTGCTATTCCCAGCGACTCGTACTTGATTCCTTACTTCAATGATCTTTACGACTACCTTGACGTTGGTCCACCGGTGTATTTTGTCACCAAGGAACTCAATGTGACGCAACGCGCGCCTCAGAAGGAGCTCTGTGGACGCTTCTCCACTTGCGATCGCGAATCCTTAGCCAACATCATCGAAGCTGAACGTAAGCGACCCGAAGTATCCCATCTCGCTGCGTCCGCCGCCAATTGGTTGGATGATTTTTTCCTCTGGCTCAATCCCGAGAACGAGAAGTGTTGTGTTGATCACGGTAAACCTTGCTTCGTAGATCGTCAACCGCCCTGGAACATGACTCTCTCCGGCATGCCTGAAGGCGAGGAATTCATCCACTACCTTCAGCGCTGGATCCAAGCCCCAACTAATGAAGACTGTCCCCTCGGCGGCAAAGCAGCCTACTCCGATGCTCTTGTCATTGACGCCAAGCGCTTGACCATTCCAGCATCACACTTCCGTACCTCGCACACTCCCCTCCGATCACAGAGTGATTTCATCTCTGCATACACAGCGGCTCGCCGAGTGGCACGAGAGATTTCACAAGATGTGGATGCGGAAGTCTTTCCATACTCGAAATTCTATATCTTCTTCGACCAATACACATCCATTGTTCGTCTTGCCGGTGCCCTTATCGGCTCTGCCCTCGCCGCCGTACTCGTCATCACCATGATTCTCCTTGGTTCGCTGGCTACGGCTCTGGTCGTCACGCTTGTTGTCGGCATGACAGTGTCTGCTATCATCGGCTCCATGGCCATTCTTGGCGTTTCTCTCAACGCTGTCTCGCTTGTCAACCTTATCATCTGTGTGGGCATTAGCGTAGAGTTCACAGCGCATATTGCACGCGCGTTCACATTTCCTTCACGTGCGACGATGGAGAAGGCTCCGAGACATCGGTTCCGCGGCAAGGATGCAAGGGCGTGGACAGCCATGGTGAATGTAGCGGGGAGTGTCGTGAGTGGGATAACGGTGACGAAGATCTTGGGGGTCGGTGTGTTGGCGTTTACGAGGAGCAAGGTATGACTTCTCTCAGCATCCTTATCACTACACCTAATCTGAACCCCCCTTGCCCTGGCCCCCATTGTTGCGCTGAGCCTATACTAAACACCAGACTAACACAAAACTTGACAGATTTTTGAGGTATATTACTTCCGTGTCTGGTGTGCACTGATTCTCTGGGCCTCGACACATGCCCTCATCTTACTGCCCGTCCTTCTCTCCATCGTGGGCGGAAAGGGCTACGTGGATCCGGAGAGCGAGGGCGGATTGGAGCAGGATTTGAGGAGTAGACAGTATCCTGCATTGCTGGGAGACGACGACGAAGAGTACGACAGCGAGGATTAGCTGTTTATGTGAATAGTTGTGGACGAGCGTCATGAATCGTATTCATGGGACGGAAGTAGGAGGAGAATCACACTATTCTGGCAGGACATGGCGTGAGAGAGTAGAGAGGTGTATTATTCTCGTTTTTATTTTTGGGCTTAGAATGCATGGTATAACGGCTATTGGCAAGGTGTTTTTTTCTTCTTGTTTGGCCCATGCGGGTTACCTAGTCTTGTGACTTGTACATGTGACTCAACCCCAACCCCATCTATATCATCAGCTTCAAAGACTTGAGAACATCAACCCTTTGACCCAGGCCCTCTCCGCTTCTTACTCAACCGCCTCCTCGTCCTGGGCGTCTGCACGACGCGCTCGGACGGCTGCTGCGCTGACGCAAGAATCGGTCTATGCAGATCGGTGCTATCGGTGTTACTGTTGCTGTTGCTGTTGGCTAGACTGGCGCCGCATCCGGTCTCTCGGAGCGCCATGTGCTCCTCTTCATTCCCCGTCTCGGGCTCAAAGAAGACGGATTTCCAGGCAGAAGGGGTGGTGTTGTGGGGGTCTAGGGGGCTGCGGACGAGGACGCGGCGGGTGCGTTGGAGGGGGGATTGGGAGGGTGATGGTGGCTGTGGTGGTGATGACGGTGATGTTACGGTGTGGGCGTGGAGGTGGACGTCTGGTTCGCTGGTGGTGCGGGTGATGGAACGGAAGGGATTGGATTTGGATGTGGATGTGGGTGTGGATGTAGATGTAGATGTGGGGTTGAAGATGCGGCGGAGGAAACGCGGCATCGTGTCCAATGTTTCTGTCTTCTCTTCTCCGATAAACTGCCTGATTTCTTGCTTCTCTTGTCACGAGGGGGATCTTTGTCCACTGGAAAGAAGTCCGGGCAGGTACGGTACCGGTATGTTGCAGAGGAGTTGGTCGAAGCAGAATCCGAGATAGGAAATCAAATCAATGCAGGGACTTGTTTTTCTGTTAGCTGCGGAGGGTTCATACTATGTAGGTACTGTATACCGTCCCCAGGATGTATAATGGACATGGTTGCAAGAAGCGGGCTGGGGGGTTTGGTGTGGTGGCGATAAAGATAGCCGGGGCCCCGGGTCGGGGATTTCTGCGGGGCTGGTGAAGCGATGCCGGGGGCGTTGATTGGCTGTGTGCAATGAGCGAGTTAGCGGCATGTAGAGGCTGCGGACGCGGCAACAAAGAGATGGAGAAGATGGTATTGTACTCTACTGCTGTTTGTTGAGTTGGGACTATACCTACCATACGGTACCGGTCCCGGGATTGTCCAAATACGCTCTTGTAAGTACCGGTAAGCATTGCCTACCGGTACCGGTACCGGGTAACTAAAGATCACTGTACCTACACTGCCTTCGCGCTACTTTCGATCAAAGTACTGGCGACTTTCACCTGTCTTTCCTTCACTCTTCCAGAATAAACAATGGCAGTGGACTTCATCTACCTTTCTCTGCTTGACGTAACAACACGAGCTCCTCGTGCGATGAACGCTGCGGCATAGCTGAACTACCATATCCACTACGAGTCTTATTCACAGGTTTGCAGCTCCGAGTATATCTGATCCATTGACCACGCACTGAAGCAAGCCTCCATCCATTGCTGATATGGTCACACTCATCACAGGTTGTCAGAAGATGCTATGCATGGTAGTTGATTCTACGCAGCTCTTGCGCGATAGATTTCTCCAAAAGACAAGTCGGTCCCTTCATGATCCCACGTCACACCTTATCATCCAACCGCCGAGAGCATGGTGTGCGTATCCAAAACTCGCCCAGGCCCACTCCAAATTGACGCTGACTCATTTGACAGAACGAGCAGACACACTGATGCTTCCAACGTATATGCTCGGTGGTGATCATGTGATCCCATTCCTTGTGAGTCTTGGGTATATAGCTGGATGTAGGTCCCATGGCGGCTATGAAATTTTCATTCTGGCTACTGCTCTCTGGGCCGACGTTTCCTTTACCCTGATTGCTGTTAGTCTCGACTACTTCCCTGGCAGAAACATTGACTCATACGGGAGTATTGCGAGGCTCGGCATCAGATCGTGGCTCTAATAAGCTTCTCATGAGGACAGACGCTGTCTCGACCTTGGGCGTCATCTGGATTTCTGGCTCAGTCTTAAGTGTGTTTGCCAAGTCCATGTTTATTTCGGTCTCCGTTTCAACTGTCACATCATTCATGAGCTTCATATTCGTTCGAGAAGGTGTGGCCTGCGGTGTCCTTATCGGTGTGTCGTCGATGGTGATCGGAGTGTCACGGCCGCCTCCTGGTGAGAAGTCTGGCGCGGTGGACAGAGGTTCAGTGTGTGCGTTCGCTACTATGCGCGCCCATGTTGGGTAATGGAATTCAGGGTCTGATGGTTGATGTGTAACGAGGTCTTGTACTTTCTTCCGCTCTCGTCCTCCTGCAAACTCCGCCAACGACACCTCCTTCGCGGGCTTCAGACTCCTTTCCCTCGAAGGAAATTCCTTATCCGTGGTCCCGAGCAAGCGCTTTTGGTCGGCCGTCTCTCTAAGATATCTTACTGACTTTCTGTCCTGGTACAATTCCACATGAAGTTGCACGCCGTCGATTAATCGATTATGGTGCGCTTCTTGAGCGCGCCGTGCGTCGTCCCGGTTCCGAAACCCAAAGACCATAGTCGTAATTTGTCCTGCCGGATAATTGTTCTTCGTGCTGGTAAGATTGTACTCTTCAAACAATTGCGGGATCGTGACTTTCGCTAGATATTGCGGAACGTTTTTCACAAAGACATGATTCTCATCCCACCTCCTACGTGGCGGCGGAACCATGCTCACAATCGGTTGGCGCAAGGGCTCGTCAGGATTGCGACTGCAGTCATACGGAGCAAGGTTTCATACGATGCAGTTAGCTGGCATGATTGATCCGAAGGTTGTTCTTAGGGATAGTGGAAGTTACAATAGGACCTTTAGGCAGCGGTAGGCTACTGCAGTCTATTGGCTGCAAGCGTTTGCAGACTGCAGGTGAAGGCCGTCTTCCTTCCCGAAGATCCAATTGAATGCGGAATTCTGTTGGCGAGAATGCCTCTGTTGTATTTTTGAATAGCGATTGTATAAATTGTAACGTTAAAAATGCAGTGAATGGAAGAGACAAGATCATCTTTTTGAAAGCGCACTTAGCAGCAACATATTGTGAGATCGGAATCACTCAGAGTCGGAAAGAAGTAGCGGTCATAACGACTACATGCTGGGCAACTGCCTCCGGTGAAGGTTTTGTGTAAAATCCATGCGAACAACGGCCTGGATCACCATAATTCCTGACCCGATCGTGTCAAATATTACACAGAAGCGTGGAGAAAATCTAGACGCGAAACGGAAGCTGGAAACTAGTCTAGTCTAGCTTATATAACGTCGATGTGTCGCACATCTGGTGTTGGTTAGAAGTTTCAGTGTCAGAGTACGAACATCCTGGACCCATCCTTGATCATCACTCCAGCTCTTATCTTCAGCATCAGTTTACAGAAGCACGTCGAGACACAGTACATTGGGTGCTTCACTGGCTTTGATGCAAGAGGGGGAGACCATGATGTCATTATCGAGGGAAATTGGACTGCATGTTCAGTTTGAAAATTGTCTCCATCAAATCTCTCGGGTCATTCATCAAGTTCAGTGACTGAAAGAATTACTGGGAGAGGCCACAAAAGACGATGTCGCCTACACGTTTCCCATATCTCTGCCAATACCACACTGCCCCGAAAGGAGCTTCCTGTGAGAGGCAGGTTTGGAATTCCCTCCGGAATCTACTTGCGCAGTAGCTGTATAGGCGGACTATGAGCACAGCTAGAAAACAAGAAAGCTATGTTACAGTTATTGATTTGTTACAGTTATTAAAGGTGTTCACGTACTCTCAGAGACTCGCGCACACGGAAGCGTTCGAGATTTTGGTACTTGCTCTGATCATTCCCTCCCCGACATTTTCGCTCATAGCCATCTATTCTAAGTCTATCACTGTCTAGCAAACGGATTTCACGTCAGCATCAGTTCAAGAAGCGGCCGACAAAATGGCGTCAAGATGCAGCTCTTCCATAGTTATTCGATTCTGATACTGACTTGTCTCCTTTCTTTTACGATCGAAACCTCAGTTTTGTTCCTGGGATCATTGACCACCTGAGAATAGGTTGGGCCTTCTACATGGCTCGGATCTAATTTCTTCGTTCGGTGTAATGCGCTCCGGGTCATGAGCTAATATATGCACGATTTGCGGGTCCAGGGAGATCTTGGTAGAATCCCGACTCGCGCAAATTACTAGTGTTGTCTGGGGTAACCATCCCCGCGTCTTGACATTCTCACATCGTATTCGGGCGGTAGCAAGTATGGATGAAGTGCGAATGGTGGTGGCATGTCATATGACCATGGATTTAGCGTCGGGCGACTTGGGCTTTACTCCGAGTGGTTAGAATATCCCTGTAGGTTCAAGTCCACGTCACAGCGGCAAATTTTTATAGTTATATAAACTAGCCTATAGTTAAGTATAAATTAGGGTAATTTAAGTAAGTAAACGCAGTTTTTATTACTATCTTTTTTAAACGTGTTCTAAACCTATTCTTAATAATATATAGGCGTTCCTAAATACTATACTAGAGTTTAGTATAGCAGTACTAGATAATATATCTAAACTAGATAGTAATATTAGAGATAAATTTAGGCAACTGTATAAAGTGCTAGAGGAGGATAGTAGTAGTAGCGTTAAGGAAGTAAGTAAAAGTAAATAGAATAAGTTTAGAATAGGTTAGTAACACGTTATAGGGGCATAATATATACCTTACTTATAGTAATAGTTAAGGACCACTACTTACACTAGTAATTATTAAGTATATAGCTATTCTCCTAGTATACCCTTAATTATATAGCTAAGGGTATAGGTATATAATACTAGTTTAGCAATATAAAGATAGCTCTTACCTAATAAGAGAAGAGGTGCTTATATAGGCTACATAGGTAACATGTTAAGAACACGTTCTTAAATTATTCTAATTCTAGTAGGTATAATACTCCCGCTAGTCTGTCTATCTTAATAGGCCTACAACTTCACTATTCTTTAATAGCTAGCTAGCAAGCTAGTATAAATACTAATGCTCTAGGGTAAAAGCGTGTAAGTATCTTAAGAACATATTATAAACGTGTTCTTATTACATTATTAATAACGCATTATATAATTAGATCTAAACCTTAAAAAGTATAGTACCTAAGAAAATTCTATAAAGAGAACTATAAATAAGAAGCTATTATTATAGCCTTATTAAGCGCTTCTCTTTAAGGATTTATAAGGACTACTAGGTGTCTTGTTATCCTATAATAAGGACTATAGTAAATTAGGTAGGGAGCAAAACTTAAACATATTTAAAACGTGTTAATAATAAGTTAGTAAATTGTAGAACAGGCTTAACTATATATTAGCTATTAGAACTACAGCCTAATATCTACTACTAGGAAAAAACATTATTTTAGTTAGGTACCACTAGAGGTAGACTCTATATATCTACAAGGTCTTCTAACTAGGGAGATATTAAATCTTTCTAGTAGTCCTGCTTTATATTCTGTAGTTAAGCCACAGTTAAGCTAGATAAAGAAGTGTAGTAGGCATATTGTAACCTATTCCTAACACGTTCCTAATATATTCTAGGCGTTAATTATCTATAAGGGCAAGGATCTCTATTTAAAATCCTGTGTAAAGTTACCTTCTAAGTAATTATACTAATAGATATAGTAGTAATACCTTTTTTTACTATTATTTCTTTTAGTATACATACACATATACCTCCTCCTCCCTTAATACTATCTAATAGTAATATTAAGGAAGTAGTAAAGGTGTTGTAGCCTATACTTACTCTATAGCTTACGCGATGTAAGTTGTTTGTAACCTGTTATAAACGTGTTCCTAACTTATTATAGCCTAGTTCCTAAACTTAACCTAGCTCTAAACCTATCTCTAACTTAAAGGTTTCTATTTTATTAAAGAAATGTATATTAGCTTCGCAAATAAAGATAAAATCTTATGTATTATAAAGTGTGAAAAGCTTCTATAGTTCCTATTTAAGAGTAGCCTTAGAGGAGTACACTATAAGTAGAGGATAAAGTATTAGGATCCTAAAACTATACGTGGTGTAAGAGAATAGGTTTAGAACACGTTGCTAACACGTTACTACAGGCGTATATATAGCAAATCTTTATATTAAGCTTAGGTAACTTAATTATTTGCCTTTTTAAAGAGCAGGCATTAATTCTATTAGATTAAGACATATTCTAGATAGATATATTATATAAGAGGTTGTATAGGGCATAGGTAGAGATTCTAATAGTAATCTTCTACCTACAGGAAAAGAAGCGTACGCATTAAGAACAGGTTTGTAACACGTTTCTAATATGTTGTAGTTATTACACTTAGCTAAATTATTATAGATAAGGACATAACTAAGATATATTAAGTTGCTATTACTAACTTCTTTTAGAAGTGTAAAGCACTTACAAAAAGATAAGTGTTATAGAGGTATATTTACTTATAGGGATTCTATAGGATTACTATTAACATATACAACAAGTAGATAACAGGCAAGTTTCACAGCGTACCGCAACATGTTTATAACGTGTTTCTAACTTATTTCTAGGACTTAGGCGCTATCTCTAGTTAATTAATCCCTATAAGCGTAACTAGCGCTAGCAACTTTAATCTTGTATAAGATTTTGTTAAGTATATCTATAAAGAAGTATTTACAAAGCATATAAAAGAGAGCTAGATAATACTACCTCTTTACGTCTAAGTGAATTACTACAGGCATTAATAGTAGAGGAATACTTTTAGCTTACTAACCTCCTCTTACGTAAGTAAACACATTCTAAACCTGTTCTAAACGTGTTCCTAACTTGTTCTTATATAATTAGAACACAAACCCTCTAAAGATGCCTAAAACTAGGCAATCTATAAGAAAAACCTAGTAATTACTACTAGGATTGTGCAATACTATAGTAAAATATTAAAAGAGGTATAGGAAAAACTAGAATCTTATTTAAATATAGCTAAGTAAGCAGGCTAGAAAGGATATAAAACTAGTAAGCATGTAAGTATTCTTAAGGCCACTTAGAAGTAAGTTTATAACCTATTCTTAACCTATTAGAATTGTATAAGTAACATTGTGTAGTATACACTAGATAGATCTGTAGGATATAAAAGAGTTTAAAGCCTAGAGCAAGTTTAGAATATGCTATAACTATAGAACTCCTAATAGGCTTAAGCAAAGGTACCTTAAAAAGCTTTAGAGGGGAGAAAGTAAGTCTTACGCTAGCGTTATGCATATTTGCTAATTAAAACGTGTTTAAAACGTGTTTAGAACGCGTCCTATAATAATAATAATACTCTAGATAATAATAAAGCAAGTCTTGCTATATCTAACTTAACTAGATATATCTTAGTCCTAATAAGAAATAAAAGAGCACGCTTAAAAGCCTAAAGCCAGAGGGCAAGTAGTAGAGCGGTATTAGAAAGAAGTTCACTAGCCCCTTTTCTATCTTCTCTACTACTAGGCTCTTCTCCTCTACTAACAGCAACCTAAAGGTATGCTTCGCGAAACACGTTTATAACACGTTCCTAACTTATTATTAGTCTATAACTACAAACTTTGCAATAAAAGGCTCTTCTTAGTAATTAGGCTCTAAAGGAGAGAAAAGAAAAGCTAGAGGTAGATAAGGAAGAACTTGTATAGAAAAAGGCACTATTTAAATTGCAAAAGGCACAGTTTAAACTTAAGAAAGAGATAGCTACTTTTTATATAAGGCAGGGTTAGTTTATAAATATAGTAACTAGTTCCTAACTAGTTCTTAATATATTCTAGTCTATTATATAAGCATATATAAGCGGATAAATATATATTCTTTCTTCTTCTCTTTCTTCTTCTTTCTTCTTACACTCTATAAGAACTTTTTATATTTAAGAGTTTAATACTATTTTACTATCTATCTTTCCTAATATTATTAGATATAACTAGTTAATATAGTCTATAAAGATCTTTTAAAGTTAGTATATAATAGAACGCATTAGGAACACGTTGTAAACTTGTTCTAACACTAAGTAGGATTTATACTAGCGATATATTAAGCTTAAGTCACTTCTATCTAATACTAGGGTATTCTCTCCTGCAATATCCTACCTAAATAATAGGTGTATAGTATTTCCTAGCAAGCTTTTCTACTAGGCTATTTAGGCTAGATTAGGGGTATAGGAACTTTATAGAGTATGTATGCATGTAAGTTAGAACACGTTTATAATATATTAACAACTATTTTAGCGTTGCTTCTCTAATAGAGGCAATCTTATCTACTACCTTAAGAGGTATTATCCTAAGGTTTAAATAGCCCTAGTAAACTATAGCAGAACTATAATACAAGGTATTATAGAAGCAAGGATCTTCTATAGGAGCTTAATAGTAAATACTTAAGAACATGTTCTAAACATATTAATAATACGTTCTCCGCTAGTAGAGCAGACTACACTAAGTGCCTCCTCTAAGGTTTAAGAACCCTCTAAGATAGCTAGTCTATAATAAGAAGTGGTAGCTAGAGTAGAGGCTAAAGAGGAAGTAGAGAGTAAAGAAAAGGAGCAAATAGTTACTCCCCTTTACACTGTAAATAATATTTAGCAAAAGTAGCAAAAAGGAGATATAAGTCTAGTCTCTTAAAACACGTTTAGAACATATTAATAATACGTTATAGCTAGACACCTATAAATACTAGATTCTTCTTTAATCTAAGGGACTACTAGAGCTTTATAATACCTATAAAAGTTAAAAGAAAAAGTTATATACTATTAAAGGACCCTATAAAAGTAAATAGTACTTTACTTTTAGTAGATAGAAAAAAAAAGAGAAGAGTAGAGAGTTTATTTTAGCAATTACTACTACCCCTTTAGGTTATATACTATTATATATTATTTATTAGAACCTATTCTTAATATATTCTTAACGTGTTCCTACTTGTCGCTGTTATTATCTCCCTCCCCCTCTCTAGTATCTTCTCTATCCTCCCTAGGCTCTACAAAAGCATACCATAAGTAGAACTAGGTAGTATTCTAGCAGGAATTAGCAAGGTCTATACTAGCATTAAAGTAATAGTCTTAAAATATGTTAGGAATAGGTTAACAATATATTGTAAACAACTTACTATAGCTAGGATAATTATAAGCGTAGATAGTATAAGGAACCTAATAACCTTAAATCCTTAGTAGGGTAGATATAGTAACAAAGTTAAGCTATAACAAGTTAGTAACGTGTTTTTAACAGGTTCTTACAGGCTATACCTTATTACTATTATAGCTACTATAAGTCTTCTTCTAAATTATATTTAGGAGGGTATTAGTATTTACAGGGGGGCCTATAGTAGCTACTAGCTAGGCTTAGAGAACTTCTATAAAACACGTTAGTAATAAGTTTTAAATATATTCTAAATAACTTATAGTAAGGAGTGTTCTAGTAATTATATATAACCTTTATATAGAAGTCTATATATATTAGTATAACAAGTTAAGAACAGGTTAATAATATATTTACTCTTTGCCTTGTGGACCTCTATTATAGAGGGCTAGCTAGTCTTCTTAACCCTACTAACCTTATAGTAGGCTATGTTAAGCCTATAATCTTTTTTAGCATAGGTACATAGAGTGCCCCTAGTACCTAGAATAGCCTAAGAATATTAGAACCTGTTTAGAACACGTTTAGAACCTATTCTTACTCTGTATAAGGTGCCCTTATTGTTAATCTTAGCATAGTAGTAGCGCTCTCTACTCTCTATCTTAACTGCCCTATTAGGGCTAACCACAGGCTATACCCTAATATTATCTAGGACGCAGCTAAGGGCAAGGTACTATTAATAGTGCTTCTATAACCTGTTAAGAACACGTTCTAAACACGTTTTAATCTACTTATATAGGATAAGAGGGATACGTTAGTAATAGGTATAGTAGTAGTAGCTTATAGTGTTACTAGTATAGAATATATTTAGAATAGGTTTAGAACATGTTGCAAAATCTTATAGCATAATATTTAGTTAACCTCGCTTAGCTAGCTAGTAGAGCTTGGCACGGCCTAACCCTATGCCAAATACGAGTTCACGCAGCGCTAATTCCATGGTCATATGAACTGCGCCCTCGTGCGAATGACTGCGGAACAAATCAAAAACGGTAGGAGAGCCGCCCACAGTGTAACGGGTGACCGTTCATAAAAGCGTGCACCAGCCGTCAAACACGTCACGAAGCCCACCTTCGCCATACAACGAGCGCAAATTTCATAGCATCATCATGAGATTTGCAACATCCATTGTATTCGCGTTGTGTACTGCGTCAACACATGCTCGGCCGAACGAGCAAAAGACATGCGTGATCAATTCAAGTGGCACCAATGAAACAGACGATGCGCCAGCGATACGTGCTGCATTCAAAGAGTGCGGTCAGCACGGCAAGGTTGTGTTTAAGCCTACGACATACTTCGTCAACTCTGTTCTAAACATCAACGGACTTGAAGATGTCGACATAGACGTTCAAGGTGAACTACTGGTAACGCGACTCACTCCCAAGTCTTGAGAACATACTAATCACATCTTCAGTGGAGTACTGACATCCAATATTGGTTGAATGCCTCTTTGCCCGTCGGGTACCAAAACCAATCAACTGCATTTAGACTCGGCGGCAACAATGTGCGAATTAACGGTCATGGGGTCGGAACGTTCAACGGTAATGGCGACTATTGGTACGAGTGGATCCGGGAGCAACCAAATACATCAAACTATCCAGGGCGGCCTCACCAGATTACGTTTGATGGTCTTACAAACTCAGTCGTCAAGGGACTGAACTTTCTAAGAAGTCAGATGTGGACTATGTCTATCATTCGTAGTCACGACAGCATCTGGGAGGACATTTTCGTCAACAACACAGGCAACCGGGTATCAAGCTGTATGTATCTGATAGCCGGTGCCAAAGGGGTATTTACTGACTATATCTATAGCCAACACCGACGGTGCCGACACATTCTTCTCTAGTAACCTACTGTTCCGGAACTGGACCGTGTACAATGGCGATGACTCTTTCAGCTGCAAAGCAAATAGCACAAACATTACACTACTGGACTCACACTTTTATCATGGTCTTGGGATCGCCATCGGCTCAATTGGCCAGTACAATGATCAATTTGAGATTATCGAGAACATACGTGCAGAAAATGTGTATTTCGAAGACACTTTGCACGCATTTTATGTCAAAACATGGACAGACGACCAGAACGGGTACCCGCCAAATGGCGGGGGCGGTGGTCTTGGATTTGCGTCCAACATGGTGATGAAGAATCTTACCAGCAAGGGCATGCGTGGTGGCGCATTCACAATCAGCCAATGTACTCGCTTCATTGGTGCACCAGGACAAGGAAATTGCACGAATAGCCAGTTCCAGGTACGCAATGTTGCTATCGATGGTCTCAAGGGCACAACAAAAGATCGCCGGGTTGTGAGCTTGCAATGCAGCAGTGTGGCACCGTGTACTAATATTACACTGAGCAATATCGACATCAAGTATGCTAACGGCACGACGGTGCCCAACTACTTGTGTGGAAATGTTGTAGGCAACAAGGGCTGGGAGTGCACTGGTCCGGTGTGTGTTGGGGGTAGCTCTACAGGAGGATGTTGAAGCTCCGCACGGGAGAGGCCATGTTGAGTCTGATAGGTGGTCAGAGTTCTTTGATATGTGCACATGAACTTACATATCTCTTGGGACTTCTATAAGGACTAGAAAAGAATATGACGCCGCATCATCATCGATATTGGCGCGGTGCCCATGAGACAACCTTTACATTCGCGATCCGCAAGCTTTATATTGCAACGTCCAACCATCCACTCTAAAATCTTTTCAACCCGGAAATATCGAACTGGCCAGGTTGTGACCATCAAAAACTTTTTACATCACAAAAGATTATCGACTTAGGCTTCAGTAACGCACGTGTTCTCGCAATGGCGGTCAGCGATCGGCCGTCCCGCATTGGGACGGAGACGCACAACAATAACCGAGTATTCGGACATTTGCTCCATTGTACTGAATCCATGTGAACCTTCATGATGAACTAAGGATGAAGCGTGCCAGATCGGCTACCGCGCGGCTGCCAAACAGCTTACGAACAAAACCGCACTACTGGTAACGATCTGACAAACAAAGCCACCAAAGAACGATGAGCATTGGAGTATAACGGCGACCAACATTTATACAACAAAGCAAAATCTCGAGATTGTCATAGATGATCGTCTAGAGCAGAAGTGCCGACAAGTTTGCAACTACGTGTCCCATGTCCTACCATCGGAGTCGGATTCCAGATCTACAACAGGAACATCACCGGTATGAAAACCTCCGTAGGAATTTTTTTAACAAGTGAAAAAATTCAAATTTTTCAAAGTGCAATTGCGTCCCTTACACCCTCAATACTTGAGTTGCTGGAAAATGTATCTACGTTCTTGCGGAGTTACTGTTATATGTACAGGGGACTGCTACAGTTCATTGATGTTTCACTCGGGAAAGGTCTGTTATACCGGTACCATGTTTGAGTGTCGAAAGGACAACATCCGCATTGTGTTTTCCAAATCTTACATCAACGGCACATCGAATTCTTGCGCTTGATCGTGTGTAGAAGTCGCAGCACAATGTAATATACTGCTTCACTGCTACTCACGTCTGAAAGACTGCTCTGTAATGATCTCGGCTCTAGGGGTTATAGGTAGATGCAGTGGATTTCCCACAGATGCTGTCTCCTGACCCTTGAAATAGTATCAAGCGGCTGGTAAATTTGGAAATGGCGTCTTTTTATACTATTCTCGTACTTTAACACATGGAAAAAGTTACGGTTGTCCTAGATATGAGCTCTGACTTCTGCTAAGTTAAGATATTCGTTGTGATAGCTGCCAGTCAACGGCTTGTTTCTGTTCGTCTTCTTACGCCTTCTTGACAAGGTATTTTCATCGATCTTTCACTTAGGTCCTTATATAATCACCATTCTCTTTACTTCTGCCAACATTGTGCTGTTACATCTGGCTCGCAGCGGCCACAGTGCAAACGCTGGTAGTTGTGTTACTTCACGGTACGGCGATTATAAACCACGATAAACCTCCCCAGGATGACTACATGAAACCAGGATCAACTCATATTGGCCACAAAGACAAAACAACCAAAGACTTATAGAGTCATGACATCAGCCTCAATGTCCAACCTGCCAGATTCTCAAACAATACCAATGACGCAATTTGGTTCATCAAACTCTCCGCGTCATCTGCCGCCCCGATCAGAAGAACCATCTGCCTGGCATCGCTTAGTACGCAACAATCTATTTCGTGCCATCACTGTCATGATATGCTTTATTCTCATGGTGGTCGGAAGCTACTTCGGAGCGAGTTTCATCGCGAACGTTCTACGATCCAACATCTATCATGTTCCCCCTGGCCTGGCTTCAACAAAAAATCCGAACCCACGCTCAACGATGGCAGAGAAACCAACGGCCAAGATTCCCAAGACGGAATTCGTTGATGTATCCGGATTTTCCATGACAAGTGTTGCATCACTACAATCTACTTCTCATACCGTGACGACGACTGAAGTACATCTGTTGTCTTCGGCGACACCGTCTTTGATCGAATGTTTGGTTGACGAAGAAGGTGTGCCTCAATGCTGAACTGCAGCATTCTGCACTGTACGGATCCAGTTCACGCAAACGATTGCCTTTCTCGCTGGGAAACGTATATACCTCGGTATATGCTAGTGCAAATAATCTCAAGGAGGCGACTAGGGTATGTATGTGAGAGTTGAGTGGGAATCAACGATCTGGGCTAGCTAGCTATGGTAGATACGAACCCGAGGTGGAGCCAAGAGGCCAAGCCTATTTAGTATAAACAAGAGTGTATACATTGGTACTTAGAGTGTCTGCATCGAGCAAGCCTTTTATTCTTTCATATGTACAATTTGCGTACAGCGAGCATGAAAGAGTCGTCGCGAATCAATGACGTAAGTTTTAGATTGCTTGACTTCTTCCTATGTACCGGTACCAGTAGCACAAAAGATTATCTGCACTGTGATCTGTTGCCCGGTTCCTCGACATCATCATCGTCACAACTCTCAGTCTATCAGAGACCCTTGACGGACCAGTCGTTCCGCTTGATCGTTTTCGACGCACTCGCTGGGGGCATCGCGTATGAGCGGTGTGTGCCGTAGTGGTGCTGAGAGCCGCATTTCACCCGGAAGATACGAAACCCGTTCCCGCATCCACGTCGTCGGGTCGGTCGCGTAACGGCATAACCGAGCTTTAGTTTAACGCTCGCAAGTCTTTCAGAGCGGTTTTGATACCTTGCGGTTGCCATTTCTTTGTTCCCTCACTTCGATGCCTTATTCTGGGCTCACGTGCCGGGACGGACCCTCACCCGAGGCATCTCTTTGGTCTCGCAGGCTCGCCGACATCAAAACAACTTGTCCATGTTCAGCCATGAATACAGCTATCGCTTCACGACAGGTACAAACTGCCAGCTTGACAGATTCCCCTCGTGGCTTTGATGTGGCCTCGCTAGGTTAGCGAAGTTGCTAAAAGCGACTAGTTATGTGAGCTATCTATTCAACTTCTGGGCATATGGCCGTCCTATATGCTCTTCTATTTCTGGGGCATGTTACGCGAGAAGGGTCGATCAGCAATCCATATCCCCCATCATGCACTTGAGGCTTTCAAAAATGCATCGCGACTACGGTTGCGGCTATATGCACAATTTACAGTGTCCAATGCTGGTAAAATTCTCTATGATGGTGACGTTCTGGGCAATCACTCCGTTCGACTCGCCGACATTCACATGTCTCTACGAACATTCTGTAGACGATGGAGGTCAGTTTGGATAAACTCAATGATAGGTATTTAATATCCAAAACCTCAAAGATTCATGATCAGAAAGCAAGAGTATGTTCAAAATTATGAACATAGCCTACTATCTTGACATGTGTCCCTTGCTAGCAGCTACTATCATTACATCAGTCTTGATCTACATTTTCCTTCAAGTATTGATCCACAGCACTCAAAATGCAAAGGAACCTCGTCTTGTCCAAACGCATTTGCCCTTTTTGGGCTCTGCTATTGGCATTCTGCGGCACAGAGGCAACTACTTCTCGACTTTGAGGTAAGGCTAAATTTAGATCCATGAAACAGCTAACTATTTAACTCTGTTTAGAACACGATACCAATTGCCCATACATACGCTGCGTATGCCTTTCCAGCGATTATACATAGTGCACGAACCGCACCTGATCCATGCCATTCAGAGCAAATCAAATGCGACAAACTTTATCCCAAATTTGTTGGAATTCGGTATGCTCTTTAGTGGGATACATAAGGGGTCTCAGACTATCCTGCGAGACGCATTTGGGCTCAAGGGAAATGGTTTCACTATGAGCGTTCACAAGTACCTCTTGTCCGGCCTTTCACTGCAGAGTGCAACCAAAACAGCAATCGATAGATTGAGTGCAAGCATACCAAATAACTTCGGGAATGACCGAGAGGAGGGGTTGTTTGAGCTTCTCCGTCATGAGCTGACATTGGCTCTGACCGGAGCCATATACGGACCAGAAAACCCATACGATAATCCTGAAATCGAATCGAGCTGGAGGTGGGTACATCAGCATGTTTTTGCTTCTAACATATGGTTTCTTGGGGGATGTTCTGTCGCTAACGAATATGATAGAGATTTTCTTCCAGGCATCAGCCACCTACTCTACAGCCCACTACCTTCGTTAACAGCTCGAAAGTCCTTGAAAGCACGAAGTCGTGTCATTGAAGCTTTCAAAACATACTTCGAAACAGACGGTCATCTCCAGGCCTTTCCGATGATACCTGAAATGTACGAGATCAATAGGTGTCATGGTCTTTCCTCGGACGAAGCAGCGAAGATGGAGATGGCGACATCACTTGCCATGCTCAGCAGTGGGGCTATTACTACATTCTGGCTTTTATTCGAGATACTTTCGAATGCAGAGGTCACTCGGAAGGTGCGCGAAGAACTGCTTGCGATGACGAGCCAGCAGCCAGAGGATTCGAGTGGCGTTTCTCGACCCCGTGTCTTGCATCTAAACGGCATCAAGAACAGCTGTTCAATTCTCATGGCTATGCTGAACGAAACCCTTCGCTTTCACAGCACTGTGATCAATATTAAACAAGTGCAGCATGAAACTAAGCTCGCCGATCATTATCTACTCAAGAAGAACGGAATCGTAATGATTCCTAGCCAGAGCGTACACCACGATACGGATATCTGGGGACCCAACGCGGTCACTTTCGATCACCGCCGCTTTCTATCTTCCGACGCGAAAAAGAAAATTGCGAGTACTTCTGCTTTTCGTCCTTTCGGTGCCGGGAAGTCCATGTGTCCCGGTCGGCACTTCTCTACTAATGTCATTTTGAGTTTGGTCGCTATGGTTGTCTTGCAGTACAACGTAATACCTTTGGAAGGGCAATGGAAGGCTCCAACGAAGCGTAACGCCGACTTGTGGAATGCCATGCCAAAGCCTGATTGGGACGTTCGAGTGCGACTTGTGAAAAGGGAGGAAGGCGAGAAGATTGATTGGAAGTTCACATGGTGTGGGAACGCGGACAATATATAATAACGTTTTAGTAAAATCTTTTCCTTTGGCAAGAGGCTCCACCTTGACCAACTTGAGTTGGTAAATTCCTGTGAAAATAATCAGATCGTTTATGTAAGTTTGTACTATGTATCTGCGGTAATTAGCATTTTGATGTCATTAGTTTCTTGGTGTTAGCAACGAGTGATCGGACGGCCGCAGGTTAGAAGTCTATTTTGAGGGAGAAAAAAATTGTCTGTAAATCTGAATTATGGATTCGAAAATCGTGCTTAAAACCTATAATGATTTGTGCAAGACACAAGAAGTTATCTGAACCATGTACACTGACTACAGCTAATGCACAGAGACCGTCGCGCTTTCATCGCAATAGCGTATAGCGGATCTCAGTGCTGTCCAACATTACAAGGAGCGCCGCCTAACCCAATTAATCAAACAGCGGTTGGCGTACTTGAAGGGGGTAACGGCACAAAGCTCTCCGTGTGCGTTGAAGTCGCCGTCCCGTTGGTGCCATAGTCATCGGTAACCACTTTGCTGCCATCTGCAATGACAAGGTGGTTCAATGTCCTCCTGAAGTGCTCGAGACTGGCTAGAGGCTGGTAATATGGTACCTCGTGACCTGCCTCATACATTCTCGTGAAGCTGAAGTTGCCATACTCTCTCACCTCGCCATACTCGACGCCATCGACGAGAAATGGTGTGTAGCCAGCTGCAGCGAAGGCTTCCGAGTCGGTGAAGTTTGCAGCCAGAGAAACTGCTTCGCCTCCGAACCTGGTATTCTGTGAGTCATTTAAAGTCATGGTCTGGAGTCATGGGCCGTACCAGTTGCAAATGTAGTCAGCATCTCCATAGAGAAGAGCAACGCGAACACCGTATCCGAGGATCTCGTTGAGGTCTTCGATGAAGTTGGGGTAGATAAAATCACCTGTTGATGCAAAGCCTAAGCTGACGTTGGGCGCATTTGACGAGGTGTAGTTGATATTCACTCCGAGGGCCTCCTGGGTAGACGCAAGATTTAGGAAGTCCATGAAATAATCCGGTGGGGTTGGGTCGTCATATGGGTGCCTAATATCGTAGACTCCACGACCGCCGAATGCGTAGTATGGCTCCTCAACGAGTGATCGGCAGAGATTTGTCGCTGATGAGCAGGTAAGCTGGCCATCTTCTGTTGAGCGATCGGCTTTCTTGCAGTACTCGATCTGGTCGTGGCAGCCTTCCGGCATATAGTATGCCTGCTTCATAAATGTATAGATCGTGTCGTTGATAGCCTTAATGCCGTAGGTATTGTTGACAGCAAATTCGGGATAATAGGGAGCCTGAATCTGTTCATCAATGACACCGTTAATAATACCAAGAGTGTCCATCTGGATCTCGACACCGGCGATTGAGTCATTTTTGATGGCCTCGTTTTGCTGATAGAAGTAGTTATAGAACGCTGGGCCGTAATGGCCACCGTAGCTTCAGGGTCGTTAGCAGGATTCCTCACGCTCAAACCAGATTTTCTTACCTTTCCGTCCAAAGATTGAACGTGAAGTTATTGATGTCAGGGTCCAATTGCGGGCTCAGCTCAAGGAACGCCTGAAGAATGTGCCAGGCACCCACCGCAGCCGCCTCGGTGGTATTCGCAGTATCCAGATCGACGAGCGAATATCTTCCTTCGCTGTCATTGCGTGTAGTCTCATAAGAGAACCCGACGCCCACCGGCTGCGACAAGAATAGCATATTTGAAACAGAATTCCAGGCATAAGGATTGAGTTGGGTTTTCAGGTCTTCAGTCACATTGCAAGGACCCAGCTCTTGAAACAAGCCAATCATCGAGTCACTCCCTGGGCCGCCATTCAGCCACAGCGTGAGTGGAGCCGTCTTTGGATTTTCGCGAGCTTCGAAGAACCAGAAGAACATGTTCTGTGTGGGTGAGAGGCTGATGTATCCGGCATAGTCATCGACTCCTTCGGTCGTCTCACAGACACCCTCTTTACCAGGCTGCTTATATCTTATCTCTGCTCCTTGCTGCGAAGTGATTGTTTTAACCCCCGTTGGGTCAGCAGGCACCTGTCTTTCTCTTAGAAAGGGAGTCCGAGCGGTACCGAGAGTCGCAGACGCCAGAAGCGCTACGAGCTGGGTGAAGCGTGCCATGAATAACGGTGATCCGTTGAAGGGGATATTTGAACAAGAGGGTGCTTTGAAGGACGTTTGTTGGTACCTGTTAGGTACTTATATGGTCAAATGACAGCGGAAGCTGGCACGCCGGCAACGATACAGACGCGGGGCTTGTCATTAGTCAAGGCGTACCATGTCGATCACACTGGATGATATTGTAGACCTCTCCCTGGCACAATAGGAGCCATGAGACCTATCGAAAGAATCTAGTCTACATCAGGCAACTGCCCAAGAAACCCTGGGTCTCCATTGGGCAACCAGCAAGTCGGCGTGGACGATTGCAAGGCTGTACTTCGGCAAGCAAGAGTATTGAGAACTCGCTAATGCAATCCGCTGCGTCATTGAATGAGGATTAACCGTGGCACTGCAAACACCGTAAGTGCTAGCTTTGTCTTGAACTCGGGGTTGTCATACAAATTCGCTATACTCTGCCTAGGTAAGTAGCGCCTGCAGTCGTCAGAACGGGAGCATAGAGGCATCAAATCCGATATGACAGACTGTGAAGGACACAACCCCACGGCTACTTCAACATCGATCAGCAGTAACAACCGCGGAGACGGTATGTACAATGCTTGCAACGCCGCTTGTTGTCTAACGCAAAGAGGCAGCTCCTAACGTACAGTGGCGAGATAAGACTGCACTACCGAGTGGAAAAGTGCTTAACCCGGGGCGATGAAGCTTGTTTACGTCATGGAAGCCCTTGCTCTGTTGGATGTCGAGAAAACACACAACGTCTCTCAATCTCGTGATCTATTGTGAGCGGAGGTGGGAAGAAGCACCATGTGTTAGATAACTAGCGCCACACTGACCAGGTAATCTCCACTCTCACTTCCACAAGGGAGCTCGAGCCATACCAACTGAGATCTCCACCCTCCTTGCCGCAGTTGGGGAGCGTTTGTCCTACAAGACTATAGCATCGAAGTGCCTCTGTAGCATGCAAGAGTTGGGCTTCGCGGATGAATCGAGCGAACATGTACTCAATGCATCATAGCTGGTCATGGCCTCACCCATAGTCTGACGATCACGTGACATATATCACTTCTTTCGAACCATGGGCTGTGACAGCATAAGACACAAAATAGGATTATATACGATGTGTATCAAAGCCTCCAGGCGTCATAGCGCACCAAAATGTAGACAACGCCAGCCAACGCCAGCAAATGCTCGATTACAACTCCAAGAAATGCAGATCTGTAGAACGCTCGTTAAATACCAGGATACGAATAAAAAAAATGAAAAATCTATGCGACGAGATGATGTAGTGGCAAGATCTCAGAAGAGCTTCGAGTGCTCAGAAACTGAACAAGCCAGACCTCCTTTTTCCAAGTGGGTAGACGATGAGCGCAGCCAGGAAAAGGCCAACGGTAATACCAATGGCGATTTGGACGACTGAGAAACCAACATCGAGGGCTATGCTGTTGATGGTGCTAGACCCGCCCACATCGACGGGACTAATCGTGGTTGCGTTGGTTCCAGTACTGTTCCGGACAATTTGATCTGCAGAGGTGAGACCTTGAACCAGCGAGCCTTGGACACTCAGGCCGGACGGGACCTGCACGAAGATAGCTGGCAACATAGCTGCGGCAGCCAGGCCGTACCCGATTTTGCGCGTATGTGGGACAAAGCTAAGCATGTTAGTGGTGGAACTCGTGTGGACCAAAAGTAGGGTATATCACTTACTCGCTGACTGAGCTAGCCCGCGATGTAGCCTGGCTGCTATTGTATGTAGGATCATACTCCGACCGTTCGATCTTGTGCGTGCGAATAGGACCATGAGACTTCCGCAGGTAGGTCTTACGTGCCTTCATCACACGAGGGCGGATCATATGCTCCCAGGTATCCAGACACCAATTCTCTACGTGTCGGCCGAAACGAGCGTGGGCATTGGCAGCGATACCAATCGCAAGGGCACCAAGTGTATTACTGACCTGCGCATTGCTCTTGAAGTACTTGGAGGAGTGGAAATTGACAACCCAGCCGATGAACGCGATGACCGTCATGGATGGGATCTGTTTGTACTTGGCCTGGTTGACGATCATGAGACAGATGGAAAATGCGGGTACGAAGAGATAGTAGAAGTTGGTAGACATCGGCTCGTCACATTTCGTCTTCGAGGTGGCATTGCTATCCATCATACCGTAGAGCACTGTGCCAATCGTGATACCGAACCCCAGGAAGAGCGAGTAGATGATCGCGTATACCATTCGAACAGATCCAGCTACGATATGCTTACTTTGGAGCTCCAGTGATGCGCAAAGTACCATGAAACCCGGAAGGATCAAGGCAATACTTGATTGCGCCATGGCACTGAAACAAAATACCTCTTTACCATCATGTCTGATCGATCCCAAGGCGCGTGCAGCAAAACTGGTAATGACCGAAGCGCCAATCTCGAACACATTACTAATGAGATCATTGCCTGGAGCGACAATGAGCTGCAGCCAGCCAATGATGCATCCAAGGAGGAAGCAAAATGGCAAGTCGATAAACCGAGCCTGGAACGCGAACGGACCGACCGTGGCCGAGGCAAGACCGTAACATAGAACCCGAAGCCAGCGTGAAAACTTGTTCTTGCGAGCCATAATAGCTTCTAGTCGTGGCGTGGCTTCTTCGACGTTGATTCTGTCGTGAACCACATCTTTGTATATTTCGTGAACGTCACGCAGCTTGCCAAGATCAACCCCCTGGCTTGTCCGGACAAGTTTGACTTCACTGGTATGGACAGAAGAGTCATCGAAGGCAATGATCATGCATCCCGGCATATAAAGGAATTGTGCCTCGATTTCCAGGACACGCGATGACATGTTGAGATATTCTTCAAGTCGATGTGTTGGCGCGCCGTACATCATGAGTGCTCTGCACAGCTTACGCAGATAGTTCTGCCTAGCTAAAGTGCCAGCCAGATGGATCTTGATCTTGATCGCGTTCTCGCGACGCTTCGCTCTCTTGAAAGGCAAGATTGACTCGTCGGACTTGGACCGTTTGCCCATACCTGGCCGAACCTTCTTGATCTGCTCATCGAATTCATGGCCAAGCTCCTTTTGTGCCGGGGTCGCAAAGCTGTGAGCTGAAGCGCCAACCAATTGCGATATAGATGTTGCGGAATGGCTATTATGGTGTCGACCGAACCATGGGCGTCCGCCACGTGGTGTCGAGTAGCCAGACGTAGGAGGCGAGGGATTGGGCGAGCTGGCGGCTGTAGATGCTCCACTGAAGGTACCACCACTGAGCGTTCGTACATGGCCTGGCTTGGCCGGTGGCTTGATGACATGGCTCATTGGTGCGTTCACAACGTTCTGGGCCTTCAGAAGAGTACCTAACACGCCGGTGCGATATTTCGAAGGACGGGAGACATGCTCGTCCTCAATGTCGATGGCGTCCGGGGTCACCTGACCAGATTGGAGAGGTACATCTGTATGGTATAACATATCATCGCTGTTGATCGACGGCGGTCCATGATCTGCACGCACGGTGTGCTGACGTAGAAGCATTGAAGCCCGTTTCAGGAATTGCGGATCTTCATCTTCGTCAGTGGTGTCTCCTACCGTATCATAAGCTTGGGCCATGTGCTGTAGCTCTGTAGGGGGTGACAATAACTCGTGCGAATTGCGGCGTGACACTGGGGCAGAGAAAGTGCCTACGGATTTCGACAGCCTTGCTGCGCGTCTTTGAGCTGCAAGGCCGGATCTTTCTTTCAATCCAGCTCCCGGTAACGGTTGTGCAGCATCTTCGTCGTCGTCAAAGGGATCTGCTGGCTCATCATTCAGGAGGAATTCGGGGGGGTTACGTGCAGCTTTCCGAATCGCTGGTCGAGGTCTCTGAACATCTTTTGGGGGTGCAACTGGCTCCTGAACATCCTCTGGGTACTCCGGGCCAAGGGCTAATCGTAAAGACTCCCGCATCTTCTGGAGGTCGTCATGTGATACATCCGAACGCTGAAGCGGCGTGTTGTGGCCAGCAGAACCAGTATCAAGGGGAGACACCGTCGAGGAAGGTCGTAAAGCTGGATCTTCTGCGATGAATCCGACGCGTTTTCGACCTGGAGGGGCAGACATATTGTCTTCCGTGTCGAACGGAGTCTGCTGAGATGGTCCGGAACTTTGCGTGGGATCCATATCGTAATGTACAGTGCGGAGGCTATGTATAGGTGGACCTCGCTCTTCAGCAAGCCGCAAGGTATGGCGTATGGCAATGACTAGTGGATTGTTGACTATCTTCGCACGGTGGATAGATGGTATATCGCACGTGGAATCTCTTAGCCGCCCACTGAGATGTGTCGGGGCCCAAGGAGTTTATGACAGTGGAATTCAGTTGCTGCACCAATTGACAGATCTTCGATGCGATACGGTCTCGTCTTGGTGATGGGAAAGAAACGGGTCTAATTGGGTCCTAAGACGGATAAACGGCTTTGTGAGGGAACTATTGTGCCGCTTCTTAAGGAGACCATACGAAGACCACGGTAGAGAAGTCTGGAATTGAACAGAGGACAGTTATACAGTGATGAGAAGAAGCATCAATGCCCTTGCGTATAATTGATAAGGCAGCTATGCTAGCGTGAGTACTGCACGTATTTTCGGAGGGCAAGCAAGGCCAAAGTTGATCCCAACGCCGCGAAATCTGCCAAGAGCCCCAGTTTTACTTGTCGAGTTGCGTGGCCAGAAGGTTCGGTGTGGTTGTTCGTAAGCTCATTCAGAAGCGTTGTGGAGCGATTGATGCAGGGAACCTGGGAGATCGGGAACACCAGAGATGCACGACAAGGCCCCGAGAATGCAACCAAACTGGTGCAGGGACGCAGCTGCGGGAGTGGCTGCGGCGTTGTGTATTAAGTGACCGTAGAGGACCGATACCCATCCTCAACCATGCTGAAACCGCTCCAGATAAGGACGCCGTCGAATCGCCGGAAGCGAAAAGTCTTCTAGAGCTCCCTCTTTGATGGCCGCTTTTGAGCGAGACACACTATACACATATGATTGATCATAATCATAACACCCAAGAAAAGGCATAGTTTGAATGGGCTACACAGTGCAGAGAGCATGCACCGGACTGGGGAAGATTTGCATAGCCATTTTCTAACACACAGTAGTCGAGACGCCAGAAAAGTGGACGTGCTGTACCACAAGCTCGGTGTTATCCTCGTTGAGGAAGCCCAGATAAGTTTGCAGTGGGTATAAATGGGCCATCCAAGCATGGCGGTGCACAATCTCCAATGATTGATACCCAAGGGGTATCGTGGGATCGACTTGCGATGATAAGCAGCTGGTGGAGCAGTATCACCGTGAATGCGGCCCAGAACCGGACCGCCGCCGCGTAGCTATATGTGATTTGCTGGCTCGAGATGAGCAGCAGAAGAGCGTGAAAGCAAGTAGCAGTTGGCAGAGCGCGTGATGAACGAGTAGTGCCACTGCCTACGTAGATTCATTGTCGGTGTCGTTGAGGAAGGGTGGTGGCGATAGGAGGCTGAAAACCCTGGCCGTGCTAGAAAAGCTTGTTTCGCCAGGCGGCTCTGTTGCCCCCTGCACCTTCTCAACAGTTGCAACACGAGCTGATGCTGATGGCAGCCGCTGGTGTTTCCATGTCGCCATTCTGAACAGACTGAACGAACGAACGTTAGTGTTGGCTCTTGGGGGGAATGGGATCGGCACGACGTATTGTGTTGTATTTAGAAGCCGTTATACCGCAACACATCCGGCATAAATGCAAGGAGTCCCATGCAGTACCGCAAAGGCTACCGGTAACATACCTGCAAATGAGACCTGCTCTTTGCACGCCCCAGCACAACCACGGTGCATGACGGCACCTGCGTCCACCCTCCCTTCCAACGCGTGTTCGTCATTACTATGCTGAGAGTCGCCACAGGAGAAATTTCTTTGATGTTCGAGGTTGCCGGCTAGACAGAAAGCATCAATAACTGACACCACTGCGGGTCCTTGATGTTCAGGGTTTGGCTGCATGCGCATTGCCAAGGACGAGTCATGTGATTACTACGTCATGTGTGGACAGATATCTAGCTAGTACCAAAAAGGTCGAGTCACGTGCAGACCAGCCCATGCCATCGGTCATACGATCTCCCGCTGCCCGGAAGCGCATGTGGGGCACCTGAGACCTCCAAGTCCTTCCCCGCATCGCTCTCCGCGGGAAACGGTCGTTGGACGGGGATGTGCCTGGAGAAAGTATCCCCTCAGAGGGGTAGACCCCACAGCTAAATGTTGATGATGAAAGCAAACTTATAGTAGATCGAGAGCCGCCTCCAGCGACTCTGCCCTTCCCCGACGATCGGCCTACTGTACAGAGAAGCTCAGTTACTTACGACAGGTACCTAACCATCATGCCAAAGATCAATCACGTATGTACTTGGACAACATTTGCGATGGTTTGTGACGTCTAAGTAAGACAGGTTGTTATTGTTGGAGCCGGCCCATCTGGTCTTCTCCTGGGCACCTTGCTCGCTCGGAACCTAGGGATCAAGGTTACCATACTCGATGCGGATACCAAGATCAACGACAATCCTCGAGCAGCCCATTATGCTCCATCTGCTGTCTTCGACTTTCATCGAGCAGGAATCATTGACGATGTACGCAAGGTCGGGTTCTCGCCTACAGGCGTGTGTTGGAGACTGGCGGACACGACCTTCTTAGCCGGTATGGGACGGGAACCAGATAATTCGAAATATTCCATGGTCGTACTTCCACTCGATCGGCTAGGCCCAATTATTGTTAAACACTTTGAAAGCTACCCCAATACCGAGATCTTGTGGGGTCACAAGCTTGTGGGTATAGAACAAGACGCGAATGGAGCAACAGCTGTGGTCGAGACCAGTGATGGACAGAAGAAAAAGATCACAGGGGACTATCTGGTGGGAGCTGACGGTGCTTCAAGTGGTGTCCGCACCGCGCTTTTTGGCAAAGAATATCCAGGAGAAACACTGAGACAGCAAATAGTGGCAACAAATGTATGTACAGTACCAACTGCAGGTGCGTGTCCTTGCGCTAAAATTCCAGGTCTACTTACCTTTTGATGAACGGTTCGGGTATTGGGACTCAAATTTCATTGTTCATCCGACCGACTGGTACATGGCTGCAAAGATCACCAAGGATGGCTTATGGCGAGTAACATATGGCGACTCTGAGGACCTCTCTCGCGAAGAACTCATCAGGCGTCAACCACTACGTTATGAGCAGATTTTACCGGGACATCCTAAGCCAGACGAGTATAAACTTGTCAGTATGAGCCCCTACAAGCTGCAACAACGATGCGCTCCCAGCTTCAGGGTTGGCAAGATACTCCTAGTTGCTGACGCTGCTCATCTCTGCAATCCATTGTAAGTTATTCCCGTCGGATTTTCGTCATACAATCCAGAGTAAGCGCACAACCTGTACTAACAAGCCTCTAGCGGCGGCATGGGCCTCACAGGTGGATTCGCCGATGTCGGTTCCCTGTACGACTGCTTCATGGGCATACATCAGGACGAGCTGGATGAGGACATCCTCGACAAATATAGTGAAGAACGAATCAGAATCTGGAAAGAAATGATCGACCCGATGTCAAGGGCAAATTTCCATCGTCTCTGGGACGACGAACGCAAACAAGAACGCGAGGAATTCTTCAAGATGTGCGAAAAGGCGAATAATGACCCTGTATGGGGAAAGTCTGTCGCCGAGGCAATCCATCAAGTTCGACACGATTTTACACAATACTTCAAAAGTAAGCAAACGCCCATGGCCAAGGAGGAAGGCGGCTTGGGGACATCGCACGCAACTCCTGCGACCAACAGCGCAGCGGCATAAAATTTGGTCACACGCACTTTCGTGTAAGTGCAGACCAATTTCCTGTAATTATAATGCTATTGTCAATAGATTTCGCGATTCAGTGGTTTAGCTTCAGCATCTCCCTCGCTGTGACTGTGAATTTTCTTGGGTGGATACTCGACTTGGAAGCCATCTTCACCTGCTCACGTTTGATCACCCGCTTTCATCGTGTAAATGACACACCTGCTGCCTGCATTTTTAAGCTTCACTGTGAATATTGAAAGCTTTGTGCGCAGTAGCTTTTGCGTCTTCAAGCCGTAGACTTCTGCTTCGGCTTCCTCCAAACAATTGCTACACAAACACAAACAGCTTCCCACACCTTCAATTTTCGCCACATCTGATACAACACACAAGTACTGAGCAAAAAATCGAAGATGGAAATTACTGATTATATCCCACATGACTGGAATTCTTTTCTCGCTGGATTTCTTCTGGCCCGATCGGATGTGACGATCCTTCGTCACTTTCTCGGCTTCCCCATTGTCGGCGCCCCAGCCCTTCTCAATGAGGCCGCCGTTGTCTGTATAGACACCGAGTGGTGGCAGAAGGAGCCGAATCCTACGACAGAGATTGGTGTCGCAGAGCTCATCACAGAAGATCTCACACTCATTCCTCATGCTGAGAATATACTCACCGGCATGCATGTCGCGCACGCTCGAATCAAATCCACTGCGCATCTCCTGAATAGCTTTGTCGGGGCTGGCGATCCTGAAAAGTTTCACTTTGGTACTACTCGGTTCGTCTCGATGACGGAAGCACAATCGATCGTCGAGAATACGTTTGCGCGCCCGCGTCAGTCATCCGATGATGCACAGCTGCAGCCAATCATCTTGATCGGGCACGCTGTGGACAACGAATTCGAGGTTCTTGAGCGTACTTTTGGCGTCGACCTACGCAGCTTCGGTACGATTATCAAGGTAATCGACACACAAGAAATGGCTCGCAATGCCGGTATCAAAGGCCCCAACGGGCCAAACATTGGTCTTCGCGACTTGCTTGCCTATTTCAACGTAAAGGTTCCGAACCTACATACGGCTGGCAACGACGCCGCAGGTACAATGATCGCTGCAGTGCTACTTGGTTTGCAGTCAATCATGTATCCACTGAAGGACGGTCCGCCTTCAGCTAATCTATTCGGTCGCGAGATCCAGGACGTTGTCGACGACGTGATGACTCTCGCCAAGTCGCGACCTGCACCGACCTGGGGCCAGCCTTTGTTCTGTACACGTTGTGATCGCGATAATCATTCGAGACACAGCTGCTACGCGAAAGTGGCGTGTATCATCTGTCAACATTCCAGGGTTGTTCGCCTCTACAACGCAGCGCGGACCCATACGACTGATCGTTGCTTGTACCAATACCTTGATTTGCCTCCCGCAGAGTGTTAGTCTGGTCTGCTTATGCGCCTTACACTAACGATTCAGTGAGTTTTTGGTTTTTGAATTCATATCACAATCAGATACTGAACTTCATCACAAGGCTATCATCGCCCACGAGCGGGCTGCTTTCCAGACATGGATTGGGCCACGAAATGGAAGTATGTTGATATAGGATAGAGTAATGTAATGAAATTGGAAGGGAAGTTTTTCTATCATATCTATAGAGTCAATCATCGTGATGTTTTGACGCATATTTCAAGATGCTGCTTGGCATTGCTTACTTGAACAGAAGATATCTGCCCAGTCTACATGAGTCCACACCGGGCCCTCGGACAATGATTCGTGATGGGTGATCCAAACACTTGTCCGTAGCAGGTACATGTAAGCTTAAAGAAGATGTTTACATGTGCTTACAGTCTCGAAAGAAAGTCTCATGGCACCTGTCAGTCATGTAATATCGTATTTCTATAGAAAAGGAAATGTTGTTTCCTTCTATTTCACTAGACCGATCACGATACTGATACTTATATTACGCCTCACATCCCGTGCTCACCCTCAAAGCGTGTTTCCAGCCTCCTTGTGCGAATGAAACGCGCAATGCAACACCATCCGATACAGCCTTGGCAGTCGCATCAACCCCAACTTTGTCGCAACCTCATCTTCCTTACAATTTCCTACAACGCGTCTATTCCCCCATTGCAATAATGACAGCCTCACAGCGTATAATCATCATCATCTCATCAGCCGTCTTCCTTCTCCTCTTCATCGCCATATCTCTCGCCACAACCATCGAAGTCCGCGCGCCCGTCCAAAAACTCATACAAGCCACCCTTGTACAAGCAGCGCGCGTCAGAGAACCAAAGGGCTTTGGCAGCGCAAAAGCACGGCTGAACGATACGGAGTTTGATCGTGGCGATGTCTGGCACGGGACCAGCATCGTTTCTGGGATTCCGCCTGCGGCAACGAGCTCGAGCACGATGACGGAGATGCAGGAGGGCATGATTGGGTTTACGCAAGCTCCGGGGGTCACGCTGAGTGCGATTTGGAGTGCAGAAGGTGTTTTGGGACCACCGCTGGCAACAGCCTCGCCATCTGCTATTCCAGTACCGCGTCCTCTGCCCGCCCCCGTCATGCCCGTTGTAGCCCTTACTTATTCTGGTAACGGAGGTCCGAAGCATTGTCGTGGCGAGCTTATACAGAAGACGGTTTTTCCGCCGCCGCTTGAGCAGTGGAAGAGTGGGACGTGTGTTAATCTCCCTGGTGAAGCACGGTGTGGTGTGTTCTTCTCTGGCAAAGGCGACAATTGTGAAGCGCAGCTGTTTAATATGGAGAACTGTTATAATACGACGAGAACGTATGTAAACACGGTTGTTTTTATGCCGGAAGAAAGAGCTGTGGGCGCGCTTTGGCGTAGCATGTATGTGAGGTGTGGTGTTGAGGTTCCAGAGGCCAAGATGTTGGATCCGAGTATATTGGGTGACGCACTGAAGAAGCCTGGGAGCAACAATGCAGGTGGTTGAAAGAAAAACCTGATTGAGTGGAAGGGTACACTCAGTTTACGAAGCAGTTGGGAGAGGTATCATGGTGATGCGTGAGGCTACAAAGGCGGCGTCACCTTCACCTTCACCACGTACCCGACAGACAAACGACGCCATAACAAGCGGCATATGTATCCTGCCTCTCACTCCCTTCATCTACAGCTCCTCTTATCATGGCAACATCGAGCAGCAAGAAGATGAACAACCTCCGCAAATTGTTGTCGTCGAAACCAGACAAGACCGTTTTACGGACATACCTTAATAACGACAGCGCCAACCTCCTCGATGATGCAGTTGTCGTCAACGTACACCGTGCCTGGACAATCCATGCACCCTACAGCCTCACAGATCTCGGCATCACCACCTACAGCCGCAAGAACGGTAGCCACAGCTCCGCAACCTCGCCCGGTCCTCAAGCCGAGAACATCCTCAACAGAATCTGGTCGCTGCATCTCCGGATTCGCAGCCATGCCCATCTACCCACCACCAATGGCCATGCCCAAGCCTTCCACTTCGGTACCACGGTTTACGTGACGAAAGAGGAGGCCCTCGACCTACTCCACCAAATCTGGCATCAGCCCTCGGGTGAAGCAGACGGCCTGAGGCCCATCATCTACATGTATTTCGGCAACAACGACGGCCTGGGCAAGATGAGGAAAGCGCAATTCGACTTTGATCCGTCGAGCTTGCCGACTACGATTGCGACGCTGGATGCCCAGATCATCCCGGCACAAGCACACATCACGCGGCACAGTGATGCTGCGCTGGAATATCTGATGCTACAATTCAAAATCAAGACGTTTCATGTGGAGAATGCGGGAAACGCTGCCATGTATGCCACGGTTGTTGCTATCCTTGCCTCCCTGCGCCAGGAGCTGTATGCGTCGGCGCAGAATCCGCGAGCGCAAGTCGGGCAGAAAGGGATGTCGAGCTCCAAGTCGGCGTCGAGGGTGATGCAGGGGTTGATGGAGGGCCCGACGCCGCCGCCGCCGTTTGGCGTGACGAGGTATTGCTGGCGATGTGGAAGCGGGATGCATGAGTATGTCGAGTGTTCGGCGTATGATTTGGCTTGTGGAAAGTGTGAGAAATCGGTGCTGGCTTGGAGGCGAGAGAATGCGGGATCGCATGTTGATGGGCTGTGTATATATCGGTGATGTACTATCACGATTCGAGATGTAGTCTCATGGATCTTACCTACACATCCTCCTCCTCTTGCTTGATCCTGACAACGACTTTCCCCTTCGCCCGTCCCGTCTTCAGCCTCTCAAAAGCCTTCGGCACATCCTCCCACTCAAACAACGTATCCGTCACACCCTTCACTTTGCCTTCTGCCATCCACCCCGCAAGAACCTCCATATGCTGCTGATTCGGACTCGCAAACAGCATCTGGAAGCTATTCCGGCCACCCCCAAGCACCCTCGGCAGCACCATACTACTCGTAATCTGCCTCATGCCCCCCAGACTAAGATCCGCACCGACCTGGACAAATTTCTCCCCAGGAATAAGGAACTTGTCAGACGCTTTATACAAGCCCGGCGGCGTACCGACATTGTCCACCACGAGTTTGAACACGGCACCCTTGGCACACAGCGCGTTTACCACATCCACACTCGTGTAATCCAGGACTTCATCTGCACCCAGACCCCTCACAAACTCCATGTTCCCCGTCGAACAAGTCGCCGTAACATGACAACCCAAAGCCTTTGCAATCTGCACCCCCACGGCCCCCGTACCCCCACTACCCCCATTGATAAACACCTTGTCCCCCGCCCCGGCATCGACATTAGGAACAATTGCCTGATACTCTGTCAACCCAGCAATCCCCATCCCAGCCACACTCTGCATATTCACGCCTGCAGGTACCTTGGCAAGCATATGTCGCGGCACAGCAACATACTGAGCCAGACTGCCCGCTGCAAAGGACCCGACTTTTGCACCGAAGACGGCGTCGCCGGGGGCGAGGTCGGTTACGGATGCGCCGATGGCTACGACGGTGCCGCTGAAGTCTGCGCAGGGGATGAGGTTGGTGCCGAGGAGGCGGAGGGGGAGGGGGCCTTCTGGGACTTTGTAGTCTACGGGGTTGAGGGCGGCGAAGTGAGTTTTTATGAGGACGGAGGTGGGCGGGATGGTGGGAGTGGGGTGGGAGGGGTTGAGGTGGAGGTTTGCTGAGAGGGAGGGGGTGGTGGAGTTGTATTGCCAGGCTTGCATTGTTTTGGGGGGTGTCATGGTGGTTCGGGAAGGTCTTGGGAGGAGGTTGATTTCGGCGGATTGAGATTTCAAAGCTATTGGACGTGTCTTTGGGTGGCCTCTGGTGTTGATTTGAATACACGGCAGAGAGTTTCGATGTTTGTTCGTTGAGATATCTCCCTTGCGGTACTTAGAGGAGGTTGATCGCGGCCAAAGTGAAGTAAGTGCCTTGCGTCATGACGACGACGAGTCGGGTCTGTTCCTAGTTCCAACTAGGTACCTACGGACGACAACCTTGTTCACTTTAACAGTCACAATGATTGATACATCAAGATTAGCGTTATCATAACTTATAGGAAAGTATTGCGTTACAGGCGTGAGAGATTGGATATTGTGACTTCAAGAGGGTATGAGGCGCAACGAGGTGCGTTGGGAGAGGAGGTAATAGTCTGGCCCCACATAACGTGACATGCTACGCAGGGAAGTAGAAAGTCCATCGAGACTACAAACATCGGAAGCGCGAGGTGTGACTGGAGACATTTGATGGTTTGTATCTCACACTCAATCAGCTCGTCTATGCCTATTTTCCAAACTTGCGCTCCACCATGGCTTTCACCCCCATTCACTCTATTCCCTCCCCACAGGCTCGAGTCCCTCCATCCCATCCTCAATACTTGATAAACATCTGCTCAAACCCCCTAACATCCCACGTCCCCGTCTCCGTATCAAGCGTCAAATTCGTCGGCACCGTTTCGCCGCGCTGCAGCGCTCCGCTCTCCACCTTGCCACCCGCTACACTTCTGTCCAAATGATTGGCGCCAGCCTTGACCGTGAAATTGGCCAGGCTGATTTCATACGGGTTGCGCGTTGCCACGGAGGGCGAACCTGCATCGTTGCATCAGTAAGAGAAAAAACGAAGGCCCAATTGACTAGATATCAGGGGCGGCCGCTTACCGTAGAACTCTGCTCTCAGCTCCTCTGGCTTGACGAACAATTCATAATATCCCCTGTAATACCCCTCTGTCCACTGTAGCTCTGGGTTATCTCTCACCAACGCTGCACTTCTGTCACTGCTATTCGATATTGACCGCCCATTTCCATAGCCCGTGGAGGAGACGGCTGTGCCGGCGAATTCGACGCCGATGGCGCCTGCGCCCGTGACGGGGTCGTAGGGTTTGTCGTCGAGCCAGACGAGGTCGGAGACCCAGTTTGCGTGGGAGTCGCCGGCAAGGAAAGCGGTGTTGGGAATGGAGTTTGCGTAGAGATGGTGAAGAGTGCGGTTGCGGTTTGCGGTGTAGCCCTGTTTTTGGTGGTCAGTGGGGGAGTCGGTGGTCGGGTGAGCGATTAGGGGATGGAGAAGGAGGAGAGGGGAGGTAGTGCACGAGATGGACATACATCCCATTGATCTGCATTCAACTCTTCGCTGTAGACGGCGCTGTTGTTCATGTGCGAGAAGATGATTTGGTTGCCGACTACCCGCCAGATAGCACCACGGTCGTGCGACTCGGAGAGCTGGTTGTAAAACCAATTTTCTTGACGGCTGCCCATTAATGAACGACCAGTGTCGTCTTTGAGCTTCTCAATGTATTGGTCGTTCCAGTCAAGGGTAGTGATTGAGCGATCGTAGTTGCGAGTATCAAGCATGATGAGGTCGAAGAGTTTACCCATTTTGAAGGAGCGCCAGATGCGGAGATTGTCATCGAGATCGACTTGTCGGATGCTGTAGTTGGTGAGTAAATGTGAATAACATCTTGGTCATGTGGAACATACGGCATCCACTCAAAGTATGCCCTGACGGCGTTCATTTTTCTTGTATCGACGCTGATACCTCCGGCCTTCTTGAAAGAAGCCTCGGTATTGTTCATGTTGCTAAACCCATCTCGATAACCGTTGTTTGCAATCTCTATATAGAAGTCAGCGATGTTGAAGAAGAGCCCAGCGGGTATGCGGTATCCTACCGTGGTCGTCCCAGGTAGTGATCCATGCAAAGTTTTGATGCGCAAGGCGAAGATCGAGATCAGAGCGGTCTGCATCAACGTCAGAACTAGAACCCCCCCCCCCCTCTGTGCACTGAATACTAACATTGTCCAATTCTAGTGCGGTAGTCTATAATCTTGTCAACAACATTCTCAAACAAGCAAAGAAAAACCTTGGTATGGAAAGGTAGTCGTACCATACAGACTAAAAATCTCTTTCGTCGGATTTGTAGCCCTTTCATTGACTCCCGGCTTTCCTTTGCCAGATTCATAGATGTAGTCTCCAAGATGCACCTTAAATTCTCAGCTATTGGCGTCCACAGAGAGATGTACATTCTCCACTTACAAAGAAATCCACTTCGTCTTTACGGGCAGCATTACCGTAAGCATTGAAATAACCACTGGGATAATTACTGCATGAGAAGACAGCAAGACCAATATTCGACACATCATCATCATAGTCGGGGCTAGTCTTTGTGCGGCCGAGGGGACTGGTATTGTTTGAACCGCAGACCTTGAACTGGTAGAAGTAGGTTTGGAAAGGGTGCAGGTTCTTTGCTTCGACCTAATTCATTTTGAGTCCCTCTGTTTCCGTTTGTAAGTTTGACAATCTAGGGGGACTTACCTTGACGGTGAAGTCAATATCCGAGGTCGTATACACAGTCCCTTTGTCAACCACGTGCCTCAACTTCTCATCCTTTCCAACGTGGTACTCGACGCAAATCGGGTTAGCAGAAGCCTTGATGTACTGTTCAGTCTCGTGGCTGTAATACGGTACATATCCCGAGACCGTCACATTTGATTGATCACTCTCTGTGGATGGTGCAATGCGTGTCCAGAGGATGACCGAGTCTGGATGGGGATCACCAGACGCAACAGCATGGGTGAAGTTCAATTGCGCTGGGTTCCAGGGCGCCGCACGCTTGGTTAGTGTTCGTTTTGATACTTTTGAAACATCGATTGCGAGACTTTTATGGCGGCGGGATGGAGAGTGATAGTTGAGATTACCGTCAAAGGAAGTGCAGACAACAATGGGGGCCAGAAAAACCGCGCCGAATAGAATGAGATACATCTCGACTTGCTAAATGAGCTGATCTGTATGCCTACATAAGCATTGAAAACTGAAGCTTAGGCGGCTTATATATTTCTAAATGCTCACATCCCGCGGCCATTTTGATCTTGTACTATCTTTGATTACCATGTTCGGACGGCCATGGCCGTTCATCGTCTTCTGATAGATCTTCAATAATCATAGTACCCAATCGTATCGCAGCTATAGTAAGTGTGCACAGAAGTCCCATGCTGATCTCCATCGAGCATCATTTCGTGGAGCGCATGTGTTGCAAAGACGCGATGGTATTGGCCGCGGGGTATTGTAACTGACCGAACGCTCAACCCAGTCCGCGGATTCACAAAACGGCTGAGGCCCGCTCTCCTACCCATTACGGCAAAGTGTGGGATTTTGACATCACTATTCGACGAAGCCAAGATAGGCATTTCACGAGTAATGATATACACGACGGTGACATGCAACGATGTACCTGCTTATAATAATGAATGGCCATCTCACTTACTGCACGGGTCTTTGAAGTTTTCTATGGAGAAACGACCAAATGACCGTAGTGAATCCTGCTCGGACCGACGTCTTGTGCTACCTCTAAATGAGCGTCTCGTGCACTTATAGTCTCCTCCGGTCTGACACATGGTTCCGCAGTGTAATAAATACTTCAGCCATCTTCGCTAACCCCAAACATCTTCCTCCAAAGCAAGAAACTCTGGTACGTCCTACTAACATACCTCTCCTTGCCCCACTCATTTTTCCCTTTCATTTGCGCCGCCTGAGCTACACATAAGGCCCTCTTCGTTCCCTGCACGACTATCTGTTCTTCGTCCATGTACGGATACACATTTTCTGCGCTACCCGGAATCCTGCGATCGGCAGTAGCTGTCAAGATACCAATGATCGTCTTGATGCCAATCAGCTCCTCAATGTTGTCCCCCAGGCGAGGAAGGAGCTTGTTGAGTAGTGCAAAAATGGTGCGGAAGAAGCGCTGGAAAGTGCCCCAGATTATGCCCGCGGGTGCGTAGTTGAGGACATCGCCGTAGATATCGCCGGAACCAGTTTGCTGAGGAGATGGAGACGTAAGGCGAAGGCGAAGGGTCTCGATTTCGTTGTCAAGATTAGGAACGATTGGGTTCGACGAGTCCTCATCGGTATCACGGATGCCTTCGACAAGATAGCGGAGGACGGCGTCGCTAAGGACTTCATTAGGATAGATTGTGCGGGAGAGAAGATCGGGGAGCCAGCCAAGGAGGTCTTCAACCCAATTTGCGGGACTTTGACGGACGAAGCGAAAAGTCATGCGGCCAACGTCGTAGTGTGTGCCGGGGAACCATTGCTGATGCACCACTGCTGTTTCTTTCTGATCCTCTTCGCTAGGGTATACGAGGCAAGGTTGGAATATCCATAGTCTATCGTGAAGTGCAGGCGCGTGGTACACATGCTGAACCACTGAACTCACGTTGTGGTCGAAGAACTCAAACGGACTCCAATCGAACCCAATACCAGCATTCAGACGTGGTATACCCAGCGCACCGACCGTGTCGATGAGTCCCATGAATCGAATCGGACGTTTGGCAGGCCACACTCTTCCTGGATTTGCTTTCCAGCGCTGGCATTCGTCTGACTTTGGCGCGTCGACCGGCAGGTTAGAGCGATATGTTCTGAACACCTCGTAACAAAGAGTCTGAAACTCATCCTCCGTATACTCGGGGAGGCGTTTGATGATGCCACAATTATTGATCATACCAGCAACACAACGTACGGTGAACGCTCCACGACTGAATCCAAAGAGCCATATCTCGTGATCAGAGGTGTACCTCTCCGCGATGAATCTGTACACGCTGATACACTCGTCTCCAATTGCAGAGGCAGTCGCGCCGTCCCAAATGTACTCGAGAAATGTGCGGTTCAGGCCTACACCTTCTTGATAGCCGGCTACAACATCGGGTTGAGTGTCCCATTCGGTACCGTTCGAGTGCCTTGTAGTTGTGCTGGTGGCTTTTTGAGGCTTGATGGGATGTACTGTTGCGGGCTTGCGATTTGAATCGTCGATGTACTGCACTTCACCAACCATATTCGCGAGTTGTCTAATGTTGCTAGGAGGTGCATCCGCGACGGCTGTTTCGCGGCCGACCCATGTTCCATCGCAGAAGACGACCAGCCGCTTTGATGGACGTGGCGTTGTTGCAGACGACATGGCGAGATTGTCACTGCAGGATATCTTATGGCGATGAACAAGTGTATCGAGAGTGAAGGACAAGCCAGTAGGCAACACAGAAAAGATGTTCTGTAGACACAGCCAGGAGGCAGATAATCCAATGTCCAAATTGGAACGCCTTCTTCTTGGTCTTGGGGCCAGAATGATATTCACCAGTCAGCTGCTTTGCCTTCTCTTGGTGGCGTCCAGGTGAGCGCGTGGCAATGGCCCCTGACCTTGCAGACCAGATGGTCCGACAGAACGGTTCGATACACCAACTATCCAAATACTGATACAAAAGCGGATTGTGATACTTTGTAGTCACATGAAGACGATGTCCTTCAGAGGCGCCACGAGCGCGTAAATGCGGTGTGACGTCATGGTGTGGTTGGCTAGCGTGGTAAACACATTGCTGCCAAGGTCTCGAAGTGGTCGTGCAGGTCAAGGCGTTGTAGTTCACAGGCCTCCAAAGAATTGTCTGTCATGGGGGAATAAGGAGGAAAGTAAGAGCTGACGATCCTCAGTCTGCTGATAGTTCAAAGTCCAAGGATCTCATCCATGGTCTCCCACATTTGTCGCTGCCTCCCGATCCTTTTTACATCTTCGTCTTGTACCTTCTCTTCCTCTCCAAGCTTGTTCTCATTCGCCTTTTGTAATTCCTCTGCTTCCCTGCTGAAATCATCGAGTACGCCTCGAACTCTCTCGGCCACTTGCTTGACGCCCTCGATCTCTTTCTTCTTGCGCTCCACTTGCGCCTCCATCTTTTCAATCAAGGTCTCGCGCGCCTGATGCGGTCGATATTCATTGATGAGCGCATGCATGTTCGTGACCAATGTCAACATGTCTTCCAGCGTGTTCGTCTTCATCTGCGAAGTCGGATCACTAGCCATGATGCCAAGAAGTTTGAGATAGGCGAGAAGCAAGCTACGCAAACAACTGTAGAGTTTCTGCTGATGCGTAAACGTGGCGAAGGCGCCTGCTGCAGCCGTGTCGTTGGGAAGCGGCTTGTACTTCCAGCCCTCGGGGAAGATGCCCTCCATTCTCAGCATGTCGCTTATGTGCTCCATATTCTTGTCGAACACATCCGTGCCCTTTGCCCTTGTTTTTTCGTTGAATACATGGAATTCCTCGTCGTCCGCGGGTGGTGCTGGTGGGATGAGATATCGCAGCTCTGTGGGGAGGGCGAGGATCTGTTCAGCAGAGAGTCTGGAAGTAGTGGCTGACGGATTGTTTGGTGCGATCTCGTCGCCAGTCACCGACTGATTTTCGATCTCCTTTAGACGCGCAATGTTGTCAGAAGAGAAGTACTTGAAGAAGGGTGGAGGATCGGGGAAGAAGCTGAGGGCAGGTGGATCAGCATCTTCTTCCTCATGGAATTGCGCAGGATCGGCCATGAAGATTGCGGTCTCTATACGGCAAAGCGAGAAGTAGACTGAGCATATAGCGTGGCTGGTGTGCCAACACTTTACCTATGTTCGTTGCCGTGGAGTATAACGCAACTGTGTACTGTGGAGGACTTTCCATCCAAGGGCAGGGCTGGACCCTACCTAGCAGCCCGTTCAGTTCTTGGCACGCCAAAAGCGACCTAGCGGGCGGGAGCTTACCTAAGGCTGATAACAGTCTCGCACGTGACTGCCCCACTAGCCCCGCATGCGATGGCAATGCAACACCACAGATGGAGGACGACTCTTGCGGCGTATAGTCGACATGACGTGTTGGAGTAGAGTAGAATACGTAGGTGCCTTGGAAACGGAGACAGAGTTGTCTTACCATCCTCTGATTTATGAGATGACATCATCACCCCAGGGCAAGAAACCCCAATCGCCCAATGCCGGCAAATCGCCGACGATATCGGTGTCGCCAAAACTGTTGATTATGACGGCATAGCACATTACAAATCTAGACGGACTAATGCCGAGGGGTAATCAAAGGAGCTAAGTCGATGAGACTACATTATAATCATCTGGAAGAGTAGCCAAAGTCATACTCTACTTGCACCGACAAGTGCGCCGTCGATTTTATCCCGACAAACTCACTCGAAATCTATCACGCATCCGTCCAAGTTGTTCAAGCTACTCAGCCAGAATGTCTACACAAAAAGCAGTCGTCCACAAGTCAGAGGGCGTAGCTGAGTTGCGGACTGATGTGCCCCTTCCCAAGCTCCCGGGGGATGATTGGATTCTCGTCAAAACCAAAGCCGTGGCTTTAAACCCGACTGACTGGAAAAACATCGACAAAGCCACAGCGCCAGGCGCCATCGCTGGTTGTGACTATGCAGGTGTTGTCGAGGAAGTAGGTAAAGGTGTTACCAAGTTGAAAGTCGGTGACCGGGTCGCGGGTTTCGCTCGAGGAGGTACGTGTCGTCCCCTTGGCTGTGATTGTATTTTTTGTTTTTTTTACTAACAGTGAGCAGGCGACCCGGCTGACCACTCCAACGGCACATTCGCCGAGCACATCAAGGCCAAATCTGGTATTCAACTCAGGATTCCCGACAACATCTCTTTCGAATCTGCTGCGACCCTTGGCGTAGGCATCTCCACTGTGGGGCAAGGCTTGTATCAAGAACTCGCCTTGCCATTCCCTCCAGAAAAGGTCAAAGAACCAACACCCATTCTCATCTATGGGGCCTCAACTGCAACTGGTACCCTGGCTGTGCAGTATGCCAAACTCACAGGCTGCGAAGTCTTTGCCACAGCATCACCGCACAATTTTGACCTTGTGCGTAAGCTCGGGGCTGACCATGTGTTCGACTACAAGGACCCAGAGTGTGGCGACAAGATTCGGAAAGCGACCAACGACAAGCTCAAGCTTGTGTTCGATTGCATCGCAGAGGGTAGCTCGCCCGATATCATTGCCAAGGCCATTAGCTCATCGGGCGGCCATGTGTCGACTCTCCTGCCTGTGAAGAGCTTCGGGAGGGAGGACGTGAAGCACAGTTTTACTTTTGCATACACTTCCCTGGGTGAGAAATACAATGACCGATTCCCGGCGAGCCAAGAGGACTACGAGTTTGGCAAGAAATTCTGGGCTCAAGCGGAAGATCTCATCAATAGCGGTAAGATCAAGACACATCCCACCGAGGTTCGCAAGGGGCTGGAGGGCGTGCCACAAGGATTGCATGATTTGAAGAATGGGAAAGTGTCGGGTGTCAAGCTCGTGTACACGGTCGAGTGAAAGTTTGTTGAGATTCATGAGAATGGTCAGAGAATAGTAGAATGCATGACATTGCTTGAAATGGGTTTGGACGTCGTTGTGAAGGTTTGAGAGGGTCTTGCTGTGACAGCGTCAGAGGTCACTGACGACCTGCAAAAGATCTTCAAGATAATTTAGATGATCGGTGAACGAACAAAGTAGTCTGTTGGGTATGCATGTAGGTACTTGGCTGATACATATATCGACGGCCTATGGCAGCGGTCTCCCAGCACAGACCAGGCTCCCTCTCCACCCCACACAATCAGAAAAATCAGAAAGCCAGTCCACTGAAACCTCCTTGACACGCCCTCTGCCTCCTCTGCGCCCACAACATGGCAACTCTACACGTCTTATAAGCCACCCCGCGCTCATGGCTTCCGTCAAACGGCAGCAGCACGCGATGCCATCTCAGTCTAACAGCAAGTGCACACGCATGGCGCCCGTAAGCGACGCCCTTTGGCCAGCATCTGATGGAAGATCAGCGTCTCGGAACCTCACACATCCATCGCACTAACAGGCTGGAGGCTCTTCCAGCGCGCCAAATGCCCGCGCATCTCCATCGAATGGACGGGCCCCTCTCTTCCCGAACCCAAGTGATGCAGTCGGAAAAGCCTAGTCCAGTCGCCCTTGTGGGAAAAGTGGCGCGGCGACCATGGGATCCGAGCTGGTCAAGGACAGTCTACTCCTACAACCGATGATCTTTTCGCGCGCGCGCTCTGGGAGTGGTTGCGACGACGCATCTGTCCAAACTTTCATCTCCATCCTTTTTCTTGATTTCTTGATTTCTTGATTCGTTTGGGGCAAGTTGATGGTGGCCTACGACTACTGTGCCAGGCTATCGAATTAGTGCGCCGTTGTTGCACCGCGCGCAAAGTTGCCAAAATGATGATAAACGCCTGTCTTGACCTGGCGTTGGTCTGCCATCCTGTACTCGCATTCCTCACCATTCAACGATCGAAGATGCACGCTCAGCAGTCGAAATGGCAGTACTTTGTATTTTCCTTCTTCTTGATCCTCGCGGTGCGGTATGCGAGTAGTACGGCAATCGAGACGCCCGTGGTCGATGGATTGCTGTGTCAGTCACAAGATTCGCCGAATCCAATTGCCTCGATCTATCCGAATAACGCCACTGGGACGTTGAACGGGACGATTGCTGTTCTTCCGATTCCCCTGGCACTGGCACGTCAGCTTATACCATCCCAATACAAGATTATGGAACATGCCTACCGAGATTTGCTGCCCCATTTTCCAAAGGACATGTATCCGGCCTTCATGCAGGCCGTGCATGATCACGATGTGCAAGCTTTCGGCTTCAACATCCCAGATTTTTCTGTAAGTTAGAAATGAAGAATGGAGAGTAACGGGGACACGGGCTTACACAAGCATCAGCGCGCCGGTCTTGAATTTCCCTTTCTGGACCTCCTCGGCGACAACAGCACATCGTTCAAATGGATTCCGTCCCTCCTCATGACGGCGACAAACCTCATCGCAATCAAAGGCGCCACCGACTATGGCAGCACTGTCTACCCCGCCACTTTCAAGCCAGAGTGTGACGCCTACGCTTCCACTGGGACAGCAGGGACTACTACTTTTTCCGCCAAAAGTCTCGTGCTGGGCAATGCCTCGTTGGCCATCAAATTCGCAACCACGACAAAGGAAGTCTACCCACTGAGCTATTTCCAAAACGTGACCAACCAGCCCATGTTTGGCAATGGCAAGACGTGCGATAATATGATTCGGCTGTTCAACACAAGTGTCACCACGGCGCCGAATCGCATTGACCAGGTGATGGGGTCGGTGACGACGAATGTCGGTCCTTTGAAGGGGGAGAGAACGTGGAAGGGTGTGTATGGGCTGAGGTTGGATACGGCGTTTATTGAGAACAACTATCTACCTTGCGAGAGCCTGAGGGGGTATGGTACGGGGTAGATGAGATGGGGAAAGAGAGCGGGAATGAGTATTTTGAAAGGTGGAGAGTAGGGAGAAGAGAGGATGGATGCTGCATACATTACATGATACCCATAGATCCACATGACCACTGTATTTATTCTGCATCTACAGCGTCCGTTTGACCACATGCATGGTAGCATAAATCAAATCACATCATTCAGAATCGAGATGGACTATTTACCATCTCTCATCGCTTCCTCCCTCCCTCCCTCCCACCCCAAGAAACCGCACCGTCACCTCCACGCCCCCTTGCAGAATTCCTCCACTACTCGCTACATCTCCCGCCACATCATGCATGTGGTTCTGGCTATCAGCACACTATATGCCACAGTATCTTATCCCCGCCCGTATCGCGCGTGAAAGTTGCTTAGCAATCCAAGTAGCGCAGCTGAAACCGCTCACAAAGGCGTATTTGCGTAGCAGCTAGTGGCAGCCATGTACGAGTTTACGCTTGTACAAATATGCGAGGCAATCATGGTGCAGATAGGGATGTGATTACAGTGGTGTTGGGGAGAGTTATCATTATCTGAATGGGGCTAAGGGGTGGTGGTTTGGAGCACAAAGATATGCGGAAGGTAGGGTACTATCCATGCTGATGCACAGTAAGCATGCGATGAGCTTCCTGTGCAAAGGTACTATGGCAGTCGATGTTAATTCATTGGGCCTGAATGCAATCTGCTATTACTGCGATGACGGTTGTGTGTTGGGGCTTCTGGAGAATCACGACATATTCAGTCCATGCACTGTACGGGTAACCCGCGCTGACAAATCAAGATCAACAAGTCTGTTTGGCTCACAGTGACGTTGACGTGTTGCCGTAATAGGCAAAGCTCGGGGTTAACTTGATGTGCCCCACGACCGAGTGGTCAGAGTGGTTTTGGGTAAGAGAAGTGCCGACGTCATGTCATTCAAGGAAAGAAGAAAGTGGCAGAGGAGACGGGGGTGGGTATAAAAGTTTTCCCAATTGCATCTCCACCTCCACCACTTTGTCTTTTTCAGAATTATCTTTTCTCGGGCCTTTACATTCTTAGTCGTTCTGGTCTTGACTTGGGTTGCGGTATAGACGGCACACGACGAGCATAGAGTTAGACATAGAAGAGATGGGCGAGGATACTACGCACTCACATCATGCCGTGGAGAAGGATATCCCAGAGGATAAGCATTTGAAGCAGGTTCCCAAGCAGGATGAGTTGAGGAACAAGGCTGCGCCTAATGTATGCATGTTCTCTGGGCAATTTGCATGTTGCTTTGCTAGTAACTAACCGTTCAAAGGCTCCCTACTTCACACCTGAGCAATCCCCCCCTGCTGGCACCGCGTTGGGCATGCTGGATGGCAGCAGCAAGATTCCCAAACTCTTCCAGCCACTCAAGCTGCGCGGTCTCCAACTGCAGAACCGTCTCGCGCTTTCGCCTCTGTGCCAGTACTCTGCCCAGGATGGCCATCTGACGGACTGGCACCTCACCCACTTGGGCGGAATCATCCAACGTGGCCCTGGATTGGCCCTCGTCGAAGCTACATCCGTCCAAGAGAATGGCCGCATCACCCCAGAAGACTCTGGGCTATGGAAAGACTCGCAAATGGCGCCTCTGAAGCGCATCGTCGACTTTGCCCACTCCCAAGGCCAGAAAATCGGCATCCAGCTCGGCCACGCAGGCCGCAAAGCCAGCACCGTCGCCCCCTGGCTCAGCAAAGGCGACATCGCCACCCCCGATCTAAACGGCTGGCCAGATGACGTCCACGGCCCCTCGGCCCTCGCGTTCAATGACCACCACTGCACACCCAAAGCCATGACACTGTCCGACATTGAGGCCTTGAAATCCGACTTCCGCGCCGCCATCCAGCGCGCCCTGAAAATCGGTTTCGACACGATTGAAATCCACAATGCCCACGGCTACCTCTTACACTCGTTCCTCTCCCCAGCCTCAAACACGCGCACAGACGCCTATGGCGGCTCGTTTGAAAACCGCACCCGACTCACGCTCGAAATCGTAGACATTGCCCGCCAAACCATTCCCAACGACATGCCCCTCCTCCTACGCATCAGCGCAACCGACTGGCTCGAAGAAGCCGGGATCGAGGGCTGGACAGTCGAGCAAACGGTACGTCTAGCCGAGATCCTCGCCTCAAAGGGCGTCGACCTCCTCGACGTCTCCTCTGGCGGCCTTCACGAAAAACAGCACATTCACGCCGGCCCGGGCTACCAGGAGCCGTTTGCAAAGGCGGTCAAGGACAAGGTCGGCGACAAGATGCTCGTTGGCACCGTGGGCAATATTACCAGCGGTAAGCAGGCGAATGCCTACCTCGAGCGGGATGATTTGGACCTCGCTTTCATCGGCCGCATGTTTCAAAAGAACCCGGGGTTCGTGTGGCAGTGTGCGGATGAGTTGGGGGTTGAGGGTCGCTGGGCGAATCAGATTCGGTGGGGATTTGGAGGGAGGGGGAAGAAATAGGTGAGAGCGAGTTTGGTGGTATTTCTGCGGTACATATATATATATATATATATACACGACCGAGTAAGCGAGTAAGCGAGTAATCTTTATTCCAAATTACTCCCCCGAGCTTGCAAATACCGTTCCACAGTCTCAGTACTCAAGGCGTTGATTTGAGCGTCCGAGACTCGCAATGTTTGTGGCTTTTGCGATTCTTTTCTATTTTCTATTTCTTCCTCCTTTTTAGGCCCCGCCCTGGCAAACCCAAGTCTAGAATAGACATTACACACGGAACGCGCGAGGCTGGAGGCGGCGCTGCTCGCTGCTGTGGCTGTCGCAGTAGCTAGTGTTGTTTTTGCCGTGGTTTTTGTTGTTGCAGCGGCGCTGGTATCGCGGTTTAATTCCTCGTGTTCGTGATTATGCTCATGCAGCGATTTCTCGTTTGGGGTAGTATCGGTAGTGATGTGTGATTTGAGTTGTTTTACAATCTTCAGCGCCGTCTTGGTGCCGGGCGGGAGTTGGTGTTTTACGCTGTGGCCGTAGTCGAAGCCCATGACGAGTTGGGAGCCTGGGATGGGTTGTTTGGGGATAAAGGAGTAGGAGATGGAGTAGCGGTCCGAGGTGTGGGCGGGGTGGTGGAAGTAAGGGCATGTTGGGGGGGAGGTGGGGGGTAGGCCGTGGTAGTCGCGGATGCGGATGTGGAGGTGGGCGGTTAGGAGGTCGCTTTCGATGAGGGTGGGATGGGTGCTGTTGACTGGGACTTGGGTGTGGGTGGAGGGGTTGTAGGAGGGGCCTGCTGTTACTGTGGGTGGGGAGGTTGGGGGTTAGGTAGGGAAGGGGTGGCAGATGGATGGCGGGAGAGGTACCTTCCAAGAGGTATTTGTCTCGTGCTGTGGGGATTATGGTTTTGGGCATGTTGGGAGGAGAGGTTTAGTGGCTTGGGGGCACAAGTGATGAAGAGTTTGGTTACTTGAGATGGGGCTGACGCAGAGGAATGACGGATTGAAAGCTAATATGAAAAGTAGAGGAAAAGGAGCGAAATAGTTTCCATGAGCCCCATTGTCTTTCTGTGCTCAGGTACCTATATCGTGATCAAGCTTGCTGTGAAGCCGGTGTTGGTAGTGTGGTCCTAGTCAGTGGTGGTCAATGACGTTGCGATGTGTGTTCCACCAATGAGGAGGTGCGACTAAGACACACTGGCACAAGGCTCTCCGTTGGTGTTGGACATGGCATGTGTGTTGCAAGCAGAGCTTTGGAGGTGATGATGTAGTCGTGTGGTAGAATCTGTCGTTCATCTCGGCGAACATGCGAGTGAAAGCCTGGAGAAGTGCAAGTACCCCTGGCCAATTCGGTCTTATGTAATCCACGTCACGACCGACATTCATTATCCGCGGCCATCACGTGACCAAGTCTCGAGGATCAAGTATCAATCTGATGTGCCAAGGCCCCACCGCCGGATTGCCCTCGGCCCCGTGCTCAGAGCTTGTCACACCAAATCTCAACGGCATAATCGCGCTCTTGATGCCTTGTAGGGAAGGCCAATCATGTATTTCACGCGTGTTTGGTTTCAACCCAGCTTAGGCTCTTGAGCTTGACGCAGTCGAGGCTTCGACGAGGAGCCCGTGTTCCTTTGTGACGACAACTCTGGCCATTTTCGGGAGGATTGCCTTACTTTTTTAGAGTGGTTCCGGGATTCGTCGCCGAGCATGCCATGCCTCATGCCTCATGCCTCATGCCTCATGCCTCCCTCGGAAGCGCTCTTTTTGTGTGGCACAGCTGAAGTCAAGGGGTGGGGGTGGAGGACAAAGTGCTGTGCATGTGAGTACAGTGTGTGGGGGAAAAGCGTCGAAGCAGCGCATGTTGAGCAAGGAGATGGATCTATGATTGGAATAGATGGCAGCACCCGATACATGCATACCGTGCATGTACACAGGTCCATGGTAGGTAGCTAACAATATACACCGTCTATCCCAGCCACTGTACATCCAACAACCTCACCGCGATAGGGCCTTTGGGAGATTGAAAACCCATCGCGCAATCTAACCCAGGCGCAAGCTTGGTTGGATGAAGCGGCAACACTGGTGGGAAGAGTGTGTCTGGTCAAGAGGAACAGGCTAGCCAGCTTCTGTTTCAGGTGTGGTCAAGCATTGCATGGGGGGATCAAACGCCCAAGAATGTCCGTTCCCATTCCCCCAAGTCTTTTCCCATCCAATCACTCTCTCGGCCAATCTCCCCCGCCACAAGACCCTGGAACGACCACCACGACCACCACGACGTTCCCTCCCCTCCTCACCACTCATGCTCGATCTGTCTTTTTTTTTTGTCCTGGTTAACACGGAGACGCTGGCGCTGTGAAAGATAGCTACTGACTGATCGTCCGTCTCTACCATAGGTATCTGCTTAGCCTGCGACACTCGATTCGCTGTCCATCTATCGAAGCCATTGCGCTTGTCACTCGCCTTCCTCACACACATTCACTCTGGGCCCACCTACCCGCTATCATTGTACGGTCGTGCCACTGTCGCTTTCACCCAGAGTCCACAATAAAAAGACGCGACAATCACCAACAATAACAGCACCACCACCACCAACAAAGACAGAAACGGGCATTGTCGGTATTCAAATACTGCATGACACCCGGTCGGACACTCCTCGTCCGTCGTCTTTGTCCTCCAAGCCCTGCCCTTCTCAAACACCCATCGCCCCATACCCGTCTCTGCGTCATGCGCACGGCGATGTCCTAGCCTTCCTTACGCACACGCACGCACGGCCATCTTTCCGGGCACTCCAGCCTCAATCCCTTTGCCAGGTTAACAAAAAGGCTACTGTACCCTGTCACTCATTTATCTGCTCGCTAGTGATTCAGCCGGTCTGTCACTCGCACTACTACTGCTGCTGCTAATCAACGGCGACATTCATTCCCACACGTTAGCCACGCCGAGTACACCTCATGCTCTAGTCGGCCATTACGCTCTCTACATCACCAGCTGGACTGCAGGCCACATCACCGTTGAGCGGGTATAGACAACCCCACTAATTCCATACACCACCAATCATGGGGTGTTGTGGAGATCGAGAAAAGGGCAAGACGGTGACGGAGGAGCAGAAGTGGGACTTCATTGTGCGTACTACTTGCTACCTGCGCCTCGGCCCATCTACACAAATGCTAACAGTCGCAGAACCTTTCCGACTTCAAATCGTCATCCTGTCTGGCTCCCTTTTCCTATGTCTGGCTCTGGATCCTCGTCTTGATTTCGTGCGCCGTCTACGCCGCCGATGCCTTCACGGCTGTCAACCTCCTCGCCTTCAACAAATGGTCGAGCCAGGTCAAGCCCAAGGTTCCCTTCGAGGTCGCCAAGTGGATCTTCGCCATCACCATCATCATCTCCTACGTCTTCCTCCTCTACCGATGGATCCTGGCTTTGCGCGTCATGAAGACGGGCAGTGTGGTCGAATGTTATCTGGAGCCCCTCGCAGCTATCCTACAGAGTATGCGCATCACGTCGAGCGGACAAGGCTGGCGGCGCTTCCTGGTCTTTGCCGAGTTGACCAAGAGTAAAAAGGGCGCCAACTACGTTGCCCTCTTCGTCTACTTCCAGTTCAAGAGTGCCCTGCTCATCATCATCGCTCAAGGGCCACGTATCGCCATCAATGCCATGACTTTGTATGCCGTCATGCAAGCTCAACTTCTTCCCGTCGGCGACCATGCGTCGGATGAACGCTCCGGTTTCGAGCAATTCTTCTTCAACATCAAGCTCATGATTGAAAACGGCAACAAGCAGGAGACGGTCATTTACTTTACCATGCTGTTCTCCTTGGTCATCTGGGTGATTGCTGCCTTGGGTCTCATCATCTCCGTACTGTTGTACCTCTTCTTCCTCTGGCACTACATTCCACGCGCCGACGGTAGCTTGACAGCATACTGCCGCCGCAAGCTCGAGACACGTCTTCAGCGTATAGTGGGTAAGAAGATTAAAAAGGCAATTGAAAAGGAAGATCAGCAGCGCAGAAGGGATGAGCAAAAGGCCATCAAGAAGGGAGCCCTCGACCCTTCGCAGACACGACCCACGCTGCCCAAGCTGGGAGGCGATGATGACGACAGATCGACTGTTTTCTCGCTGCACAGGACCGACACCATGGCGTCCAACACCACACTCCCGCCCTACTCCGTGAACCCGCCAACGCGATCAAATTCGAATTCCACAATGAACACTATGAGCACGAATCGTGCCATGGCAAAGCCAACCCTGCCTACATTGGACGAGCGACCTGGCATGGGAATGCGTTCGGAAACGCAGGGTACGGACTACTCGACAGCCAGCTATGGTTCCAGTGCACCAATGCTTGGCCGAGCTGGTGACTTGGGCCGGAATTCACCCGCGCCGCCAGTCCCTCATTTGGATCAGAACAATGACTACTTTGGCAACCAGGAGGGGCGACCGTATGGATCAGCAAACAGACCTTTTACTCCCATGTCGCAAGGACGAGCATCGCCCGCACCATCGCGTGCATACGGCCCGCCGGTAGACACGAGCCATTCCAACAGCCGCTACGGGTCTGTTCACTCGGCCGTCTCCCTACAGAACAACGAGCAAGGGTCGCAATACGCACAGTCGACCCGCCCGTACCCCGAGTTCAGTCCCTTTGACAGTCGAGGGCCACGAACAGGTCCAGCATATGAGCTCTCACCAGTTGACCAAACGCCTACGGAGAGCATAGCCCATCATTACTACTCCAACTCCAATGAGTCTGTCGACTACCGGCCGCCACAATTGCCTAATGCACTACGCTCTGGATCGCCAGCTCCCGCCCAACCAGTCGGCTTGCCCAGTCAACCGCGCGCAGGCACCGCTCCTCCACGACCCGGTATGCCTGCATCGCTGCAGTCGGCAAGCCAGCGCCGTGAAGTATCACAGCCCCTTCCGAACCGCGGGATGAACGGCTCGGCTGCCCCTCCACAGCAGCAACAAAGAAGTGCGACTGCGCCTTTGCAGCAGCCATCGTGGGCCTCGGGACCTCAGCAACGTAGTTATACATCCCAGGCACAAGGCCCACCTCGGAGCTACACACCGCAAGGCCAGGGTCCACCACCGAGGAGTTATACACCCCAGTCCCAGTCGCAGCAGGGCTCCAACAACTACGGCTATTGAGAGTAGTTGTTTTTTTCCTGTCCAGCATCATATTTTGGCACCGATTCCTTTGCATGTCATCTGCATCTCACGGCGTTTATCCTCTTTCCATCATTGATCCTTTCTACGCTGGCCATTAGAACGACAAGAGAGGGAGAATGGGAGCGCGAGTTCCAAGCCCCTCTTTTTTGTTTTCCTTCTCACACGCCCTCACACGCCCACACTCTCTTTTTCATGGAACGACGGCTTGACGATACTTTTTGTTTTTCATTTTTTTTCTTGTTCATGTGTTTCGAGATACCCATATGCTTACCGCTGGTTATCGGACGTCCGTTCGCTTCGATGTGAGATATTCTTCTAGGGAGGGGGTTTGGGAGGGTGGACGTTGATATGGATGGATGTGTGTGTATGTGCATGTGCAAGGATAGGGATTCAGCACGACGAGCAGAATCAAAGACCAAACAGGCACGGGGCAAGAACGGGATAAGAGGAAAAATGAGAGGACTTGAGGTTTGCAGAAACAATCCAACTTTTATCCTCTCCTCTGTTCACACAAGGTGTTTTTCATTCCCCTCCTTTGTACAAAAATAATGAGGACGCAACAGGTGGTCTGTTGTTCAACTAGAGCACCCCCCCCCTCGTCTCCAAACTACTTGCCCCTCCCCAGCACACACCTAGCACAAACCCCACACTCCGGCCCAATATAACACAACCACCATACACAAGGCCGAGAGGGCAATGTGACGAGGAGGGTATCTAGGTATGGATAGGGGTGACTGCTGTTCGCTTAGTCTACTGTGGCGTACTGTGGCGTACTGTGGTGTACTGTGGCGTACTGTAGCGTACTGTGGCGTACTGTGGTGTACTGTAGCGTACTGTATCCGTCATAGTATTGCACGGTATACCCGCACCGTCTGCCAAAGTAACAAGACAACATATGCTATAGACTACACCATGGAAAACCCCTCTTGTTGTGAATGTGAAACTTGGCCATCAGGTATCCCCAAAAGGTTAGCGTCGGCACGAGTACCACGGCACATGGCGATGATGCGCAAGGTGGAGTGTGGATTGGGATCGGGGTGGGTTGAGCGGATCAGGGCAAGCTAGGCCAGACTGGACTGGGGCACTTTTGAGGGCACTGAGCTGGACTGGGCTGGGCTGGGCTTGAGTCTACGGTGCAGATGTGTGTGTGTTGTATAGTATTGTATAGCACGACTTGTACGGGCTTGTTAAAAGGAGGGAGTGTGTGCAGAAAAGGGCGAATGGAGGGCATGTGAGGTGAGTGTTGGATGCAGGAGAGCTGGGTTAGGTAGGTAGGTAGGTAGGTAAATGAAATCTGCAGTGTTGACGCGGCCACCAAGTTCCAATATTTGTGTCTGCGTTTGTGTCTGCGTCTGTGTCTAGTTATTGGGTACATGCCTACCATACGACACAACCATGTCGCATGAAGTTATAACAAACACCACAAAAGCCATGGATGCAAAAACTTGTTGGGGGGATGAATAAAATGAGCCACAAAAAAAGCCTTGGATCCATCCCCGTCGTTTTGCCCATTCGGCACCAAGGCAACAAAAGGTCAGGACAAGAGCTTCTGGAAGAGGCAGCCGGATCCACCCTTGTTCGTGGCGACAAAAAATCAAGAAAAAAAAAAAGAGGCCGCGCATACCCCTGTCCCACTGGACGGCTATTTGTCCCAATCACGGGGGTAACATGTGGTTCTAATCCACACCACGCCGAAGATCGCAATTGCGCGTTTTTCGAGCCGAGGGTGCGGAGCAGGTATGAGTCGCTTGTCATCTTGTCATCTTGCCATCGTGATCACTCAGTCTTGAAGTCGTGTCCCCCCATCTTAGCAGCCTGCTCTTTCTCTCCAGAGCGATGACGCGCGCGCCATGCATTGACGGTACGACGGCAGCAAGCCGGCACAAATAAGAGGCCAGCACGCAGCGTGCGCTGTCACTGGGGGATGGCGGGGCAAGACAGCAGTAGCAGTGTGGATGGCGGCTGGGCTGGGTTGGTGGATTGGTCTTGGATGCAGGATGTGAAACTTCAAAGGGCGCCAAGGCGTGCCTGGACCAGGAACACCAATGGCATCCTTTGCACGCGTCGGGCCCCACCTGCCAGGCACCCAATCCTATTGGCCCAGGCCCCAGATTGCCATCGGGCGCGCTAGGCTGCTTGTAGAATTACAGCCAGGAGAGATGAGATGAGGCCGCAGGCCGGCTGAAGTTCCAAGTCGACTGGTCTGCCTCCTGTGCCTCTCCTGCGTCTGGGCCCGGCGCTTTGTTCGCTTTCCTTCTTCCCCCCCCCCTTGTGCCTGCTTGTGCACTTCTTTCTTTCTTTCTCTCCTCTTTCACCGCTGCTTGCTCACTCTTTTATTATCCCATTGTTCCTCCTCTTCACACACACACAAACCGGCAATTCGCGCGTTTCACTCCTTCACGCCCGTCTTGCTGCTTTGCTGTCCACTGTCACTCATTACCACCCATCACCATCACCATCACCACCACCGCTTCACTCAAGCCACTGACACGCCGTTGAACGACGTTACGAACGACTACCTGTTTATAATCAGCAACCCACAGCCTCACCCCGCTGACTTCAAACTCACAACCAATCCTCATCATGCGTTACTCATCCGCCGTCGTGCTAAGCACCCTCGCTGCTGGCTCTGCCGCTGCCTCGCACCTTCACAACCGTCACGCCAGCTTCCACGCGCGCCGTCAAGCGTAAGTACACCCTGCGTCAGCAGACCCCCACCAAAAGACCTGTCAGCACGACTAACGCCGCCCTATAGTGAGGTCAAGCGCAACGATGGCGCCCACAACGTGGATTGGAATGCCGTAGCCTACTCCCTCAAGGACGTCAAATGGGATGAACTCCACTATGGCGACCACCATGCCCCTGCTTCTTCCCCTGCCCCCTCTTTACCACCTCCGCCTGTCGCGGCTCCCGAGCAACAGGCTGCGCCCAAACCAAAGCCCAACCCAGCTCCCGCTCCAGAGGTCAAGGTCGAGGCGCGAGTCTCTTCCTCCAGCTCTGCAGCTCCACCTGCTCAGACTCCCGCCCAGCCATCGCCGTCGCCCAAGCCCAAGCCCGACGACAAGGAGGATGACAAGAACGACAGCCTCGGTGACATGATTGGCGACTTTATTGATGATTTGTTGGATGGAGTCGAGGCCGTTGCCTCTAGGTTAGGCGCCAAGATCGGAAAGAACGACAAGCAAAACAACCATGGCATCTGGATCGGAGACGGAAGCGAGTGGAACGCTGTCTTCACAAACGATGACAGCACTGATGCCGTCCTCTACTGCTGGAAGGCCAACGGCTTCTCTGGAATGTCCGTCAATGTGAATGTGCCTGAAATCTCCGTCAGCCTAAAGAGCGGCAAGAGTGTTACTCTTTCCTTCGCCCCCAATGTTCCCGCAGCCTGCGCCCCCATCTACCCCGATACCGAGCTCGCCATCTTCGGTGGCATTCAAAACACGTGGTGGGAGGTTACTTTTGGCGAAAATGGTTGCCATGATGTCTCCCGCAATGTCTTCATGAAGGGCAACCGTATCCACGCCAAGGGCTCCAAGTGTGTATCCGACATGGAAATTTGCGTCTACAAGTGCAAGGACCCCAACGCTCCTTTCTGCAAGGAAGGCCACGAATACGACCTCTTCAACTGCACTGCAAGCAACGGTGGTGGTGGCGGCTACGACGTCGTCATGGCCGGTACTGGTGGTGGTTGTGCCATGGGCGCCAACGGCGAGACCGTCCACGTCACCATCTCGAGGTAAATCATTGTTTATCCTTGCTTGGATGGAGTTGGTCTTTTTTTCTGCCTGTCCTTTTATATCCTCTTCATACCTGTCCTGTGCACGCGCCAATCTAGATTTTCCATCTATCTTGGTGCCGTCTTGGTCAAGGTTGCTTCTCGCAGGATACCCCAAACGCCTTATGGGTACCCGTCGTCGTTGACGCGGATGAGGTGTTGTATTCGCCCCCTCTATTCAGTGGGCTGTATGTATTTTCTTTCAATGTCTAGAGTTTAGTGTTAGTCATTGTAAATCCAAAAAAGTCAAAACACACACATCTTTGCTTGGTCTGTCATGTGTCTGCCCTTTGCACTCCTCACTGTTATAGACTCGATGGTGAGACAAGAAACAAAGACCTCCCAGCTCGTTCCATGGGTAAAGAGACTAGGTCGCGCAATCTCGCTTAGACTTGGGAGGTATGTGGGAGGTGGGGTGAGGAATGCACATTGATCATCATGATGATAACAACAGGAAGAGGAAGAAGAAAGAACGCACCCGTCATTGGTGATGTGGATGGGATGAGATGGGTTGGAGTTTGGTAGGTGGAGAGGTAGGCTGGAGGAAGAAGGGAAGGAGGAGAGGGGAGGAACAAGGAAAGTACAAGGAGAGGAAGGAGAATTTGGGAGAGGCAAAGAAAGAACGACCCAACACAAATACAACGCAAACGTATACACTCGCGAAATGTTTAGCATGATATCTATTATCTATGTGGTAAAGTAGACGTATATATATATCTCTCTCTCTATATCTACGTATTCACATGGCCCTCAAAGTACACTTTCCTTCGCAAGCAAGGGTAATGATGTACAGGACGGGATTTACACGTTTACTAGGAAGGCATGTGATGGATATGCTTCTCCTCTCCTTTCCTTCCTCCTTCCTTCCTCCTTCCTTCCTCCTTAACTAACCGACCGAGCCGTGCTGTGCCGTGTCCTGCCATGCCGTGCCATCCAGCCACCGTCATCGCAAATATATCTCACCAGTCCCCTCACCTCTTACCGCGGACAGCATTCTCTAAATATTCGATTGGCGCCGCTTGGGAAAGTCCAAAGAGCAGCGGGAATAAGAGAGCACAAGGCCATAGCTTAGCCAGCAACTAAATCAGCATAATACATGTACATCTTCAACCAAGTTTTTCCCTAGAGTGCTGTTTGTTTACAGGATTCGAGGTTCAAGGTGGTGCGTGATGCGACGAGGAGAGGATAGACATCGCAGGGTTAGAAGCTTGTAATCTGATTGCTAGAATAGGCTGTGTTTGGAGTTTAGATGCTGGTATGTGTAGGGTGTAGTGTGTAGTGCCAGGTTTGGGGAGTGGCAGGGAGTGGGGGTGGTTGGGGGTGTGTGTGTATTGACTGACTGACTGACCGACCAATTTGTACCGGTACTGTAGCAATATAGTAATGTAGTAACGACAAAGGAAGTGTACGAGGCAAGACAAGACAAGACACACCTCCCAACCCACTAACCGAGAAAGGCGCCAATCCAATCCTAGTCGGTTTTATGACAAAATAGTATTTTCATCGCACTCACTGCACTCACCGCACTCGCAACAGTCAACTCGTTATCCAACCTTATAATACTCAACCCATCATCCATGCCATCCCAATCCCCCCCCCCAAGCCCCCAAAACAAAAAGATATTTATTTATAAATGCGACACAAACTTCTCATTTCCACCCCCAGCAATACTAACAACAACAACAACAATAAGAATAAGAATACCACACGTGACATCAAACTACATCGTGCCGCAAGCCCGTTGCAAACTATTTTGCAGCAAGAACTATAGATGTATTAAAAATGCGACTGATAGTTACGGTAAGGTTGCGATGTATGGCGATGCTGACGTTGATGTAGCAGTGTATTAATGTAGCACTACAGTAAAAAATTGTTTACTGTAGAATAGTACGCTAGGGGTTTACTATATAGGTGTAAACTAACCTTATATATACCTATAAATAGGTTTAAAGTAGTAGTTTACCTTTTTGTAGTATAAACATAGTGTAGTTTACTATAGACCTATTAGTAGAGTAAATAAAGTAGTTTATAATAGACCTATTAGTAGAGTATATAAAGTAGTTTATAAAAGATAAAATATAAGTATTAGGTATAGTAATAATAGTATTAGATTTTTTTTAGTATCCTTATATAAACTACTAGTACATTATTACCTATCCTATCCCTAGGCCTAACCTACTAAATTAATAGCCTATACCTACCTAATTAATAGGCCTAAAACTGCCTAATTATTAGCCTATACCTATATAATAATTAGCCTATACCTACGTAATTATAAGGCTATCTACTATATACCTTACTTATTTTTAGAAAACTATAGTATAATATAAATTAAATAGGTATACAAGTAGTATAACTATATAGTAATTAGTATAAGTTAGTATATCTAATAATAGTCTAGCGTAATATATAGATAATATACTTACTAGATAAATACTAGTATATTATATAGCAATAGTGTTAGTATAAAGAGCCTAGTACTATAAAGCTAGATATAGACCTATTATCTTACTTAACTATAGGTAGTTAGTCTTAGACTATCTGCGTTTATTAATAATATATAGCTTATTACTAGGTTAAAGTTAAGTACTATATCTATAGTAAACTATAGCTACTCCTATAAGGTTAATAATTATTATTATTTAAATCTATTTAATACTATTATTATCTTCTATTATCCTCTAAGGTTAGGCTAGTTAGCCTATAGCAGTAGCAGGTTATTTCTATTACTATTAAAGTACTCCTACCTATTTAAAGTTATTAGCTAGATCTTAAAATAGGTGTATTACTATCCTAAAGGAGAGCTAAATATAGTTATTATAATTATTTCTAGTAGCGTAATATATAATAAATATAGTACTCTAGAGGTAGTTACTATCTTTATAATTCCCTAAAACCCTAATAGTATATTTATTTAGAAGTATATACTAGTTATATATAACTATATCCTAGGCGCGTGTCTATATAGTATATACTATAGTTATAATTATAGTATAAGTATTATCTAGGATATATCCCTAGTATATATCTATACTACTATAAGACTTAGATTTTAGATAGTACTCTTATAGCTAAGTTATAATTATATTTTTATTAATATTATACTCTATACTAAGCCTAAGCTATTACACGTAGATAATACACTTATATACTAGTATATTCTACTCTAAACTAATATACTTCTAAGAAGGAGAAGTTGCTATCTTCTTAATATAACTAATAAGCCTTTCTAAAGACTATTAGGTATAGTATATAGGTAGTCTAAAATCCCTAGTATTAGATATAAGGTAGAGTAGGTAATAGATCTAAATAAAGTAAGATAGTAACTAGTCTACTTTACTATAGTAGTAGAGTAACTTATACTAGCAAATAAAATTCTCTACTAATAGTTCTAACTTATTAATCTAATTAATAGTAAACTCCCTCTAGCTTATATAGAAGAGTAGTTTATAGTAGCGTAGGAAGTTATTAGTATATTCCTTCTAAAGATAGACCTATATAGCTAGCGCTCTATAAGTAAGTATAAAAGTCTACTATTTAAATAAAGTCTATATCTTGTATATTATAGTGCTTTATAGGGTAGTGCTAACTTAGGTTAGTACTAAGGAATAGGACTTATAAAGACCTTTGTTAATTAAAGCCTAATTAGCGTTAGTAATAAGCTATAGTATAGTCTTATTGTTAAATTTGTCCCCTTTCTAGAGTTAGAATAAGGCTTTAGGTATATTATAGGATATTGCGTACATAACGTTAATAGGAAAGCTACAAGGAAAGTATATAGTAGGGAGGTCTAATAGGTTAGAGTAGTAGTTAATACTAGTATTTTAGCGTAAGGTAGTATATCTAGAGGCTAGCATATTAGTCTATTATTTATATATATCTTTAATAGTAGTAGCTAAATTATTATATATAACTAGGTAAAGGGTATCTCTATTTAGGAAAGAGTATTTACTAGTTCTCCCCTTAGTTCCTTTATATAGGTATAGGTAGTAACTCCTTTTTAATATACTAGGCTATTTTATTCCTATAATCTCTACTATAGCTAGCCTATCTCTAGTTATTAGTATAAGGTAGGCGTAAAGGATAAATTCTTCCTAAGCGTCTATATTATATATATAAACTCTAACTATAAGTTAGTGTAATTCCTCTACTATTAGGTATAGCTAAGTGTCTATAAATTTTCTATTAAAAGTACTAGGTATAATAGTAGTAATAAGTGTATTACAGTCTTAATCCTAAATAGATAGGTAAAGGTTTAAGATATATAGCACTACTAGTATAATACTTTATTATTTCTTAGGGTTCTTTACTATACCTACTACGTCTAATATAAGTTATAAAGCTAGATCCCTAGGGTCTTAGAAGTATCCTTTCTTACTATATTCTTAAAACTAGTCCCTGTTATACACGTCTTAGTGTAAAGTACGTTTGCTAGTAGGGTTGAAAGTTACCTAATATACTTTTAATTATTATAACTAATAACTATTATTATACTAGATACGCAGTTATAGAAGTATAGGGATATATTACTATTAATATTTTAATTTGCCTTTCTTATTATACTAAGCTCTACTATAGGATAGGCACGTATAAGTAGTGTTAAGGTCGCTAGTAAAGGCTACGCACCTATTAGCACAATAATTAATAAATAGAGGAGTTATAGTATCCTAGAATAAGGTATATAGTGTATACTACCCCTAGTAGATAGTATTACTAATATTAATATTATAGCATTTCTTTAAAGTTTATTATATCTTTTAGAATTTCTTATATAGAGTACCTATAAATGCAGCGTATATATTAAGAGAGCTAGTATAAAGTTATTAAACACGCTCTATTTACTTATAATATAGTATATATCCTATTTGCTATTATATATCCCCTAAAAAGTCCTCTAGGTATAGAACCTCTTTATTCTTGTCCGCAAGTTGCATATTATTATTATAGTTATCTATTAGGTCTATA